TTGAGAGATTGGTTTAACTGTTGTACGTAACTTTAGACGATACATATTGTGTAGATACGAGGATAGAGATTTCCGATATAATCCTATAAGTGCTGTCAAATGAATGGATCAGTATCCTTTTTCAGCAGTTCTGTGTTAAGGCCAGCAAATAACACGAGGCGTGGTGGGACAACACCCCACCGACCACTGTCACAGTGAGGGAAAAAAGTATTTGATCCCCTGCTGATTTTGTACGTTTGCCCACTGACAAAGAAATTATCAGTCTATAATTTTAATGGTAAGTTTATTTGAACAGTGAGAGACAGAATAACAACAAAAAAATCCAGAAAAACACATGTCAAAAATGTTATAAATTGATTTGCATTTTAATGAGGGAAATAAGTATTTGACCCCCTCTCAATCAGAAAGATTTCTGGCTCCCAGATGAGATTAGGAGCACACTCTTGAAGGGAGTGCTCCTAATCTCAGCTTGTTACCTGTATAAAAGACACCTGTTCACAGAAGCAATCAATCAGATTCCAAACTGTCCACCATGGCCAAGACCAAAGAGCTCTCCAAGGATGTCAGGGACAAGATTTTAGACCTACACAAGGCTGGAATGGGTTACAAGACCATTGCCAAGCAGCTTGGTGAGAAGGTGACAACAGTTGGTGCGATTATTCGCAAATGGAAGAAACACAAAAGAACTGCCAATCTCCCCCGGCCTGGGGCTCCCTGCAAGATCTCACCTCGTGGAGTTGCAATGATCATGAGAACGGTGAGGAATCAGCCCAGAACTACACGGGAGGATCTTGTCAATGATCTCAATGCAGCTGGGACCATAGTCACCAAGAAAACAATTGGTAACACAATACACCATGAAAGACTAAAATCATGCAGCACCCGCAAGGTCCCCCTGCTCAAGAAAGCACATATACATGCCCGTCTGAAGTTTGCCAATGAACATCTGAATGATTCAGAGGACAACTGGGTGAAAGTGTTGTGGTCAGATGAGACCAAAATGGAGCTCTGGCATCAACTCAACTCGCCGTGTTTGGAGGAGGAGGAATGTTGCCTATGACCCCAAGAACACCATCCCCACCGTCAAACATGGAGGTGGAAACATTATGCTTTGGGGGTGTTTTTCTGCTAAGGGGACAGGACAACTTCACCGCATCAAAGGGACGATGGACGGGGCCATGTACCGTCAAATCTTGGGTGAGAACCTCCTTCCCTCAGCCAGGGCATTGAAAATGGGTCGTGGATGGGTATTCCAGCATGACAATGACCCAAAACACACGGCCAAGGCAACAAAGGAGTGGCTCAAGAAGAAGCACATTAAGGGCCTGGAGTGGCCTAGCCAGTCTCCAGACCTTAATCTCATAGAAAATATGTGGAGGGAGCTGAAGGTTCTAGTTGCCGAAAGTCAGCCTCGAAACCTTAATGACTTGGAGAAGATCTGCAAAGAGGAGTGGGACAAAATCCCTCCTGAGATGTGTGCAAACATGGTGGCCAACTACAAGAAACGTCTGATCTCTGTGATTGCCAACAAGGGTTTTGCCACCAAGTACTAAGTCATCTTTTGCAGACGGGTCAAATACTTATTTCCCTCATTAAAATGCAATGAAATTCATAACATTTTTGACATGCGTTTTCTGTATTTTTTTTGTTATTCTGTCTCTCTCTGTTCAAATAAACCTACCATTAAAATTATAGACTGATCATTTCTTTGTCAGTGGGCAAACGTACAAAATCAGCAGGGGATCAAACTTTTTTCCCTCACTGTACCTTCGCGACATCGGTGTTTACACCCCCTGCGAGGCACTTGTTTTTTTACCGAGGCGGTGTAGACCAAGGGGAGGATTTACACCAGATACAAGGGCCAGTTGTTTGAACCCAGGTCACTGTTCACAGCGTAGTGCTCTACATGCAACTCACTGCTCGCAAGTGGTGACATTGTCTCGCGTCCATCTTTTCTTGCATGGGTTTATGGGTCGAATTGAGCGACGACCCTGATTAATACTGTGGGCGCGTGTATTATCTGTGAAAGTATGCGCCGTCTGTTTCGCGGTAGGCATTAAAGATCTCGTGACGTTATTTGCAAGATTATGACATTGTGTGCCAGCGTTGTGGTCTAAAATGTCTAAATAAAAAAAATACCCCTAAATTACTTAATTTGAATATAGATAGTAGGACCCTCCTGAAAAGAGGCATGAGGCTTTATTGGATATACAAATAAAATAACAGATGTGCATGTGGTGTCATTGCAACAATCTCTTTCCAGGAGGCACATTGATAACAAACTTGGGAGGAACGTTTGTAATGTGGGTGCTGAAAGAATGTGACCCTTGCAGTGCTTAAAGCTTGCATCTGAGCTTGCAATGGATTACAGTGAGGTAAAAAAGTATTTGATCCCCTGCTGATTTTGTACGTTTGCCCACTGACAAAGAAATGATCAGTCTATAATTTTAATGGTAGGTTTATTTGAACAGTGAGAGACAGAATAACAACAACAAAATCCTGAAAAACACGTCAAAAATGTTATAAGTTGATTTGCATTTTAATGAGGGAAATAAGTATTTGACCCCTCTGCAAAACATGACTTAGTACTTGGTGGCAAAACCCTTGTTGGCAATCACAGAGGTCAGACGTTTCTTGTAGTTGGCCACCAGGTTTGTACACATCTCAGGAGGGATTTTGTCCCACTCTTTGCAGATGTTCTCCAAGTCATTAAGGTTTTCGAGGCTGACGTTTGGCAACTCGAACCTTCAACTCCCTCCACAGATTTTCTATGGGATTAAGGTCTGGAGACTGGCTAGGCCACTCCAGGCCCTTAATGTGCTTCTTCTTGAGCCACTCCTTTGTTGCCTTGGCTGTGTGTTTTGGGTCATTGTCATGCTGGAATACCCATCCACGACCCATTTCCAATGCCCTGGCTGAGGGAAGGAGGTTCTCACCCAAGATTTGACAGTATATGGCCCCGTCCATCGTCCCTTTGATGCGGTGAAGTTGTCCTCTCCCCTTAGCAGAAAAACACCTCCATGTTTGACGGTGGGGATGGTGTTCTTGGGGTCATAGGCAGCATTCCTCCTCCAAACACGGCGAATTAAGTTGATGCCAAAGAGCTCCATTTTGGTCTCATCTGACCACAACACTTTCACCCAGTTGTCCTCTGAATCATTCAGATGTTCATTGGTAAACTTCAGACGGGCATGTATATGTGCTTTCTTGAGCAGGGGGACCTTGCGGGCGCTGCAGGATTTCAGTCCTTAACGGCGTAGTGTGTTACCAATTGTTTTCTTGGTGACTATGGTCCAGCTGCCTTAATCATTGACAAGATCCTCCCGTGTAGTTCTGGGCTGATTCCTCACCGTTCTCATGATCATTGCAACTCCACGAGGTGAGATCTTGCATGGAGCCCCAGGCCAAGGGAGATTGACAGTTCTTTTGTGTTCCATTTGCGAATAATCGCACCAACTGTTGTCACCTTCTCACCAAGCTGCTTGGCAATGGTCTTGTAGCCCATTCCAGCCTTGTGTCGGTCTACAATCTTGTCCCTGACATCCTTGGAGAGCTCTTTGGTCTTGGCCATGGTGGAGAGTTTGGAATCTGATTGATTGCTTCTGTGGACAGGTGTCTTTTATACAGGTAACAAGCTGAGATTAGGAGCACTCCATTTAAGAGAGATTTAAGAGTGCTCCTAATCTCAGCTCGTTACCTGTATAAAAGATACCTAGGAGCCAGAAATCTTTCTGATTGAGAGGGGGTCAAATACTTATTTCCCTCATTAAAATGCAAATCAAGTTATACATTTTTTGACATGCGTTTTTCTGGATTTTCTTGTTATTCTGTCTCTCACTGTTCAAATACACCTACCATTCAAATTATAGACTGATAATTTATTTGTCAGTGGCAGTGTGAGCATGAGGCTCTCTTTTCCCATGCTTTTAAAGTAACTCATACTAAACCAAGTAATGTGTTACATACAGTTTGCGAGCTTTTTTCAGTGTCTCCCGTAGTTTTCTAACATTAAGTCCTAGTCAACCAGTTTGTGCCGAAATTATGTTTTTTTATGGAACCTGTTGAGCAGAAACTTTATCTTGTCTGTTGGTGTCTCGTTGGTATTTAACTACTGTATTGTCGGTGTGGGTAGGGCCTTCTCTGTCACTTTCTTGAGTGTGGTCACTAGCTGGAGTGCTTTTTAAAAGCGATTTGACAGTTTCTTATTCACTGTGATTGAAATAACGCAGTGATTGGTTGACAGATTAACAAAACCAGCAGATATGTTGGCATCAGTGTCACTTGCCTATGGTGGTAGAGGATTTTTAAAATAAATGTAATTGAGTTTATTTAAAATGCTTAACTCTGCCAGTAGATGGAATGGAAATGTTTGCTACATTTTTTATTTGAAGAGCTATTTGTCAGCCCAAAGTAAAGTTTTGTGCTGTGTATGTTTCTGTGATTTGAGCACGTTCCATTTGGAACATTTTATTCCAAACAACACATTTTTAATGAGCTCTTTCAGAAAAGGTCATCGTTGCTGTGCATGGTGTACAACATGTTAAGTAAAGTATATTTCCAGCCAGAATTAGCGTGGAGAATAGCTTGTTAAAAGCATACAGTTTCAAACTTGGTTCCTTATTTTTCAATACAGCCACCACTATTGATACTCAATATATATAAATTTAGGCCTCAAAATAAGACTTATTAAATGCATTTTTACGTTATTTAGTTTTTCACTTCTAAAACCTGTTGGCCATCTCTTATATGCTGCTCATATTATTATGGATAGCAACGTTAAATTTGAAACACAAGAATAGTTAACATGTTTGAGAAAATTGTCACCTCTTTGCTGATAGCTGTAATGAGTTAATTCATACAAATTGCTTTAATCGTAATTGTAGTTAACTATTTCAGTGGTAAAACGTTACTGGTACGTTATCACCGATATGCGTTTCTGCGGCTCTGATCATGGCAAAATTGCTGGAATGTTCTGTTGTGTAAAACCTGTACCACCACAGGCGCCAGCCTTGCCGAGACTCGTACTACTGAGTGCGAGTACTACAACGTGAACTGGAAGAAGGACAACACGAGTCGCTCCGGCATCGAGCGCTGCGAGGGTGACAAGAGGCAGCATTGCTTTGCATCATGGATCAACAGCTCCTCGGGCAGTGTGGAGCTGGTGCGCAAGGGCTGCTGGCTCGACGACTTCAACTGCTACGACAGGTGTGCGCTCGGTGTGGTGCAAGCATGGATCAATATGGTGTGATATGGATCAGCGCGAGTGCGTTTTCAACTCGCCTACAAAAATTTTGTATTTTACCAGGTATGGCCCACTGAGATATTTCGCTCTCTTTCAGAAGCGACCTGGTCACAAAAACGATAGCTCAACGAAGTGGCTTGTGTGGAAATGTATAGCAGCCAAATATTCGTAAACGCATCTTTCTAAATGGGGAGGGAAAAACCGGAGGACCCGGAGAATATTCCACGCGACCACGGGGATAACGTGCAAGCTCCAAATATACAGCCGTCAAGGGTCAGGATCGAACTCGCGACCTATATACCAGGCGAGGTAGTTAACATCTCGCCGCCGTTTGCTACAGAAGTTCTGGGTTTTGAATAGGTTAGGCCACCCTGGTTAATACTGCGAGTATATTAATAATTAAATATGCACTGTCTACTTTGCTTTTGAACGTTAACGATCCTGTGACATTAATCAAAGAAGAATAGGTTATTGTTTGCCGGTGTCATGCTCCATATTTGTTAAGTTTTAAAAATGACTAGCAAATTGCTTAATTTGGAAACTAAAAGCAGACGTCGTCCCCCCTACTGCGCTATCTTAGCAGATTCAGTGAGGCTCTCCTGGGTAAGCAGGTGGTAATAATAAACAATAATGTAGGCAGTTGAAATATTAATGAGTCCAATTACGGAACTGGATAGTTGAGCTGTGCATTGTGTGCACGTGCGAGAAGCCTGGTTGTGTGGCGCGTGCCTTGGAGTCGGTCACTGCTTTCAGCCGACTGATTACTGTTTAATAACAAATCGGTGCTCGATTACGTTAGTTGGTTAAACACTGCAAATAATGCTGTTTATCCTTAGAAGGCATTTTTTTTTTACTGTGTGAAGTAAGTTAAATTAAAAGTAACCAATCAGGAACCATCAATTTTATTCATCTTTGAGCCCAATTATGTATTTTGTTGGAATTGATCACTATAATCGGTCTTTTAGTATTTTACAAACATGTGGGTGTTGTTTAAATTATGCTTGTTGCTAGTCACAGCCTTGCACGTGTTGATCACCCAATGCCCATTATACACAGTTCACATGAACAAAAGCAAACGGACTCTGCAGTCTATTGACCATTTAATCGACTTCCTCGATATAGATGTATTTGGACATTGAAAACCATCTTCATTAGTAACCTGTGTAAACTCTGGTTTAGCAAATGTAGTAGATTAAAGCCAAGTTGCACACAGTATTCCCAATACAAACTGAAGTGCTCTTAGCTGGTCTGGCAAATCTGGGTTTATATAATGAAAGTCACATGAAAATCAAAATGCCCAAAATGTTTTTCCATCAGAGTTTGTTGTAACACTGGTTAAAGAGTGCTCAATATTTCCACTATTTCTTTCACCACCTATTTTGGCAGTTAAGATTACAATTCACATAAATAAAAGTGTCTTTATAACCCTAACGCTAACTTATGTCGTTGTACTCTTCACTGTACGTAGTACAGTAATAAATACAAGATGTTCTTATTGGGTGACTTGCATCATTTGTGTTGTCTTTGTCACATGCCGCATTCCGTTTTTAATGTGAGTTGCATACAAAACTATCATTGCTTCAGCGTTTTTATTCGTTGTGATATTAATTTTAAAAAAACTTGAGCCAGCACATGGGCTGAATTGTGGTGTAGATCACAGCAATAGTGCATTGGCCTTTCAGGGATTGCATCAACAAACCATTTTACCTCTTACATATTTAATGCTATGCTTTATTAACACAACCCGATTATTTCCTGGCAGTCATTGTAGCAAAATGTCATGTTTCGTTTCAACTCTGTGACCTGGGTGTGCGCTTTGGTTTCGTGTATATAAGTAAAGCAATTGAGAAACATCATCCTGTTTTATACACCGATGGTGTTGAATATTAGCATTCCATTTATACACGCACATACATTATTTGACAGCACACATTCATTATTACAATTGAAAACATTGCATACCTCGGCATATAACATACGTATATAACATACGTTATGACAAAAGCATCAAATGTTGCAATATTCATTCCACCATGTCATGGGTGGACTCGTGAGGTCTTTAAATGTTTTAGCTTCATTCCATTTGCCACCCAAACATACTGCACTGCCTGGCTAATTTTGAACAATTGCATTCGTATCTTGATTAATCTGGTTAACAAATACTTGCGTGTAGCGGCAAAACATGGCCAGAGCCATCTTTGTGCATTGTACAGGCTGTTTTCTGAAAACCATTGCAAAAGTCCATTGGCGACAATAAGCTGTGTAAGCGAATAATTATCATTAACCACGCACCATAACTAAATGGGATACATGAGTGGTGGTGTAGGATTTGGCTTAGAACAGTGCAGCTATGGTGCCTGTTACAATGTTTCATGCACTGACGTTTTGGTGTAATCTTTACTCGCTCTCTTTGCCTTACTTGCACCAGCCAGCTTGTCATGGGTTCCTGTTCTGTATCTGCTTTGTCTGGGTTTGTTGGTTGAATCCGAAGTGGTGTAGGGGATCAAAGGTCAGTGCATGGGGAGTGCAGGGATATTCATGGTGGACCTAAAACATGTAAATGGTACCTTAAGAGGAAAGACTCTCATTGTGCCTCGTTATCTCACTGCACAAGTTATGATGACTTTCACCTGAGTAAATTTTGACATAAAATAGCTCCAGAGCATTAATATTTAATCATTACAAGTTTGTTTCTGTGATTCATTTATATCATATTTTATCCATAATTTCGCATTGTACATTATTTCCTGAGTTATTCGTTTTTGGCCTCTTCACAGCCCATTTCATAAAAAAAAATCATTATAATAGAGCCCCTGTTATGATTGAAAGCAACAAATATTTATTTGTTTTATAGACCTTGCCCATGGTTGAATATCTTTGTCGGAACACTCCAATGCACTATTTGTTAAGGGCATGTAAGGAATGTTGCTGGCAATGTACTATTTTTACCAACGTTCCCAAATGCTATTCTGTAGTACAACAAAACTAGAAGTTAAATGTTAATTGATAGGCATATCCTTAAACTCTTATCCTCAACCTTTGCCATGAAAAATGTATTTGGTGGGATTTTTTTTGTTTGCCGAGTGCAATGTTATGCCGTAAGTCAATTCCAATACATACGTCGTTGTCTAAGTCGTTGTTTATGGTTAGACGACACACAATTAGATAACACTACTATTTAAAGTCTTAGACAGCTAAATCATACGTTTAGGCACCCACCATTGTGCATTTGCACGTTCAATGGAGGAGGTGCAAAACCGCTTTTTGTTCCCTTGCACTGAACTCGCAGAGCTGTGAAATGTTCTGTTGTTGCAAGATGCACATTTTCCTGTCAGAACTAATTATCCAGCTGCGATTTATTCACAGTTGACATGTTCAAACCACGACATGAGTCTGCATTGTCTAGACAGATTGTATAATAAACATGTGTGTGCAATAAAGTGGATTGTATATTGAACTCGTAGTTAATCCTCTTTAATGCTAAAAAATATATGTTTATCGGTAAATAAGAAGCATTACCTGTGCTGTAAGAATGAACTTGGTTTACATTTAATAAAATGCCTCCGCTTGTACAGTACAATGTCATTAAATCATTTTTACAGCCAGTTGCATCTTGTTGACGTTTAGTGTTGTTTCTGCCCCCCCTCCCACCCACCCATCAGAGGGGATTGCATAGAGACAAAGGAAAATCCCCCTGTTTATTTCTGCTGCTGTGAAGGCAACTTCTGCAACAAGAAGTTGAATCATGTTCCGGTTGCACCTCCGGACGCAGAAGGTACGACATCACATTTATCTCACAATGGTTTTATTCACCCAGATTAATTTGTGTGGCAAGGCGCTGCAGTTAGCAACATTTGTACCTCACGGCAAGAAGGCTTGTGTTAGGTTCACAACTCGGGTCCCTTTCCGTGTGGAGTTTGTATTTGTTCCCCCTGTTTTGGGTGGGGGAGTTTCTGGTTTCCTCCCATAGCAAAAGAAAAGCCCAATACACAATATCTGGGATTGGCAAAACATCCAAATCTTAACTTAAAGCTTTCATGACTGCAGGAATTCATATTCTTTGGGTCTTTCGGTAAGTCACGTAGATAGAAATAAAAATATCACGACGTTTCGATCGCAACGCAAGCAATCGTCATCAGGCGGAAGAAAGAGGAGGGAAGCTGCTGATGCAGGCTGCTTTTAAAGGTTAGAAATGGGCCTAGCCCCAGAGTCATAAACGAAGTGGGTGGGGCTAGTGATGTTAAAGTGAGAACTTTGCATGTAAATGTGATTAGCATGTCAATGTAAGCTCGCAGCGTGCCTTCACAGCGAGAACTACATGTAAATGTAAACTCTATACCATAGAGCTTCTATTTCCGACCATCACCACCTTGCCAGTGAACTGGAGCACGTACATCAAGCCCTCAAGAGGCATGGATATTCAGACTACACAATCCGTAAAGCTATCAACCCAACTGTGTGGAGAGAACCATCTGAGGACCCAATCAAAACCATCACCTTGCCATACATAGCAGAGATCACCAAAATATTTCCAAAATCATGAGCAAACACAAGATCCAGGTACGATTCAACACAGTACTTTAAATTCGTGATTTCATCCCATCTGTGAAGGATGCGATCCCCGACATGCAATACCTCGGTGTCTACAAACTAAGCTGTGTCTGCTGCAGCAGTTACATTGGGGAAACCAAGTGACATGTCTCGGATCAGGTCCGTGAACATAAGGCAGATCTGAAACACAGTAGGACCAATACCTCAGCCGTGGCTGATCATTCATTATTTTAACGCTGTGGGCACACACGAAATCGATTTTGCCAAGACTAAGGTACTCTGCAAACCCACTGGCTAACAGCAAAGATTCGTTCATGAAGCCATCCAGATGTATAAACACAGACACAATTTCAACCGAGAAGATGGGTACAAACTGAGCAATCATTGGAAGGACGTTTTAACCAGTTTAGGTAATAATTGGCAGTGATGTTCCCTTCCTACCTGCCTATGTTAGCAGTTATTTGCGACTCTCTGAGTTACACTCACTAACACAGCCACCGTCGTTTGCTTGCTCCGATGTGGCTGTGGTTCTTTCCGAGCTTTTTCCGATCTTACATTTACATGCAGTCCTCGATGTGATGGCGCGCTACGAGCTCACATTGACATGCTAATCACATTTACACAGTTCATTTACATGCAAATTTTTCTGATCTTACATTTACATGCAGTCCTCGATGTGACGGCGCACTGCGAGCTTACATTGACATGCTAATCACATTTACACGGTACATTTACATGCAAATTTCTCACTTTAACATCACTAGCCCCGCCCAATTCGTTTATGACTGGGGCTACACCAATTTCTAACCTTTAAAACCAGCCTGCATCAGAAGCTTCCCTCCTCTTCCGCCTAAAGACGATTGCTTGCTTTGCGATCGAAACGTCCAAAGAATATAAAAACATCCAAAGTTGAAGTTTATCTGCAAATTTCTAAAACTTGGCAGGACCCTCCTGAAAAGTAGTCTTTGCGATTCGGTGAGGCGTTTATGGGTATACAAGCATAGTAAATAATTTAACGAGTCTGTTTGCATACAGATATCAGAGGTGTGGGTGGAATTAGGTGGCCAGGTGGTGGTCAGAAACCCTGCTATGGAATCACTTAGCATAAAGTCAGTGCTTTGTTTTCCAGTAAGCAGCAGTGGCTGAAAGAAAATGCCGAAGCATTTTCCCTCTGTACTGCTGTATCATTATATATAATAATTGACAATTGGACTTTGATGTCGTATCCTGAAATCGTGGATTTCAAATATTCTTTATACTGTAAATCAGTGATAACTGTCTCTGATATAGAAAAAAGTATCACGAAATAAAATTATATGACTGCACTCATGAAGTTCGTGCAGAATTTATTTGTCAGATTTTGTGTGACTTACAAAGCCATGCAAAATCACAATTCTTTTAATTGCTTGAGTTCCAAATCCATTGTGGGCAAAATTGGCAAATCTGGCAGGCGTTGCAGGTAAATGTTTGTTTTCTTCGCCAAAGTTTCAATTCGCAATTGGTGAATGGTGGTTTTGCACGAGGCCAATTCACTTATCCCGTGCATCGTGGTCCTTGGAATCCCTTATAAAGAGGTGCCCGCTTATTTATAGCTGTTGTTTTCCTTTACAACTCAGCCGTAGCTTTTACAAAACCCATAACGGTGATCCAAATTAAGATAATTTAATGCGAAATAAAGTCAAGTCGAGACATTTTTATGGAAGTGACCCTGCAAACTACAGCTTAATAAACAGCTTAATAAATAGCTGTAGAAGCCAATTGCATAATGCATGTGTTATCAGCTGTGCATTAAATGTTATTCAATAAATATTGCCTGTATTACAGTGTAGATTTGATGTTGCCTATGAGGTTAACTCTTATGTGTATGCTGAATGTGAATAGGAGGATAGTGTACAATTCAGTGCAGACACATGTGCCCTCTTAATATAGAGTATACATTCAAACAAATGCAAACAGTGGCACGTAATTTATTGCTATTGTGTATGTTTTTTTGTCCATCGCTTTAATTTCAGTTGATGTGCCACCACTTTAGCTGAGGATGTGTTTTTTCACATTAATAATAGCATTTTACAATGTTAAGCAAACCATAACCTGTCATCCATATAGGTCCAAAATGTACATTATTCCATATCTTGTGGTCAGCACACAATGAAGAAATGGATTGGGGCAGTAAGTGATCTTGACACTATCTTTACGTATTTAATTAATTTACAATCTGCAATTTGCATATTAAGCTGATGTTTTCTCAGGATATGTAAGACTTTCTGATAACGTGTGTCCATCAAAATGGAAACCTCTAAAGCAGCTGCATAGGATAGACTTGTAATTTCGCTAGAAAACTAGCATTTTGTATCATCATTAGACTTCCTTTGCCAGTACCAAAATGTAATAATAGGGTTTTTCCCCTTTTTTTATGGCAACAAAACTGAAACCTTTTTACAAGGATTCATGTCTGCATTAACCACAATACCTGCAGTCAAAATGCAAACAAAAAACATACTATGATAATATATGCATTGTCCTTGAAACTGATTGGTCCACACCAAGGGACGGCTTTCTTTTGAGCCTCGACCCAATTGGTGCTCGACCACATGACGCCAGAAGGCGTACAGCTCAAAGACAAAAGGGGAAAAACCCTATTATTACATTTTGGTACTGGCAAAGGAGGTCTAATGATGTAGATGCTCACTTTGATAGCGCATTGTCTTTGAGCTGTACGCCTTCTGGCGTCATGTGGTCGAGCACCAATTGGGTCGAGACTCAAAAGAAAGCCGTCCCTTGGTGTGGACCAATCAGTTTCAAGGACAATGCATATATTATCATAGTATGTTTTTTGTTTGCATTTTGACTGCAGGTATTGTGGTTAATGCAGACATGAATCCGCGTAAAAAGGTTTCAGTTTTGTTGCCAGAAAAAAGGGGAAAAACCCAATTATTATAGCATTTTGTAGTTAATGCTATTTTTTGTGACTAGTTCCATCACAGAAAGGCACTGCTGTTTACTTCTTGTATTTAACTCCGAAGAAATGTTTAAAGAGTGTTTGGAATTGATCTTATTAAAAAGGAAGCCACATTCTTGGAAAAATGAAAAAGGGCCAGAGGCAAATGATAGTTGATACAAGGTATATCTCGGACTGACAAGAAACACACTTTCCTGATTAATAATACATACTATTCGAGCTTTTAACTGAAACCGAACCCATTTCTTTAAAATAAGATCAAATTATTATATAATGCTGTATATTTTGAGGTTTAATGCATATTCTACAGAGTAAATACAGTTCTGGTGTGGTTTTAAATGTATCTTATGCCATTTATCAATTATAAAATCTATATTTTCATTGTGAGATGGCATTTTATGATGTTTAAATCAACTTTGCTGTCTGCCATTTTGCATTATTTATGTCGCAATGATGTGCGACATTGTGGATGGTAAAGGAAGCACTGGATTTGCAATCCGCAAACATCTGGGTTCACATCCCTAATAACACACCGAACTCTCGCATCAAATCTCTTTTAGCCACCATAGATTAGCCCAACGCTTGTGGCGAGCAGCATGCCAGGACACATTCCAAACGTCCATAATAAGGAGCTCTCCATTTCCGTCATTCACAATTGCTCGAGCGCTTCTCGGTGCTCTTTTAACCCCCCCCCCTTCCCCTCCGTTGCACCTGCGTGTGCCGCAGCAGGGCGCGTGTGGGTCGACAATCGGTCAAGCACAATGAACACGGCCCTCTACTCGCTCGTGCCCGTGCTGGCCGTGGGCCTCGCTGCCATTCTCCTCGTGTGGATGTACCACCAGCGCAAGGCTCCGTACGCTCACGTGGAGGCACCGTCCGAGGTACGTCCATCTCCGCCAGACTCTCCTGCCTGCACCGTGGCGATTGGTTTCACTGGTGTGTTCTATGCGGGGTTTGACTGAGCCCTTGGGCCTTCATCATCGCTCAATAAAAAAAAAAACATTCTTCCACGGAATTGTGAAAGTTTCCACCACCGGCTCGTGGATAGCAAACTGAGACGAGATGCGTTACGTTGGTCATTTGAGCAGTGACGCACTTTGAGAGGCACTTTATTAGGCCTGTAATAATTCTTATCCCATTGATTTGATGAATTGTTACTTTTGAGGCATGATAACATTCAAGGATATTTGGCTTCTGTACTGTCTCATTTGTATTGTTTTATGTTTATCTTTTTATATTTTAGTCTCTATTATCCTTAATGAAAAATTTGAAAACTTTCATAAATAAATAATAGATTCTCACGCATGATTGATGCTTGTATTGTGAGTGTAAGGGTATATAATAATCAATTGCATGCCTTAATGTATTTATATTTCTATGAATCTCAGATGTCCAAACAACAGAGTAGATTTTGGAAAAAAGTTACCAAATAGTAACAGAACCAATGTAATCATATCCCAACATATCACAGTTATATGCATCCACATTTAAACTTAACAATGTAAAACAAGCATTAAAACTTCGAGGTGGTTTTCTCACTACGTGTATATATTTTCACAGATAATTTTAAACATTGCCTCAGGATTTATGTATTACAACCATCTTTGTTATGGTTCATGGTTTATATTTGGGTTAGGTAATATAATTATGCGACCATATGTATGGCGATAGACTCTCCACTAAATGATAAACAGCCAATCAAATAAAATTGTCACGTGTAGAAGCATTTCACGCTCCAAATTCTTATTGTTTCAGCTCACCGGTAAGCGCAATGCTCACAACCAAATTTGGTAATTAGAAAACAATGTTTCATTCATGACTAAGTGAAACATCATCAGACCAAGATCCATAAAGTCAGAATAACACTCTAGGAAGTCAGAATGTGGAGGATCTTAATGACGCACGTTTTGTCAGATCGTTACATGACCTAGCCCAGATATAAATTCTGAGTGGTAACATTGGCTGTTAAATTAGTGGGATTGTTACGTTCATAATGTCTGTTGATAATGGTATGGTGCTTGTCTCATTCTCAGGCACAGTAGTAATTTCTCTTTCTGGAAAGTAGGACTGTAACCCTGTGATATACTGTTGCTAAGTCAAGTATGCTGTTGAAAGTGACTTTTTCTGCATGGGCCACCTTTTGTCGGCTCCTTTGTGACCCATTATAATTCACTTGATGCCCTCTAGTGGATTAAATAATTATAGTGTATCGTGCAGCAAAATGCAACCTTGAGATATTTTTTACTGTATAACGATGCATTTTGTGCAATTGAGGACTTTTTAGATTTGCCTCTTAAATATAAAAACACGTAACAGCTATCTTCCTACTCTTTGGTTTTTCGGTAAAGTCACGTAGGTAAAATAAAATAAATGAAAACAACTAAATTAAATCACGATGTTTCGGAGGCAACACAAGCTTCCGTCTTCAGGTGGAACAGTCACAGCGAAATTGATGTATCAAGTGAAGAGAGCTCTAAGACACCCGAGATTATATAGAGCCAGGAAGGGCCGTGGTGGGGGGGGATAAGTTAAGCCGCCTTTTGTTATGCTGCAGGGGGTTCCGGGGAAGCAATGGCGCGCGGTACTCGAAAACGGGTGCAACCAACTGGAAGAAATGGAAATGGCTGTACAATTATAAGGCAGCTAAAGTTTGACTTTGTTGATGACATCTTTCCAATGGTTGCTCAATTTAAAACCATTCTCTCGGTTGAAGTTGTGTCTATGTTTGTATATCTATCTTCTTATCTGAGAAATCGCCCCCAATCATTTGCAGTATTAGGCATTTCAGAGTTTTTCAAGAATAATCCGCGTATGCGTTAACATTTTGTATGTATGCCCACATGTACAATCCTTTTGTCATTCCAATGCTGGATGAGGGCCTTTCCACCTGTGCAAGTCATGGAGGTTATTTAACCATAATTCAACATTATGGTCAGTGTGGGTTGGCGAAGGTGGGATGAATATTTGTGGAATCACAAAAGTAGAGTACAACATTTGCTTTTGCTGCACTGCCCTCTATTGCCCACCACATAGTTCCACAGCTCTATGATAACCTGTTTATACATGGTGGCCACCTGCCCAAGCACTATCCAGCCTCAGCTTCGATTAGCTTCCGAGATCTGTGAAGATCGGGTGCATTCCAGGTGATTTTATCAAGGGCAAAATGCTGTACATTTCCTTGCATTTAGTCAAGCACTGTACATGTTGTATTACAGGTACTTTGTGAGACCTAATAAAAGCTGTGAATGTTTATTGGAGGAAAACAGTCCCAAGAATTTGACATCTTAATTGGTATACATTGCAGTGGGTGGCAGCACACAGCTTTGTGACTCTTAATAATAATATTTTGTTAGCCTCTAATCACGATTGATCTTCTACATATATATGGTTCACATATATAGCCCACAGAGGGTATCGTACAAGTGTGTGAGTTAAATCCCTTTAAGCGGGGTCAAGCAATGCTCTTCTCGTGTCCTTGTAACCACAGTCTTCAACAATACGTGCAATATCCGGCACGCGATGATAATGTGGCCCAGTCTGTAGTCGAGCTTACAGACCAATAGATGATGAACCCATGTAGGAGACATGGAAAGAAGAAAAAAGCCTATCCAACTTAAAAAGTAGTAAAACTAAACTAAAACTATTTTTTGTATTTTAACAGGTGAGGTGGCCTGTCATGTGGAAATTTTATAGCAGCCAAATACTCTAAATGCATGCTTCTAAATAAGGAGGGAAGACCCGGAGAAAAATCCACACTACCACTGGTAGACCATGCAAACTCCAAAATATACAGGTGTCGGGTTGGATTAGAACCCACAGCCTTTTACATACCAGGCGAGGGCGTTAACATCTCGCCATCACGGTGCCCCGAATGTAGCATAATTAGCTAAAATGTCAAATTAGACCATTCACATTTGATATTTATTGATAAAATGTGTTGGTTGGATTTGAAAAGCAATCTGTAGTTATTGTACAAAGTAACGAACCAAAGCAGCTTTATTAGTATATGAAATTCAAAAGAACCAGACACATGTACTGTTAACAACTGACACAATAACAATAACAGCTGTTGGAAGATTGTGACAGATGGGTTGTAGTTATTGACACTGCCAGGCAGTCATTGGGACATTGCATCACACGAGTATTTTTAATGCAGACATAGTGGGGACAGTGTTCGGTCTGTTTATAACGGTTTCTCCTATTACCATATAACACTGGGTTAATGAAGTCCAGCAGTGTAAAGCTGAGTGCAATAAATAGGTCATGATAGCAATTTAGTGGAATATGTGACTACATGTGGACTGTCTGGACATAGCTTCATATTTTGCAATGAATAGTTTACAGAGTGTTGCTTGTAACAATGCAGTTAGTGTAAAGTTACGGTCTTTCGAGGTCTCAGATGATATGACTGGTCCTTATTGCAGAAGTAAAATTTTCCAGTTTAATTTAGTAATAACCATATGTAATTCGGTGTTCTAATTTCAGCTTAAAAATATATATATACGATCCACATTTGTGATCTCGATAAAAAAATATATACAAATCATGTAAACCAATTTGTATGCATGTCGTTGTAAATTATTTTTTATGCTTACAGGGCCCACAACTCCAGTGAAATGTTCAATTGTGGTGTAATCCAAGCAAGTAACGTAGCTATTTTAAACCAGTGACGAGGGAGTAACATGAATGCTGCACTGATTGCTAGCCAGACGTCGGTCTCGGTCTTTTCATTGTAATTACTGCCTCTAAATCACATCACTGCTACTGTGCATGGGTTTCTGATTAAAATAATGTAGTTGGTCACACTGGGTGTAGAAACCACTTAATCCAAGCTTGCTCATTTGTAAAATCAGTGATATTTCATCATTGTTCATAGCATGAAAGGCCAACACTCTGGTCCTGTATTCTAGAAGCATTGACTTCATTTTCTAGTCAATGCAATTGATAGCTTAATAAGTTCTTCTCTGTATATGTCTGCTGAGCAGAGTTGGTGGATAGCATGTGCAGATGTAAAAAAAATCTATATACATATCACAAGTTTTTTTTTACATGTGGCCAATGTGTGCAAATGGGCTGTGCCTCTGAGAAGGGGAAGGGCCCTTTTGCCGAGAGTATGTGTCAGCAACCAATTCGAATTCGGAAAAAAAAAACAATATTTAAAGAGTCGCAATGCATGTGAATACGAGAGACGGTGGTACTTAATAAATAACGTCACAAAGCAGTCCTTATAAAGAGCTGCATGCAACTCCGGAGCCGTGGGTTGCTGACCCTTGGCCTAGAGTGACTCTCGCACCATTTGCACAATTGACCACACTGACCGTGGTGTACTTGGACAGTCGTCGGTGCTGTTGTGTGGGCAGCATTCCTTACTTGCGCGTCTTCTATTCTGCTGCTCTCAATGCAAAAAGGAGGCCCAGCGGTTGGCATCACTGCCACTTCCTGAACTGAAGCCGGTGCAGCTGCTGGAGGTGAAGGCGGTGGGGCGCTATGGTTCGGTGTGGAAGGCTCAGCTCTTCAGCGACTACGTGGCCGTCAAAGTGTTCACTGCTAAGGTGTTCGAGATAGCACTCCAAGGATATGTGCATCACATTAATTTGTCTGGCTTCAGAGTATAAGTTGAATTCTTTAATGGTTTTCAGATGCATGTATTTTTCCTTGCACGTGATAATTATTGAAAATGCATAGGCTTGTGCAACAACTTCGGACACTTAATAATGTCATAATTTCCACTTAGTTATTGTTCCATTTGTCAGACATTAAAAGCCTGGTTTTTTTTCTCATTAATCAACCATTTTTATCGTAGCTTTATTTTGGATAACAATTAGAAACATGTTTCTTGTTTTAACATTACCTGGTCATTACACTAAAGCATGTGGCGCTTATTTTCATGCCGTTACCATTTGCCTTATACATTGTTAGGTAACTTGAAACGTTCTACATTTATCGTGAAACTGCATTCATTTTGTAGTCTATATGTGTAGCATATGACCATCATGGAATTTAAAGCTGAAATTTTATTTTGTCTGCAGGGAGGTATATCCATTAAACTCCCTTTATTTATATCATGCAGCCAGGAACATTTCTGACAAAACCAATCTTCACCATTGTCCAATTAGAAGAAAGAAAGAAAAACTAATCTTGTAAAAACTGAATGTCACACTAGTCACAACATTTTATTAATTGCATTTATGTTGGGTTTTTTTTTCCATTGTCCAGTACAGTGCGAAAAATAAATATCGCAGTGAAGCCCTTTTAAGCGTAAATGCCATGTTGGCGGGTGTGCTTGTGACAGGACTTGCGCTCGTGGGAAAAGGAGGTTGACATTTACAGCTCGCCAGGGATCAAGCACGACAACCTGCTTCAGTTCATCGCCGCTGAGCAGCGAGTCAGCGGGCTAGACGTGGAGTATTGGATCATCACAGCTTTCCACGAGAAGGTACCGTGTTACACTTCAGTCTGTTTTACAATTAACAGTTTTTTCTTCTTCATATGACAAAAAACTGGAGGTTTAGTCAAACACGGAATTGGGTGGCCTTTGTCTCCATTTGTGGCATCGATGTATTAGCATACATTCTACATTCTCACCTGGTTGGCCAGTGTCTACACTTTCCTTGACTTCACAAATTGCCACTCATTGTATTCACCAATAATGGGCCGGGAACACTGGACGGTGAGACCTTTACATCCGGAGGGACAGGGAGAAGATCTTTGTGGTGAATTGAGCTGATGACTTTGGAATGTATTATTTGCCATAATTTAGTATGAGCAAATGGGGACAAAGATACAAGTGGGTAAAAAAACAAAAGAAGAAAAGATTTACACTGACCATCTGAACTCTGAATTGGCCATAGTTTGCACCCCTGGCGGTATTCCCACGAGCACCACCACCAGCCTTGCTGGTGGGAATACATGAGCTGTACCTTGTACAGCAGTGTAATTTATATATACTACAAATAGAACTGGTATTTATTTGCTATTAGCTTTTCCTGTAACGTCCATGGGTTTATGGCAAGAAAAGTAAAAGTTTTTATTGCATTACTCTCACCTGAAGTTCTATGTTTCACACAATTACCTGTTTTGTGCATTAAGATGTTAATTAGGTAGTCAATTTTCACAAGATTTGGTGTTTCAAACTTAAATCTATTGCGTGTAATTAAAGCAACTGGATTTTTACAACCTCTGCCTATGTAAGTTTGTATTTGTCATCGGGAAGGATTAGAACAAGGACAGATCTTCAATATGACCTTACAAGTAAAATATTTGATCTAACCATTAAAATTAATATTCCTTCCCTCTTCATATACACAAGACTATTGTAGTGGTATAAACAAAGATAATGTAATCTTAAGAGACTAACCATTTAATCTAATTGGTAAGCCAAAGTGGCTTATTTTGGATTACTGATGTGCCATAAACATTTGTGCAGCTGATTAATTTTCTTATATTGATTTCCACTAGCGTCACTGTACTTAAAATTACATTTTTTTTGCAATTGGTTCTTATTATAAAATGTTATCATTAAAAAATGTGATTATAATTTTTTTAATGTCTGTCATTTTCAAAAGAATGCATAAATACATTATTAATTTAATTGTGCGTAAACTACAAACTTTTTGTATGCTGCAATATTGCAATGGGTTTTGACATTTGGAGTTTTTTTCTGCCTAAATCGAGGTATAGTGTTGCTTTATTCTACGAGGAAGTATCCAATTAAATTTGAAAAGAAATCTTACCGTCAGTCAAGATGCACAAGTAGGCAAGGGGTTGGATGATCTCTGTGTGTCTAACTCATAGCACATGTTTGAATAGAAATGTAGCAATACATCTTATTAACGTATTCCCCTTGGCAGTGTAATACGAGTGTCGGAATCGAAGGCTTTCTGTAGCGGTTCACATGGCTTCTTTTAACTGTTAGTGGAGAATATGCTTGGGCATTTTCTCTTTACATCAAAAGGCCTTTGTTTCCTTGCTAGATTAAAACCCCGAGGGCTGTGATAGCAGTGTGTGACAGTGTTCCATTGGTTATGAGCCACATTGGTTAATATTTAAAGTTACTGGTTATAATTGTCCTTTTTTATATTCCACAGATTCCCACATTACTTAAATTAATGGTATTGTTTTAACGTCTAGTGAAGTACAGAGCAGTCTAAATTAAGCCTGGGTGTATGTTGCATTTATTACACGCAGCTTTTGATCATCACCTAACATTAAACAAGTTCAGGTTAAAGTTTTGCGCATCTGAATGCATGTATTTATGTTGTCGATATGTTTTTACTTATGGTCCAAATGTATTTAGCATTACATCAGTATAATTGCAGGTTTAACACAAGTGACATATTTTACTAATTTTGTGTCAAATCCTTGTCCAGTTAAAGTAACTGTACAGGAAAAGATAAACAGCAGCCTTGGCCTTTGTGGAGATGTTGAATGATGTGAACATGAAGAACATAGGATATTATAAGGCCAGAGGGCTGCTCACTACTTTATTTGAAAAAAACATTACCAGTGTATTTTATATTCCCAATGCTTGTTGGCACTCCGCAGGAGGTTTCATAATGTGCACAACGTTTTGATGTACTCTTTACTGCTTCACTACAGCTCGCACATCGACCACCCTCTTGCCTCTGCACTCATGCATCTTGTTAGGTTTGCTGGCTAAGCATCACCTTTGCTTCGTTTCATGAGCACTTACGCAACAAATCAGGTGATTAATTAACGAGGAAATTAGATTAGCTTCACTAATAGACCTTCCCGCATACTTGGAATGTTAATTGGCGCGGCTTTGTACTCATTTGTAGCATGCAGTCAGGTGACATAGGTTTAAGGAGCTGTTTATTATTTATTTTACTTCCTGCTTGCAGAGTTCAGAAATATAAGGTGTAGCTTTGTGGCTTCTGAGTCGGCAAATTTAAATCCTCCACTGATGTGGGTTTTTGCGCCAGGTGGTAAGTTTCTCTTCTGCTAATTTTGGCGAGTAACTGGCTCTACAAAATTGCACCATGAAGCATTCCTTGCATTCTGCTATGGGCCCCGACTTAAACACAAGACTCCATTACCAACGTACATTATTCCATTAAGGAGCTGCTAGAGCCAAATGACTTTGACCTTGAATTTCACTTAACCATTTGAGTCACTGCCAAGTGAAAAGAAATCAGCTTGATGTTGTTGGCAGATACAGTATGTAATCCAATATCCAATGTGAAGTAAAGAAAGGGGCGAACAATGCTTTACTCACATGTTCAACAACATAATTGTAGTGTAATTTTCATTAATGCTCTATTGAGCTATGCAACAAGATTGGCCATCGCTGTGGTTTACAAAAAAGTCCCAATGCGTTTTTTTTTAATGTCACAATTACCTTTTGTAATATGCAGTGAGATTCACGGTGATTGACAATAGCTAGCCAATGTATCGAGATTAACATAATTATTTGGTGATAATGCATTGTTGGTGGTGCGCAAAAATTCAAAAACCTCACTTTCATCAATAACACTGCCTATAGACAATGGCCCTTCTTCATAGCATATGGCCCTTCATGCCCTTTGAAGTGTTTGACATAGTCAGCTGTATACTCTGAGGACCCATTTTATAATGCGAGCATATGTGTGCCATATGTAGTTGTACCAAACTGGAGACATCTCCTCGTTTGTTAATCTTACATCTGAAATGAATTGGGTTATATCGTATAAATACTCATTGCTTTTTTAATGTGCTTGCATGATTGCCATTTGAGAAGCTGAGTGTGTATGAGAGATTGTTTAATTGTGTACTGTATAAACAGTTGACTTTTTTCAGGGGGTGATAATAATGTCCTTGGTCTAACATTTGACCTAATAGAATAATTTTTTGTGCTTTTTGTTTTAGTACCATTTCTTAATTTGTTTATTCATGTTTTATTTAACTTGGTAGTAGGGTTTTCTAATGCTTGGTAGTGGCTTCATATGGGATTTGGTCCTTAATGTACAGCATAATGGGATGCTAATAGCATGAATGGCACTATATAAAATGACAGTATTATTAACATAGAAACAGTGTAAATGTAAGGCTATAGAGTTATCAATGACCCCTCATACAATGCAGATGCCTTGTGTCCATGTCCAAAAGTCACGCAAGGGACAGACGGGGGGGATGACTAAGAGACTTCCCTTGCAGGGCTCGCTCATGGAGTACCTCAAGGGGAACGTGCTCACGTGGAGGGAGCTGTGTTTGATCACCGAGACCATGTCGCGTGGGCTCGCCTACCTTCACGAGGACGCCATGGGCCCCAAAGGAGAGCTCCTCAAGCCTTCCATAGCGCACAGGTCGGTCGGCCCTGTAGCGGTGGCATCCTTATGCTGCCACGTCGTCGCCATCATCTAAAAACCTGTCAAAGCTTTTCACCTGATAACGTTTCAGCAGGCTGTGTCAGCATGTACAAGCCTTTACCTTGGACAAATGGGTTTTTTTGCGGGCTCAAGTTATACATTTTGCTTGGCAGCATTTAATTCGCCTTTGGAAGGTTGTGAATTCAAATTTACGATCGGGGGACTCATCTCAGCACATACCTCCAAGATGCGTCAAATGTGTACCCTTTTGCCAGATGTTAATTGTGGTCCTATGGAGAGACTTGCGCTCATTCAGTTCAACATGCAGGCTTTCGTGACCAATATCCATAATAGAGGTTTTGGGTTAGATGTCAGAAAGTGGCATTGCCACCACAGGTAAGGGTAGACAAGTTTTGCCTCGTTTTTGCTTACATGTGGGATTGGTTTGTCAGCACTACTTTGTGGGAAATCGTCACTGATCCATCCTATACACAGTGACTGATCACGGTCATGTGAATAAAATAAAATTTGCAATGTGGGCTCAGGGCTGCAAACAGTCCTACTTCATTGCTTGTTTGAGCTGGTCACATACTTTCTTGTTTGAAGTTAAATCAAAAATTGGACTACAGCCCTAAAACACAATGACCGACTTCTCTGCATGATGTCCTGTCTCTTAATTCCACTTCCAAAACATGTTTTCATAACATCAATGCAAAAGCTTTTCATTTAAGTAAACCTTTAAATATTGCAAATTGTGTCCAATGAACACGTTTACATTATATTTATCTTATAAGCATGATCATGATAATCATTAAAAATGTATAACTAATATAATACAACAGGCAATCACATAAATACTAACATTTTTAGCAGCTGATTGCTTAGTGGTTAGCATGATCTTCACATTGTTTGCATAGAGCCCACAGATTGATTCCCAGTGCTACCTTGTAATTACAATAGAGGGTTTGTTGGAATATAATCCCTCCTGTAACGTGCACATTAAAGACTTTCATATTTCTCATAAGAGGAGGCCATGTGCTGGTGTTGTCATGCAAATTAGTTTTTTTTTATTTCTAAAAAATATACAGTTAACTTAATTGTAGAAAATAACTTTTCAGCTAAATAATGAATTTAACAAAGTACTTTAGGTAACTGTTCACCCTTGCAAAAATCTTCATGCATCTCAACAAGCGAAGCAGATTTTACCTTTTTCTTAATACGCTTTTTTGTTGAGTGTCAGAGATGGGCCATGCCAAGATTGCTAACGGTGTGCTTCCTTTTAAGGGGTTAAATAGTCTTCAAGGAGTAGACAAGAGGAAGGAGCCAGATGGGCCCAAGTCCCAGTTTGTTTGGGTTTTATGTTTGTTTTAGCAAATAGCAAAGGCTGTAATTGCTGCCTGCATTGGCTGTACTTTAAAGCCTGCTGAGGCCCACTTGGATAAAGTGTGCCTTGTGTCAACCCTACTAACTTTAATTACTGCTTACACAGCAGGAATATATTCTTACATATTAGGCCAGGGTTTTGTATTTTTTCCTTTTCTGGAATCCTATTGCTATTAAACTGAATCCCACTGCTGTAAACTTTGTTTTTATTACCAGATTGGTTCTTGCTCGAAAGGTACTCATCTTCTTAGAAATATATCTGTAAGCATTATCACTTAACCTACCATCCTCGCCAGAAAACTAAAGCATTAAGTTTCACGTTGCAATAATGCTCATATAAATGAAGGTGATGTTGATTTTTATCGGGTTGAAGACACATTTTTATAATGTGGGTGTATATGGATGGTATGCATCACTTTCATCGTACATTGCTTTAAGCAGCAGACTGGATTAGCATTTGGTTGAGCAGAGTACATCTCATTTCCATCATTAATGTATTTCTATGCAATCTTTTAAAATTAAATTGTACACTCACCTTCACTGTTTTTCTTGCATAAACACCTTTCATTTCTGAGTGTATGTGTGTTGTTAACAAACATTTCTCATTCCCTGCCTTTCAACGTGCATTTTTCATTCTCATTGGCAGGGATATGAAGAGCCGGAATGTTTTGCTTAAGAGCGACCTGACAGCCTGCATTGCCGATTTTGGTCTAGCTGTGAGGTTTGAGCCAGGAAAACCACCAGGCGACACCCATGGCCAGGTGTGTACCCAAGCAATCGTGAATATTTATACACTTTTAAAATCCTGGTTTGCAGAGCGTAGGGTAAAGCAGAGTCAAATGCCAACCTGACGGCAACAAACCGCACTAATATGTGCAATAGAAAAAGTGAATACGTTTATTGAATCGAGCAAGGTAATAAGAACTTGGAAACAAGACCATAGGGAGGGAACTCCACAAAGGTGAATACTGTGAGGAAAGATACAAAAAGAGGGGTGTTTTTGGCTTGCAGTGGTTAAACACCGTATGGATGACACAGAAAAGTCCAGTAGACTGAATCTTCAACATCGGAGGAGGAGGATGAGTCGACGATTGAAGTTCACGGGAACAGTAACCATGGTGGTTGCGATAGAAGAGTGAAAAGGACTGCCGATGAGCGAGTGGCTGGAATGAATCAACGAGTACAAGCTCATCGATCAGCCTGACTGCTTTATGTTGAGTTTAACACGTAGGCTTTCGCGACCAATATTATTCATGATAAAGGTTTTTGGGTTAGATCGCGTTATTTATAAATGTGTCGTAACCCTCCACCACCCGACACGGCCAAACAGTAAAAAATGTGTCACGTTTACAAAGGACAAATAGTTAAAGTAGTGAACTATTTGTCCTTTGTAAACGTGACACACTGTTTGGCCGTGTCGGGTGGTGGAGGGTTACGACACATTTATAAATAACGCGATCTAACCCAAAAACCTTTATTATGCTTTATGTTGAATTTAACATCCAGGGTGTGGTCTTGAGGTGGGGAGGGGGGAGAAACTATTTAAAATAACCACCCTGAAGACCCAATGTTGCAGGCGACTGCGCTATCTTATTTTTTCAGCACTTCCATTAAATTACAAAGTATAGTTTTATCTCTCTGTACTGTAACATCCATTTGTGATGGCCAGAACTTAATAGCACATCATGGAAACTCTAATCTGGAAGTTTCAGCCAATAAAGAAAGGGAAGTGATATATAGCTTAAGTGCCCTTTAAGTGCAATGCAACAGCTTGTATTGAAGATAACTGGGGGTTAAAGGGATTTCTGTCTTGCTATTCATGTGCTATTCATTAAATAAGAAGCATGCCTTGAAATCCCTTGTTTGGAAATACAAAGCTCCTAAAACAATCATGAAGCAATGTCCTTTTAAAATACTTTACAGGAGGGTTTTTGCCAAAGCTCGCTGCGGTTGAAGGATTCCAGTTGTGCTCTCGGTTATGAATGTGCTTTGTGTATTTGTTTGCTTGCTTAGCTATCGTTTGTAAAAAAAAAAAAAAATCGTGGTGTTTGTCCTCAAATTTATCACTCCGCCATGTCTGTTTGCCTTGCCACGTATGTGCAGGTGGGCACAATGAGGTACATGGCTCCAGAGGTGCTCGAAGGAGCCATTCATTTCCAGCGTGATGCCTTCCTCCGCATTGACATCTACGCCTTGGGTTTGGTGCTGTGGGAGCTCACCTCGCGCTGCACGGCCGTTGATGGTAAGTACCGCACACACCTTCCGGAAGTAGCTGTTGTGCCAATGCTTTTAGAGGTATGCTTGTGCACGTGTATAATAGAATACAGGCAAAAAGCGCCCATTAGACGGCCTTCCTTTAAATGTCGCAATCGCCTTTTGTGGAAACATGCTATTGTTAACCGTCTAAACACCTGCAATAATTTACTTTGTGAACACTCCTAAGACCTGGAGGGATTGATAACATCTCTGCCTCTCCATGCACTTACTTTAGCTTAACAATGTAAATAATGTTTTACTCTTTATGTAACTTTTTGTGAATATTTAATCATTTTTATTTAAAGTAAAAAAACAATATGTTTTGTTCTTTATTTGATCATGTATAAAGCAGTGTATGTTTAGTGTTTATTTTGGATTGGTTATGTCTAGTGATTTTTTTCTGCAAATGTTAAGTATAATTGATGCGCTGCTGCCATATAGCATGGACCCTGTTGAAATTTGGATGTGAATCTCAAGGGTATATCCTGGCTAAATAAAGATTAAACAAAAATAATAAACCCCTATAACCTCTAGATGCACCTCACCCACTCTATTCACATGATTAATGTTGTATTTACAATGCCACACCCATCCTCTTGAGACTTCACATAGACTCTCACTGTCATAATATTTCTTGAAATGGACAGTCCATAATGGAAAAAAATTCTCGTTTTTACTTTGCTTGTTATGTATTTTTAAGCCGTTAGTGAGTGCCTATATCAGCTGGCAAAACTCACCATTAAGTGGTGGGGCCACCAACACTTCAAGCGGCATTGGCATCCCTATTGCTCACATAAACACACCTAAAATAGATACTAACTTGTAGCTAAAATCACTTTTTAGTTACGGTGAGCAAGGTTGTAGTAATAAGTAAAAATGGTGTGCTTTGCCAGGAATAGTATACGTGGGGTTGGAATTAATGGTTGGAATTGTGTTGCAGTTACGCTAAGGCTACCCACTTGTACGGTAAAGAGAGACGTTCAAACGTACACACAACACGTGCAAGAAAATCCATTGAGGTGACGAAGTAGTAGTACCTTCTGATGACCATTGATATGTGATGGCCTGCTGATTTGTTAGTGTCAAAAGGATGTTTATTTATCTCATGATGGATAAGTACAATTAGGATCATTGTTTGAAAATATATATTTATATGTATATGTGCTTGAATGATGACTGGCTCTCGTAAAATACAATATCTTTTTGTTGCACATCTGGCAATCATATCTATTAGGGAAATCTTAGCTGAGCCTCAGCTTTTTAAAAAGGGTTCTGCATTAAAATGTTATCGGCAGATACTCGAACACCTATAGAATACCACCCAGACATAATGAGGAGATGGCATTCCAAATCCACAAGGTTTGGTCCACAATCCCATTTGCCATGTGCTTGCCACCCAGAAAGCAGCACACGAAGCACCACACTGGTGTCACTGACGGCATATGCCAATTCCCGAGCCAAAGGATCACCTCATGTTTAACAGCCTATGTTATAAACCAGCCCAGTAGTGGCCTGGGAAAATATATCATAAGAGGCATTGCTGTCCCAATGAGTTTGGTTATTTGGTGTTCTGCCCGAGTTTAAAATGCAGTGGAGCTCGGCAAAAACATTGCGTCAAGTTTGTTGAAAAGCCTGCCATGGTTTTTGGTTTGGCGTTGACAGATCAACTACGTACGCCTTGTTGCGGTCCATAGCAAAATGTATTTCTGAAGCCAAGGCGTTTAGCGCACTGCTGACAGATTAGTGGTCACATTACAATTCAATTTGTCAAGTAAATATGTGGAAACGTTGAACAATATTCCTTTGTTTTAGTTTGCATTTAATATAGATTTGAATTATCAAATAATTTCACACGTCGTTATTCATTTATATCATACAATATCTAGCATTGTGTTCATAATCAACATTGTAGTTTAGATCATCTGCTTCTAGATATGTATCTAGCTTATGTTAATTTGTATTCCCAGGTTGGTTCAATGGGATTAATTCAATACTCTGTTGTCAATACTGTTGTCAATACTATTATACCGAGGACACGGGTTGAGCCTTTTAAATTCTTCAATTTGTTCAGGCTGCTTAAAGGCTCACCGCTTTTCAGCTATCGTCATTGACAGTGTACATGTTGTATATATGTTGAACTTCCTTTGCACCGTACGTAGCCAGCCATGCTAATCGGAGGTGCGGGGCAAAGACGACAAACTAAATACCGCCAAAAGGAGCTCCAGAAGTCGAGTGCCACGGGGCTACTGTAAACTGACCTTGTGTGTGTGTGTGGTAATGGTGCCCTCCACAGGTGACTCGCTGAGAAACTGTCCCCACTGGCCTGCTATGGTTTCTGTTATTTAGCTGCGTGCACAACCAGCACAGCAGTGCAGTTATGGGTAGCGTGGTCTCCCAACATATGGTGCCATCGCAATGTAGTCAATCAATTAGTCGGTAATTTGCTTAATGTTTAAACAGGTGAGACGCAGTGTCTAATGTGCAAGCATATGCAGTGTTATGCGATATAGGGGTCATTTATGTTTATACTATTAACATTGGGGACTGTGGCATCAGGACACTGTCCAATTTTAGAGAATAATAAATATTGTAATATTACAGGGTACAGAAGATGATGCTCTTAGTTCTCTGATGAAATGGCCAAAAGCTTTGAGTGTTGACAAGAGTAAACTGGATCGGTGGAGAGAATGCTGACGAGTCATTAATAGGTTATTCAGAGATGCAGCTCCGAATTTTAGATGATAAATTTACATCTCAAAGTGTGTCCCTGATCAGATGAGCCATGGACTATCCCAGTTTACTCAGTACATTTGATATGCAAGCCATTTACTCTGAAGTGGAAGAGCACTTAGCGACCGAGTGATTTTTGCCAGCGTTATGTCGCACACCTACACCAGCCTTATTGTGTTGTTCTCCGTGCTGCTCAAGCACCCTCTAGCCATTGTTGCAGTCCATAAGTGCTCTGGACAGTTTGTAGGCACTGATGCCGTGGACCCCGTGTGGCTCTTCCCCAGGTCCTGTGGGCGATTACACGTTGCCGTTTGAGGAGGAGCTGGGTCGCCACGCCTCACTCGACGAGATCCAGGAGCTGGTGGTGCAGAAGCGCATTCGGCCCGCCCTGAAGCCCTGCTGGAGGAAACATGCCGTAAGCTCGTTAATAATTATAAAAGCAATACTGCTCGAGTTACTAGGAAAGCTCTCGGCTTTGTCTTGAGACAATTTTTTTTAAAATTACTGCAAGGATGTTTGGCTATTTCTCTCCTTGGTAATTTTGGAATTAAAAATAAACTGAAAATTCACTTTCTCGTCAGGAATAGTGTTTTTTTAACTCGGAGTGCTGCCTTATGGAAACAATCAGTGTGGTCTTGCTCATCTCTGTGGGTGTCATTGAGTTGTCATCAGCAATGATATTATATATCCACTGTTGGGCCCGTCCAAGCTCCCACTATCTTTTACAGTCCTGTGATTCAACAATGCACCGAGCTCCTGCACAAACTGATATCGTTGCTCCATCTCTCCGGCGGATAACATGGCAGGATGTTCCCTCCGTTTGGTGTCAAAATGTGCAGTGTGAATCGAGTGCTCTGACTTCAGTGGCACTGACTTGTGATTGTTCATTTATACATTTACACGGTAATTCATGCTGGTTTTTTTTCTTCTGTGCAATCCACATATAAGTTTATTAGCCACTCTTAATTGTGTACACTGTGGGAAATCCGGGTTGGATTCATGAATGTTTGTGGTTAGAGATGAATTCTTGCTGTGTAAATGTAACGAAGGTATCATGGGGTATGTATGCACATAGGCTGTCATCAGGATCAGAATAATTATACAGGAGGAATCCGATGAGCTATAAAGCTCTATTTCACAGATGTCCTGTAGGGGCAGGTGAGAACGTCATCACACTGCTACGTTTTTTTTTTGAGTGGTGACATTGGCCAGCGGAAATGCATTAGCTACTTTCTGAAAAAAGTTCACGGTTTGAAACCGACAGGCCACCCTGGTGATTACTGCAGGTGGTATTAACTGTAAAATATGCTCCATCTGCTTCACAGTGGACGTTAAAATTACTGCGGGAGTAGGCCATTCTAAAAGAGTAGCCCATTCTTTGCTGGCTTCATAATCCAAATCTGACATTTGGGACATTACCTACAAATGTCAAAATTTGGAGTAAACGTATATATTGCTCTCTTCTGTCTAAATTACTGCAAACTATTTCTGTGAAACATAGTGCCTTTAAGAATGGCGCGAATATGAAATGCACTAAATAATAATTATTCTGTCCCCAGGGCTTGGCTCTGCTATGTGAGACCATCGAAGAGTGCTGGGACCACGAGGCTGAGGCCCGCCTCTCCGCCGGCTGCGTGGAAGAGAGGGTTCAGCTGATGCGCAAGATGTGTTATAGTGGCAACAGCAACGGCAGCAGTAACCCTGGTGGCAACGGAACTTCCGTTGGAGAGAACACTACAGTGATCGTGGCCATTTCCTCATTGGCCGCCGGAGAAGCGCACGACACAGAGACTTGTGCCTTGTGAAACGACTTTAGTTGCTCCCTGTATGGAAGTGAGAGCAAAACAAAGTGAAGAGATCCTGAAATATTGTGCTCCTACGTTAGAGAGAAACCCGGAGGCAGCAAGTAGTGGCAGCATTGATAGTGTGAATATTAATAGCAGCGGCAGAACTGTGGTCACCTGCAAGTGTCTTCACAGTGGAGGCAGAGCTGACTCACAGTACCAAACACTACGAGAGACAGCGAAGCCCTTAGTCATGCTAAAACCGTGAACAACAATAACACTGAGGATCCTTGCCATTAACAGAGTAAAAAAAATATTCGTCACAGAGACCATTACCTCGCTGGCCACAATGGAGGTGCTTTGCTTGGAGATGCGTTTGTGAATGAAGTCATAACTGAATGGATGGATGGAGGAGGATGGCGGCAGGGAGACCTGAACCCTCATATATGACAGCATCTACGTCACCACCCTGCATTAACATTGGCACTGCTGGAATGTCACGAGTAACCTTGGCCATTGCCACGGACACTAATCAATACACAACTGTGAATTTTTACTTTCAAACTGACATAAGTGTAAAAGATGGTAGTTGATGGAAATTTGCCAAATTTAAGTATTTTTATTGCATCTCTTTTTTGAAGACTTAATACTTTTTCTTCATGGATTCGACTGTTTTGTTTTTCACTCTTAAGGGGTAGAATGTAATGGATTTCAGTTACAAAGGAAGGACATGGTTGAGTTTATTGGGGAGGCTCATGTGTTAAGATGGGATAATAAGTCAGCATTACTGGGTTCAAACCTTGAACAAACAAGACACTGCTAAAATTATATTATTTTTTTAGAACGGATATAAGTTAAATCTTGCCTTGGATCAGATTTAACATATAGTTGATAATAAATACATTACGGAACAGTAGGACAACATATTATCTTGCTTTTCAATTCACTATTTCCCAAGAGTCTATAAAATCGGATTGTACATGCTTGTGTTGTAATACCAATCAAAAGATTGCTTTGTTAAGAGTAAAATTAACACGAGAGCCTGTGTTAAGTCTCCCATTCAAAAAACTCTGCTGAATAGCATGTGATCATTTGTAGCCGAAAAAAGATCCATTAAGAAACATTTTCCTTGGAGTTAAATATTCAATCCCAGTATCAGTATTTACGGTAGGATTTTTGTATTAGTTTAGTTTCTTTGTGTGTGCATGGGCAATGAGAGCTGTTGATATTCCCTCAAGAATGAACTTCAAGGCTGACATTTTACCATGCACATCACCAATATTGACAGTAGTGGTGACGTAGGTGGAACAATCGTTGCTCTTTTAGTTTAACATCTATTGGTTATAGATAATGAGATTATAGGCGAGAGTGCTGCGAGGAAGATTCAGAGACGATGGCTCATGATGATCACCTTAAAGAGACAAGGGACATTAAAGGGTTGTTGATGACCTGCGTGCCACTAAACACTGCCACTGAAGAAGGAACCGTGGCAGCAACGCTTAACAGGGCAATTGTTGAAGGCCTCAATGGCAAATAGAGGGGCGTGAGATGTGTACCTACTGACTTTCTCCTTGGAGGAGGGAGCGTCACGTGTCTGCAACCTCTTTACAGGTTTGCGTCAGACCAAAGCTACAGTGGCATAGACTGACGTAACATCCAGGACAAAACGTTGCTTTAAGAAATTAACATTAAGCACCGTTGTTGGATCATTTTAATGAGTTCCACGTTAAATGTTCAGTTTAAGAAGACACTACCGTCTTTGGATAATCATAACTTTATACCAATTATTGAACTGGATACCAGTTTGATGGTGTTGTCGAGATTTGTTTTCTTTGCGAAATTAGTTTGTAGAAAAGATCTGATTTTTGAAGGCTGTACGTTAGATTTGTATTTGAAATATGATGCCTGTGCAAACTCGGCAACTTCAACTGCTCACCCGACGCAATTTCCTGTTAGTATTCTGAAGACGAGGCTTGTGGTGGTGCTCAGAAAAAAATCAACTACTTTGTTTTTTTAAACCAACGATGAATCTTTTGTGATGTTTTGTTATGTATCTGCAAAATCCAATCACAATGGAAAATACATTTTTTTTTTACAAAAAGGTCTAACATGGACACTTATGCAATAGATTTCAACAAGAGGAACTTTCAACGCAAGAAACACTCAAACCTGTTTTCTGTGCACCTGAACCCTATGCCAAAATGTAGCTGTCAGCGCCGAGTGAAGAGCCATAATAACTGCGCAAGATAACGTTTTTATCACTCGCTGCCGTCAGATGGGTTTGTGTGGAAGCATGCTGTGAAGTGTAAAAGTTGCACGTCATATCACTCCTCCCCATTCTTTCATCAACCAACTGTACCTCAGGACTTCTTTCAGCGGGAAGGACGACACTTATGGGCCAATGGTTTTTTTTAGATTTTGAAACAGTGAATTTTCCAGAAAATGTGCAGTTTTACGTTAGATACATTAGAAATGCCAGATCTGCTGCTGCTGCAATCCTAGAAAATTATTTTGCTGTTCTGAAAGTGCACGTGGATGACACCAACTGAGCCAGACTTGGGCCTTCCGACTAAAATATATCAATTGGTACAATGTCTTCGTTGGTGTTGGACATAGGCAGCGATGCTAATGCCACCACCCCATCTCATTAGTAGTTCATTGCTAAAGGCACTTGCCTTGTTGGTAGTTGCCCTTGCTTTACATATAACAATAATAATAATAAAGACAATTCCTACAGTGCCGCAACATGGCAAGCCATATTGCAATGGTGCTGAACAAACAAAGATTACAGTCCATGGCAATGGGAAAGAGATGTAGCGGTACTTGTGGATGTTGATTTTTTTTAAAGCAGTGCCATTTTAAAATGCATTTTTAAAAGTGTTAAGTTGTGCATCTTAGGTAAGTAGGATATCTGCTAGCATTACGAGTTTTGCCAATTGCGCATTTTAAAGGTTTCCGCATGAATTAAAATGACCCTTATCCTTTACATAAGATATGTAAGGTTCAGGGCAAACTAGCACCCCAGCATGTTCCATCAATCTTCTGAAATAGTTTTTTTGTTGCTTTTTTAAGATATATTTCTGATAATTAAAATGCCAGTGTGCTATCGGTATCAAATCCTGAGACATCCATTTGGGAACTTCACAGAGCTGCACGCCACATGTTGGAAAATGGCCTGCTGAAGAAAACTTTCACAGAACTTCTGAAAGTCCTTCCACTGGCCTCTTTAGCCTTTACTGCGCTTTCCTATACCGTTTCTCAAATGAAATTATTGCATAACAGCCGAACCGATATTTAATTGGCTGAGCAAAATTTTTGCCAAATTAAGTGAAAACCCAAAATGAACATGGTGGGTTGTTTTTCTCCCTCTGTTCAGTCATTGGTGGTTGAGTCCGTCCACTTGCTTCACTCAAGAACTTGGTTTATTCACGGGTGCCTGTTGAACACGTAGGCTTTCGCGACCAATATCCATAATACTGTATAGGTTTTTGGTTTAGATCGCGTAAATATATAAATGTGTCATTAAAACCCGCCACCACTGGTGACAAATTGGCATATTCTGTTTACGTGACAACCCTTCCTCGTTGGCTGTGTCGGGTGGTGGCGGGTTTTAACGACACATTTATAGTTTTACGCGATCTCACCCAAAAACCTATATTATGGATCACGGGTGCATGCCAGGAATTTAGTGGAGCTCTAACCTCTGAGCCACCAAGTGGCCATCTGTCGACGACATTTTAATACGGCCTTGATCCTGCTCGTAGCTTATTTATATATTGATGTGAAAAAAAACCATTGGCCCCTCGTTGTTGGTCTCTTTCCAAAAAAATACCGTTGACAGTGCTAAATGTGGGGGGTTATATATCCTGCACTTCCAGCTGCGCTACCAGTCTTTCAGCAGAAGGATTGTACAATATGCCCCCCCCCCCTCAGAAACTGCGGGGTCCCGTAACTTCGGCCCGCAGCAATACGATTGTACACACGCTCTGGACACACGTTCGATGCCCGTTTTGAGTTCGCGTTTTTCGAAAATAGACCGGATGCCTTAGTGGGGCACGCAACGGGACCTGACAATTCGCCTGGAAGTTACATACGAGTATTGACGTATAATGTGTGTCTACGCGTAGACTTGCATGATATCACAATTGTCCCACCCGCCTGCGATGCCTTTTAGGTCATCCATATGAAGCACTGTTGCTGATCAGAATTCAGTAGGGATTATGTAGGGTCTTCATTGGTGGCCTTGCCCCCATCATTCCTTTATTTGTAAATATATGCCATGGCCAGAAGGCGAAGTGAGCGGGGAACGATGGTTCATTCACGTCTCACTGTAGTAAAACAAGTAATGTGCATCACGCCGTTTCGGTTTCAGGTGTTAAAACTGCATTTTTGTATATACAGTACTTTGTACTTTTTTTCAGCTGACAAGAAAACATCTGTTTACATACATTGTAAATACCCGTTCATACAGAAATTCTATAATTTGCAAGACTGTGTTACCAACATTGGAAACCTATATAATTTGTAAACCATCTAGCTTGGTCATTGGTTAATTAAAATTCATAGCGCTATGTGATCAAATGTGTAGATATAATGCTAATGAGCTGTGTAATGGTTTATTATAGCCTGTACTGTATTATAACAATGTGTATTTTAATTGTTTGTGAGGATTGTCAAATGGCTGCCTGAAGATGATTTGCCAGTGTGTTTCTTTTTTTTTCAAGTGCATTGTGTCCCTGTTGGCATATAGTGTGTAAATATGTTGGCTATATGAAGCAACATTGATCATAAAGCTAATTCTGCTGTATTGTAAATTTGTTCTATGCAAATAGACATCTAAAAAAAAAACACTGGCAAAGTTCTATACAATACAACAACGATTTAGCTCATGAGCAGTTTGACACTTTTGATGTACTACATACGGTACCAGTATTTGATTTATTTTTGTAATCCTCAGGTTGTTACATTTACAATGGTGCCATGATATTAATGCCTTCACGATATTCCCAGTGAAGTGAAATGTGAAGTTGGCGTGCCTCTCTTTCACCCACTGGGTTTGAACTAGAGTTAATTTTCACGTATGCGTGTGTGAGATTGTAGAAATTGAAATTCGTGCCCGTGCTTCCGCTTGGTTCTAACACTAACCTAAATTGGAGTACATCTACGATGGTAGTGTTAAATCTGACTGCACAACAGTCGTGTCGTTGATTTTTAAATAACAAGCAACTTGTGTGCACCTCTAGCGTATGACTTGACACGCTGTATTAGATTAATTCTGGCTGTTTTTCACTTTGAGCTCTGTGCAGAATTCAAACATTTGGCTGTTTTCGGGCAGTACAGTAGTGCGTGTGCATATGCTCATTCAATCAAAATTAATCACAGGAAGTTATTGCTGCTTTATTTGAAAGTGATAAGCTTAAAAACATGTAGGCAACAGGAACTATTTCAAAAGTAAACTAAATTTTAAATTTTCATTCATATAACTGATAAATATGTTTTAAGGAAAACAGCTATTGTGAACCCGAGTGTAACAAATAGGAATTTAGCGATAATTAATCATTTAAAGTGTGTTCATATATTCACTATACGTGACTGGAATTGTGCGAATAAGAATCTATTATATACGAATAGTATATCTTGTAATTAGTTCACGTGATCCTCGCAGCCAGTATAGGTGCTGCATTTACCAAATTATTTCTTGAATTTAATTGATCCCCGACTCTTTACAGTTCATTAAATTGAACGGGGGGGGGGGGGGATTGTTTCTCACCTCGTAACAAGACCATCTCGTGATTAAACCAAGAGGACTTTAACGGGTTATGCTCAGAGCCAGACAACATACCAGTGTTGTCGCTTTGAGACGAAGGGTTCATATTAATTTGCCTTGTGAATTTAGATTGTGAATAGTTGTTTACGTTTACTTGGTTAATAACAGAAACCGTTTTTGTTTCTTAGAGCAAGTGAGTTAATTGGTAGCAAGTCACATGCAACACAACACTTCGGGTACTTTTAAAATGTTGAAACTGAATACATGCTGTGTGTACCAGAATAGTATATCATGTATATGTAATACAATTTTTTACAGTGGTTTACGGGTTTAAACGTGCAGGACGTATACCAAGAAACCACCTCATCCGTATGCAGTTACAATGGCAGGAATGTCCACATGGAGTACCTCTGATATCCTTGCTGTATTTTATATACATCGACAAACTCATGTGTTTGTTAATGTTCTCAAGTATGACACTACTGAATTTGTGCTTTTTTTTGTTCTCAGCTTTCATGTTCTGTAAAGATTTGCTTTAACTCCCAGTATGGCTGGCCAAGGGTTCATTTGGTTACATGTGGTAATTTTAAACATGTGTTGCCTCCTGCTTCTCTTTGCATTTCAAATGTTAAGCCGTTGTACATTTCTGGAACTTGTAAATATGATGTATTTGTGTTTATTGTTAAAGTGACTAGTAAAGTTGAATGTCGGACATTTATTACTCTCCTGGCTTAATGTGTTGATTATTTATCTCAATCAATTAACACACTTAATACATTTTGATTTAAAGCTTTCATGACTGCAGGGATTCATATTCTTGGTTCTTTCGGTAAAGTCACGTAGAAGGGAAACAATAAAATAATAAAAATATAAAACAATAAAATTCTCACGACGCTTCGACTGCAACACAAGCAATCATCATCAGGTGTGAAAACCACAGCAAGAAATTTTGAAAAAAGTGGCGTTTTTTAACTTTAGCACCACGGAGAGCGATTTGGCAGTTATTCAGAATATGAATCCCTGCAGTCACGAAAGCTTTAAATCCAAATTTACACTTAATACAACGTTTTAAGCCGTCATACGTGTACTTGTACTTTATCTAAATATGCATCAGAACTATAATCGGGCGCTAACACAGCCAAAATACATGCTTTGAGAAACATTTTTGAAGGCTGATAAGTATAAACGCACACAAGCACAGTTCAACTCGCCTTCACAAAATTAAAGAAACCCAAACATAACCAACGTCACTAAATTCCAAGTGTTATGCCATTGGGGATACCTATGACCGCAGTCTCAAAGTCCACAGAGATAGGTGCACGTGTAAATCTATCAATGTATAATTTTCAGCGTGTTGAATGCTATTTTATCGGTATATTGTCCTCCCAAATTAATGTTAACGTTGAAGAACCCAGGTGACCTCTACTTTGGGTTTTGGTGAATCAATGTGTAAGTTGTGGTGGAAATTTAATTATAGCATGAAAGGGCTTTTGAGACAGTTGAGGACAGTTGTTCATTTATTGATCCAGGATTTTTTAAGTGGTTTTGAAACATTGTTTTAAATAGTTTAAACATTGCTGCCATTATTATGAATTGCTGCCATGTTTTATCACCGTCAATTGAACATTTAAAAAGTTCTAAATCATAAATCTCTAGTTTTTCAATTTTTGGGGGGATTTTTGATCCAAAAATATTAATGGTTTTTTTTCCTGAGCCAACACCATCTTATCTGAAAAGATGACTCGCGGAAGTTCCACTCCAACGTGAAGTCATCGCTGTCTGCCAAGTGTTTTTCCAGCCATGGATTGGCACATTGCCCTCTTCTACTGTTGAGTAGGTTTGAGTCAGCTTTATTTTACATTGGCAAGTATTGAAATCCTCGTGATGCAGTAAAGTCCTCCATTGTATGCACATTTAAACCTTTGAATGAACGTCTGTGCACAATATTCAAGCCATGTAAACCACTTATCTTTTCCACGCATATTGTAATAACACTACCACACACTTCTATCCAGGATAAATACAGCATTAGAGGTGTGTAAACAGATCCATTATCCAAATAAAATATACAGTATTCAGTGCAATTTAGATGTGTATAACATGTGCCACCTTATCTCATACACCTCCAATGAAGCAATCATCACTGCAAATGCATAAATATTAATGCCCTTTAAACTACAGTATTAGTTAACCAAATGGGCAAGGTGAGACATGCGCACTCAGACGCATAATGATGTCACTCCAAAAGTATCTAGCACTTTTATTTATAAACTTTTGGCACGTTATCGAAGAGTGCTGTGCACTTCATCTTAGAGAAGGCCAATATGTGATGTGGCATGACTTTTTACAAAAACTCGGCGCTGTACAGTATCTCCAACAAGCATGTACATGTAGTGGAACTTGACGAGTGCCACTGTGAAATCCCACACGCTTGGACATGACATCATTTCATTGTTGCCAGAATGTGTCATTCATCACCAGAGCTCAGTTTGTTTCCCTCCATTTATGGAATTGGAGAAGCAGATCATATTTGGTCTTGGGATTCTAAACACTGTACTGCTGTATAAACGCATCAGCTACTTAGATGAACACAATACTCATGTATGTTTACAGCTCGTGTATCAATCCACTGCTGGATCAGGGCCTTGCTCTTGTGTTGACCTTATTTCCCCCCCACACACGCTGGTTCGTGTGGGTTAGTTAAGGCGGGGAGCATCTATGTGGATTTGACTCTTGATTTAAAGCTTTCGTGACTGCAGGAATTCATACTTTGGGTCTTTCGGTAAAGTCATGTAGATAGGTTCAAAGAAATAACAAAAAACTATGACGTTTCGATCTTAACACAAGCGGTCGTCATCAGGAAAAGGGGGTTAGCCTCTAAAGGCAAACTGTTTATAAAGGTTTAAAAATGGGCGTAGCCCAAATGTCAGCAGCATGGGCGGGGTAGCTAATGTTAATGTAAGGGAAGTTGCTGCTGGAGGTGATGGGAGTTGTTGGTAGTGATGGTGCTGGTGGTGGGCTTCCACCAATAAAGAGAGTGGGCACTAATGGTCCTGGTGGTGGGCTTCCACCAATAAAAGGGCTGCCAGGTCTTAAATGGAAACATTACAGCCAGTTATGACTTAAACTGGTTGATAACGTCCTTCCAGTGATTGTTGAGTTTGTACCCATCTTCCCAGTTGAAAATTGTGTCTATGTCTGTATATATGGATAGCTTCATGAATTAATCTTTGTTGATAGCCAGTGGGTTTGCAAAGTACCTTCGTCTTAGAGAAATCAATTTCGTGTGAGCCAACCGCATTAAAACAATGATCAGCCACGGCCGAGGTATTGGTCCTGCCGTGTTTCAGATCTGCCTTATGTTCATGAACACGGTCCGAGACATGTCGCTTAGTTTCCCCAATGTTACTACTGCTGCAGACACAGCTTAGTTTGTAGATGCCGGAGTATTGCATGTCAGGGATCACATCCTTCACAGCTGGGATCAGATCACAAATTTTATGTACTGTGTTAAATCGAACCTGGATCTTGTGTTTGCTCATGATTTTTTTTAAATTGGTGACCCGTGCTATGTATGGCAAGGTGATGGTTTTGATTGGGACCTCAGATGTTTTTTTTCCCAACGATTGGGGTGATAGCTTTAGGGATTGTGTAGTATGAATATCCATTCACCTTGAGAGCTTCGTGTACGTGTTCCAGTTCACTGGCTAGGTGATGATGGTCGGAAATACATGGTTATAGGGCAAATATGTCCGTTTTGTAAGAAATATGCGTGCTATTTGTTGTACATATGGATTGTGCCCTGTAGCACATGCATGGGTTTGATGGCCTAGTTTAAATGTAATGAAGCCACTTGCAGTACTTCTATCACACCAGGTGACTGTGATACCTATAGCTGTCAACCCATACGGTTTACCCCCATATTCTTGTACAGGGAAATTGAGTTTTCAGGTCAAATACGCGCTTCAAAACGGACACATTTGTTATCTATTTGTGTCTCTCCCTTGTGATTGGGACTTTGTAGGATGGTGTACGGTGCTTTTTCAGGACTATTTTGATGTTTTTTTTCCAGGATTTTCTGTTTGCACAGTCACATAGTCACTTTAAGATGTTTTCTTGTTCGTATTTTTGTGTTTTTGTTTGTTGCGGTTGCACCCGATTCAAGAGCCGAAAGGCTCACAGAGCTATACCAAATACATGAACTGAACTTAACTGTATAAGGTCACAGGGTGACCAATAATGTCTGAATTGGTCGGTAATAAGTTAGGCACTTATCAGGGGTTGACAGGATACCTAATATGTGATTCCTCTGATTAGCACGGTTGGCTACGTATAGCTTACCAGTTCAACGTACGTTCACCCAGCACTTCTACCGATCAGGCTTTAGCGTTCACTGTGTTAGTGGCTTACCGACGAGTGGATAGGGCCAACACGCTGTTTTATTATAATTTATGTTAATGCTATACCAAACAACGCTGCATAAATTATGTTAATCTTATGCAAAAGCTGCCATTTTGATCGCAGGCGAACTTTTTTCCCCTCTCTGTGCGCGAAGCCGCAATGAGGAACAACAACGCCTTCGCCCATTGGCCCGCACCGCCGTCTCAGCCGCGACGTGCTCCGTAACGCGCCTTCTGATTGGCTGTACGGGGAGTGATCTTTTTGGGCGGTGCTTTTGCCAAGCTCCATCCGCGTCGCCACTTTGCTTCTCCCCCCGGCCTCGCCCCTCATCCGCCGCCGGGTCCGTGGTAGTTTCTCTCTCTCTCTCTCTGGCCCGTCAACTCATTCACCTTCGCAACTATTCAGACCCCCTCTCCCGCAACGCTTCATTTAACTCACCGACCCGCTTGTTTTGGCGGTCAACTAAGCCAACGCCGGTGACTTCACTCCTCTTGATTTGACTTCGGTGCGGCGGCGGCGGGGGCGGTGGTGGCGGCCTGCGGCGCTGGCTGCTGGCTGGCTGGCTGAGGCCTCCTCTGTAAGGCCTTGCGGGGGGTTGGGCCGCAACACGGGCCGGGTCCGAGTTAAACATCAAGTCACCGTCAACAGCTAAGCAGCGGCAGCGTCGTCATCATCCTCGGCGGTGGCGGCAGTCGACGTTTAACGGCAGCCGCGTGCGAGCTACTTGTTGGAGGTGTTCGCGAAGTGGCAGGTTGTAATTGAGGCAAAAGAGTCGAGATGGCGGACCCCGCCGAGTGCAGCATCAAGGTGATGTGCCGCTTCCGCCCGCTCAGCGACGCCGAGCAGGGCCGAGGCGATAAGTTTCTCCCCAAGTTCTCGGGGGAAGACAACGTGGTGATGGGGGTAAGCGCGCTGGCACACTGTGTCTTTTTTTCCCGTTGGTCGCGTTTGCTGGCGGCGACCACGAACAGCACCACACGCCCCGCCATAACGACGCAGACGGTGACTCCCGGCCGTGGGAATGTGCGCTTGGTATTGCGGTCCAGCAGCGCTGCCGGCAGAGATGAGCGTCCGTGCCGTTGAGTTTTTGTTGTTGTTAAAGCCTGGTTGGTACAAGTGTTGGGTGAACGTACGTTGAACGTAGCCAACGGTGCTAATCGGAGGTGCGGGGTGATAGCGGACGAGCGTTTAAAATCTCAGTTTCGGAATCGCATATTCGGTATCCATACCTGTCATCTGTCAACCTTTTATAAGTGCCGACCCTATTACCAAACAATTCAGACCTTATTCTTTTGGTGTTTCGGTAAAGTCACGTAGATAGGTTGAAACGAAATAACAAAAAAACTACGACGTTTCGATCACAGCACAAAGCGATCGTCCTTCCTGATATGAATTCCTGCAGTCACGAAAGCTTTAAGTCAATATTTAATTCTCGACCTTATTGGTCACTCCTGTGCCCTTATAAATCTCAATAGTGTCACTTTGTACAGGTTGAAAGACTTTGTCATCAACAGCGGAATGTAGAATGTACACCGTTAACAGTATCGGTGTCTCGAAGGTGGTCGACCTACGTCGAGGCTTGTCGTCACTCGCGTTGGGCTGCAAAAACGAGACGATTGCCGCATCGTTGCGCTTTTCTCTGGATTTGGTTCGAGTGCCACTTTGTCGAAAATCAATTGAACATCCATTGGAAAGATTGGCCACCGCTGTGGGAATGTGGAATGTCCACCACCTGCTCAGTGCCTGGATAAAAGTGAGTAGTGATTGGCCTATGGAGAGACTTGAGCGCCAGTCGAGGCTGCTACCCACCATGGGAATGTGGTTATTTCACCACTGGTCCAGGGCCACCAAATAAACCATCCTGGCGATCTCCGTAGGCTGACCAACATGGACTTACCACAGAAATGGTATTCACCTTATAAATCAACGTAGCCAGTGGTGGAAATTCAACATTTCCATGACAGTTCGCATGAGATGTGCACTGCTGACTTACAAAAAACATTGCCACTTGACAATGCACCTCTGCGTAGCTGTATAAACGGAGCATTGCACAAATTGCCACTTGGCCATCCACTGGCAATGGCTGAGAGACACACGTTGCTACGTGTTTGAGTCAAATATACAGAACAATTATTTGAATGCATGGCATTTTTTAATACTGTATCAAGTTATGCCACATTTCCAAAGTTATATTGAGTTCAACTTATTTTTAGCCACCTCTACTGCATTGACGCCAAGCAGACATGTCCCTGCGGTACCCTTTCGCCGCTGGGTTCGAATCCAGCGGACTGCCCTGGTTATTACTGAGCGTAATAAACGTATTAACACCCCGTCTGCTTCACAACGGACGTTAGACCCCTGGTGTATTTTTTTATTTAGGCCATTGTGTGGTGTTTTCATGTTCCAAAATTAACAAGTTGGAAACAATAATGTGAATAATTTGAGTTATGCATAACAATCATCGGCCCCTGCTGGTTATCGAATGCACTTGGGTCACTCTTACAATTGAGACTATCCTGGTCTCGTCGCACCGGGTTAAACAAAATAATTTTGAAGAGGATGATAGAAATCTAGTTGTTTAGAAATGGATGTGTAAATCTTCTCGCTTATTATTTCTTAAAACCAACTGGTTTCCTTTATACGCTTTAGTTGCTCTCTAACCCTACGCTTTTGTACATATTGTAGGTACTGCAGTGTAAATAAATCATTGTGTACTAGGCACTTGAATAGCGCAGGCTGTTATTTCCTCAGTTTTGGAGTGCAGTGGCAAGAGGTGGGTTTTTGTCAATGATTTGCAATTGCACCCAGCCGTTTGTAAAGTGATACCACCGATTTGTGGAGTAGCTGCTGACAGTTATTCTAACGCGCCACGAGCAGCCCCGTCACTATTGCGCAGTTGTGCAAGAATGCAGAATATGGCTTGCAGAATTCTGCATTGCAGCTGGTTGTAAGATTTGGCAACGCATTACTCGCTTGACTGCATATCGGGGGGGGGGGGGGGGGCTGAGGAAACTTAGGGAAGTTGCATAATTAACGTGTAATTTAGGGGGTACTAAGTCTACATCACTGTACCGCAGTGCTGCTTGGTATACTCGTCCTGGACCCCTGTGTAGTGTCCGCTCCCTCCCTGTGTGGTTTTGTGTGTGGTCACTGGAACTGGAAAGACTGCGCCACTCCTATTGGGGAATCTACTACCTTCATTGTCGTGCAGGGATTACAGAGGATTTATTTTTAATGAAAGGGTTGTATAGGCTGGTGCTCATGCAGTTTTCTGCTTGAGATTTCCACACATTTATCGTTTGATGTGTATTTACAGACGGTTTACAGAATTTACAAATGTATTTGCACTGAAAGAAGATTTTATTTATTTTTAAATTGTGTTGAATATATTAAAGTGTTTCAACCCATGATTCGGATTTGTTTTTAGGTTGAGCTGCATCCTAAATTCGTGTCATTAACCCTCCACCACCTGACAAGATTATCATATTTATGTTTAATCCACTTGATTTTCCTTTGCATGTCTGTGATGTGTTATCATAATTGCACAGTTTTTAAGATCACTATTAAGAGCATGATATTGCATTTTTCTATCTTACTGGATTATGTTAAAGTAATGGTTAGAGTAGATGACTTGCAATTTGAAGCTTCTGAGTTAATATCACAATCTAGGTTTTACTCAGCCCGTTTGTCTATGGCAGTGGTACCTAACCGTTTGCTTGTCATGTACCTCCTACCAGTCCAATCAACTGTACACGTACCCCTACCAGCCCTATGATATATTCGCTCACCTCAACAGTTTATACGACACTGAAATGAATTAAATAATTGCAAATTCACACAAGTATTTGCATTTACACACAATTAACACCTAGGATATTTTGTTAAAATTGTATTTCTTAAGAATTAACTAAATGTTTGCATTTTGATTTAAAGCTTTCGTGACTGCAGTAATTCATATTCTTAGTTCTTTCGGTAAAGTCACGTTGAAGGGAAACAACAAAAGAACTAAGAATATAAATGTTTGCAGTTTCATATTTACATTTTATTTTCACTTAAAATTCACTTTTGTACTTTACAATTCGATCTGAGTGGCATGGCATCACCAAGAAGTAGAGGAAAGGCTGAGTTTCACTGGGTGTGGAAGGCTAGATAGACTTCATGATGTTCTTGAATTCACTTTGTATTTGTAAAACAAATATAAACATAAATATGATCTTGATTTAAAGCTTTCGTGACTGCAGTTATTCATGTTCTTGGTTCTTTCGGTAAAGTCACGTTGAAGGGAAAGAATAAAATAATGAAATATATTTTCAAACATATATTTTATTGTTTCCCTTCAACGTGACTTTACCGAAAGAACCAAGAATATATAAATATGATCAACCAAAGGGGTGAGAGCACCAGCAGCACATAGAAAGACCCTGGCGTCTAAGTGCATGGGTGCACCGAATTTCATACCGCAGATAAATAAACCGATTTAGAATTGCTAGTGCACGCAAAGCATCATTGCTTTGTAACCCTGCTTAACCATACCCCATGTGATCACCGCCATTATGTGAATATCTCTCACTTCCTAGAGACTGGGAGCATGTGTACCACTGGTCTGCGGTCAATAAAATAACCACCGGAGCACCTGGCCTCACCATAAAAATGTAACATTTCCATCACTGACTCATGGTCGTCAACAAAGATAACTTTTTTTTTAAGAGGGGGAGACGTTTTTGCTTTCGATGTCTAATTTGATTTTTGTTTATTTCCCAGGGGAAACCATATATATTTGATCGAGTTTTTCCTACAAACACCACACAAGAGCAAGTATACAATTGTTGCGCAAGGCAGATTGTCAAAGGTCAGTGGAAGCAAAATGCCCGACTGGTTGTAGTGCACGTTAATGCGTTAATGTGTCACACGGAATAATATGCGCATGCCTGCAGTAAATCAAGGAGGGCAAACTCTAACTTTACACCTTCCTTGTGATCCTAACTTTCCTAAAGAATGAACACAATCGCTTGTAAAATCCTGATGCTAATAAAAAGATGTTCTATCCAAAGTACATTATGCTGCTGCATTGTAATAACCATTTATCTCTGTTCATTGCAGATGTGCTTGAAGGCTACAATGGCACCATTTTTGCGTATGGCCAGACTGCATCTGGGAAAACGCATACAATGGAGGTTGGTAATTAATGCTGTACATGTGCACTGCACTTGTAAATCATTTACGTTACATTAAGTTGATGGTTAATTGTTACTCTTTTATATAATAGCATTATTTTGTTGGTAATTGATATTGGTAAAAAAAACATATCTTCAAATTATTTTTCAAGCTTTAAATAATAACAGTTAATATGTATGTGGCGATACTTAGCATTTTTTTTATTATAGACGTGTTGAAGCTTTTCATGATCAGTTACCTATTGAGATGGCCCAAATACTGTATTCAAACACTTAACACCACATACTTCAAAGATGTGAACATTTGACAAATCCTGAGCATGAGCACTGTTGTTGATCACAACAAAATGAGATGAAAAATGTTCAGTGAGTACTTAGTCACCCCTCGCCCTCCAGTTAAGCTCTACATACTGGCATTAAAAATGCTAATGGGTTGTTATGATTGTCTGTTTATGCTAAGCTTGTTATAGCTGTTGCGGTAGCCAGAGGGATGGAGCAAATTTCAAATCCTGCAATAGAAAACAAGGCGATTATATGTAATGGAGAATGGAATATATGGAAAATTAATATTGCTGTGCTTGGCAAGGCAAACCTGTGTAATGTGCATTTACTTGAGTTGTTTGGCAAATTGACATTCTAAAGAGGAGTCAAATAAACTGTAAATATTTTAAGGATGCTGTTTTCACTAACTTGCACTCACAACAACTCAATACCTCTTGAAATTGGAATATATATTGATAGCACAGCTTTGTAGTGTACATATACATTTGTTACTAAGCAGATTTAAATGTTTTCGTTGTAGGGAATCCTTGAGTCACTGAAAGGATCTTCTTGGTTCTTTCGGTAAAAGGAGTTACCCAATGCATGGCCTGGGGCAGCAAACATACCTCGAGTGCTTTTATATGTTTATAAATATATAGATGATGACGACACTAACCAATATGCACTTACTTCCCCTCTCTTCTAGGGCAAGCTGCACGATTCGGAATACATGGGCATCATACCACGGATAATACAGGACATTTTCAACTACATTTACTCAATGGATGAGAACCTTGAATTTCACATCAAGGTACATCTCCCTCCTGAGCTGCAAATGCATGCTCTTTCTTGAATTTAATGAAGAGGAGATTTCATCTTGCCATGTTGCCTCTGTATTAATGCTCAGCACCTATTGTGTGAAGTAGTGTGTGTTGTGTGTGGACAGTGGTTGTGCAACGCTTAGCGCCCAGCGCTATGAACCCATCAATCTGAGCTTGATTCCTGCTCTCAGCCAACACCAGTGATAATCATCTGAATCGGTCCTCCCCTAGGTCCACTCGGCCTCAAATTAGTACCTTGTGCGATGTATAAACATTTCCACGAGGGAGACAGGAAGCCGGGCGTGGTGCTGGCCTCCCTCCCCCTCATGTGCTGTACCGGCCTTCATAGGTGCTCGCAAACTGCACTTTCCCAAAAGGTCTCTTAGGCTATATGGAGGATCTTTGTCTTTATGCATATTCTTGCATAGTAGTGTGAAAAAATAAGCATGTTTTATTACACCACTTCAGAAATTGAAGCACAAATATTCAGAGCTACAGAGCATTGTAAGTAGTCTCCGTGAGTTTCATTCCTATACACACCATCACAGCTGAGAAGAATTATAACCCCCAGTCGAATGCAAATGCACCGTACACCAAATCTGGTCAGTAGCCCAAATGAACAAAAATGTCCTGGATTGGTTACAATGTTTGCGACACGACAGATTGAACATTAGCATTCAATGATGTCTTCATTTATAATAATGCTATTGAATTAAACAATATTGAGATTAAAAACTTTAAAATAAATGTTTATGCAAAAATGTTCGTCCATGTCTTGTTCCAATCTGCCCCTGTCTGGTATGCATTAGAAAATGTGTGTTTTTTATGATATGTGAATCCCGTTTTGCATTTTATTTCGTTTAAGGTTTCCTACTTTGAAATCTACCTTGACAAAATTAGGGACCTTTTGGATAGTAAGTATTGGTCATTTACATTTCTATATTTTTTATTTATGTTAGTATTAATGTTATGTTATTAAGAATTAAAGTTTATGCATGTTTTTTCTTGTCAAATGGAATGTTTTGCTTGTAGATAAGTTTGTACTGTTATAAATGATCAAATTGAAGTGAATTTTAGGTCTAAGATTTTAAATAAACCTGAAAATCTTGTAATTTCAGTCTCAAAGACCAACCTGGCTGTGCATGAAGATAAAAATAAAGTGCCTTATGTGAAGGTAAGATAATAGTCGTTTTCAACATTTCACCCAACAATGAAACATTTTTTTCATGGGGTTGGTTCTCTGTCTGGGTGTGATACAGGAGTCGAGAATAATTTGTATAGGGGCTATTTTCTGTTTAAAAGAGCTATGGATGTTACTTTTACACAAATGGCAGTGCGTGTGTGTTTAACTTGGCAAGTGTTTTTTTGTCATCAGTGATTCTCTTACTGAGAGACTGGCCTCTTCGAGCTATGTAGAATTGTAGCCAGGGGCTGGTGCCACCAATTAAGGTGATTGAGGAGGAAGACAGTTTGACTTCAGTTTCTATTTAATAGTTGGAAAATCAGGTTATTAAAACATATTTTAAGACTATCACATTCAATGAATTTTGTTTAAAAGTGACTGCTTCTTGGATAGCATGCGTGATTTCGAATTAAATTCTATTATTGGGCATGCAGTAATGCTTTGATGTTTTTTGTATTGTTGTAATGTATTGTTTGTTGTAACGTTCTTACCCACTCCTCGGATTCCTCCAGAATAAATCCATCTTATTCTCGTAGTACAACCTTTCTCTTTCCTTGCATTTTTATAGGGATGCACAGAGAGATTTGTGTCTAGCCCCGATGAAGTGATGGATGTCATTGATGAAGGAAAGTCCAACAGACATGTGGCTGTCACAAGTGAGTTGGCTCCCCGATGAGTCGTACCGAGCTGTTGCGAGTGATGAGATTTATTTTTAAACTTGTGATATAAAATCCTTGACAGATATTTATGGATCTGTCTGATGTTAACATTAAACCACCATCGTTGCTGCTGTATACATTGACAAGTGATCTAACGGGTCAAGAGACAGTTTAATGTATAATACTTTTGCTTGTTAAATAAATTACCGTGTAACCACACTTAAAAACAGTTCATTGGATTTGTTTTGTTCCGTTATATACCAAGGAAATTAACTTTACTGTAACTTATATTTATTTTACATATTCTTTGAAACCCATATACATTGTCTGCAGGGCTATACATTGTGTCATTTATTCAGTCTATTATAGGCAACGTGTTTAGTGTATCCACTGAAAATATATTTTGATTATTTTTGAAATGCGTGTACCTCATCCATGTTTCTAACTGTGCTGACAGGATTGTGCTTTAAAAATTACCCCACTTCTGTATTTAAGCATACATACATGCTGCTCTGGATAGCACACTAGCCATGCAATCCAGGGGTCCCGAAATCAATCTCCTGGCTCAGCAGTTCAAACAATAGGCAAGTTCCTTCATCCTCTTGCCTCTGTTCACCCCAGCAGGATAAATAGGTACAGCCACAGTCGATTGGCAGGTAGCATGTGGTGAGACAAAAGTTGGCATTCCCATCTTTCTGAACACATTTTGCCAGCATGGAAAAGTAGGCGAAAAATCCTCTAGAGGAGCTCTCTTGATTTAGGGCCTTACCTTTTACCATATTAAAACATTTCAGAGGTGCTGCTCTAAAACACAAGATATGTTTGCTGATATATGCGAGTGATCTGTAGACATGAACGAGCACAGCTCTCGGAGTCACAGCATCTTCTTGATCAACGTGAAGCAGGAGAACGTGGAGACAGAGCAGAAACTCAGCGGGAAGCTCTACCTTGTAGACTTGGCTGGCTCTGAGAAGGTAAAGATGTACTGCATTGCTTTTTGCTCTCTTGCCTTATTTAAATATGGCAGACTCATTATCCGTGCTAATGACAGGGAGGATGGCCGCAGATAATTAAAAATCCCAGATAGTACAAAAATATCAATTTTCTGCGGATCTCTATGCGTGCTTAGTCATAAAACTTTCCTGCTCCTGCGCAGAAGAGTACGTCCACTAAGTGGATAGCAGAGCCACGCCAAATCAAAATCAAACTGCCCACTATTGTAAAGATATGAAAGTACTGTGCTGTACTGTCAAGGCACACAGCGTTTTAATACGTTTTTTTTGTGTGGAATATTTGCTAGTTGAATTCCAGGATGTTTCTGTTCCGCGTCGTCGCTTTGGGATGTTCTGTATTCATATTTTGTTTGTTGCGGTTGCACCCGACTTAAGAGCCGCATGGCTCACAGGGCTATACCTAATAAATGAAACTTTAAACTTGAAAAGGCGATCACGTGGATTTCGAATTAACCGGAGCACATATTTTTTTCGGTTTAACCACATGACTTGTAATAAACATTTCCAAGAATAACCGTAGGTTATTAATTTGGGCTCAAGGGAAAATCCATGAGTTGTTAATTTATGTCAGTCTCATGTGCGCGGTTAATCTGCACATTGGATAAACCATACGCAGATAATCGATCGACTACAGTAGTTTTATGCTGCATTACATGGCGGTTAGAACGTTCCACTTATAGTAGGAAATTTTATTTTTTTGGTCGAGTTTCTTCTCAGCCCATCATCTGCATGCGGGGATTAGCTTGAGTTCCAATTGAGAAATCAACAGTGGTTGTCCTGCAAAGAGACACTGCCATGGTGAGGTGGAATATTCACCACTGGCTCAGGGGCCATCAATAAAGATGAGCATCCCCATTTCTAATGTAAGCCAGTAGACACTGACTTCTTCTCACATTAAGTCAAACTCAGGTGACGCACGACTAAGGCAGTATGGCTGAAATTAATGGCTTTATTTCCATTGAGAATGCATTAGATTTGGCAGCATTACAACCCTTTGGGGCACATTTTAAAACGTGCCTATTTACTAATGTCCTTTTTTTGCTGGCTCTGTAAAGTGCTTTGGGGCAAGTTGTAAAAGAGAAAGTTGGAATGTAATTACAAAGATGGCGATTCCCCCCCTTCTCCTTTGCGGTAATAGGTGAGCAAGACTGGTGCAGAGGGATCTGTGCTGGATGAGGCGAAGAACATTAACAAGTCTCTTTCGGCACTGGGCAATGTCATCTCCGCACTGGCCGAGGGCACTGTAAGCCAACGCACTCGTATATGCCACGATCCACGATCCGAATCATTAATTGGTGTGCATTAATTTAATGTTTCGATTTAAAGCTTTCGTGACTGCAAGGATTCATCTTCTTTGGTTCTTTCGGTAAAGTCACGTAGAATGAGAATAAAATAATAAAATAACACAATAAAATTCTCACGACGTTTCGGCCACAACGCAAGCGGCCGTCTTCAGGTGAAAGGAACAGACCTGTCGGGACGACAAAGTTTCAATTGTGGCCGAAACGTCGTGAGAATTTTATTGTGTTATTTTATTATTTTATTCTCATTCTACGTGACTTTACCGAAAGAACCAAAGAAGATAATTGAATGTTGCGCGGCACGTTTATGTGTCGTTTTGAGTTGCGCTGCATCCCTTGTGTTCGAGATCAAATTTTTCGCTTCACCGCCTGCCGAGGTTGGCCAAGTTGTGTCATCTGAATTTTGAAGACATTTGATGCAATTAAACTAAACTGTGATTGTAAATGTGTAAACCTGTGATTTGAAATCATTACATGAAGGAAAATATGAAAGAGTTTAAACTGTACATTTTTTGGCGAATTGAAGTGAAGTTTTGTAAAAATGTAAGTGTGGTGCTTACATAAAATTCATGTCACTTTACCCAAGCGTCTCCTTTTAAAGGGCATTTCGGCTATTATTGGAATTTTCAGACATTTGAAGAGCTTGGCTCGTCACATTGTACCCTGCCTTTTACTAATTAGTGACCTGGAACCAAATCTTTCGACTTTAGACATCATGTACATTTCACCGTATCAACTCGTATCATCTATATCTGTAAAAGGGAAATTTGTGAATATGTGTGTCTGTTCAAAATGTTTAGCATACTTCCCGACATGCGACAAACATGCAAATTTGGCATGTGGGTACTTTCCCGACTGGACACCATGCAAAAATTATCAAAATAGACTTTTGTATTTTTTTTGGGGGGTGGGGGCGCAATAATGGATATATTTTGCACGGCAAGTGAGCTGTGACGTCACATCTCTGTTATGTCACTCGCATGCGGAAGCGTCACGCAGTGTGTCTGCTGATGTCACGCATCCTCCCCCCCAACCCTCGCGAGTAAAGTGAAATACAAATGTGTTGCAGGTCTAAGGCGTTCTTCGCGCAGCATTCGTTTATTATTTGAGTCGTTTCCTGCCGTACGCACCCTGAAAGTTGTATGTCTGCAGCAAGCGCGTGTATGTGTGCCTATGGACGCGCGCTTGTGTGTGTGGGGGAGCGGTAGTGTAGTGGTTAGCGTGCTGTCTGTGTGTGTGTGTGGGGAGAGCGGTAGTGTAGTGGTTAGCGTGCTGTCTGTGTGTGTGTGTGGGGGGGAGCGGTAGTGTAGTGGTTAGCGTGCTGTCTGTGTGTGTGTGTGGGGAGAGCGGTAGTGTAGTGGTTAGCGCGCTGCGCTACGAACCCGGCGACCCGAGTTTGATTCCCGCTCACGGCCACCACCGGTGACGATTATTTGAACCGGTCCTGGGCCTCGCCTAGCTCGACTCAGCCTCAAACGAGTAACTCGTGTGATGTGTGAACATCGCCACTGGGGGGACAAAGGCAGACGGGCATGGTGAATCCAAGTCCCGGGCAAATCCGGGTAGTAAAGCTAGTTACATATATATCAATAAAAGTGAAGCTACATGTTTGTGCATTCTTACCTTTTACCTTTTTGTGTTTACACAGAAAAGCCATGTGCCGTACCGAGACAGCAAAATGACGCGCATCCTTCAGGACTCGCTGGGTGGAAACTGTCGCACGACTATCGTCATCTGCTGCTCGCCTTCCTCCTACAATGAGGCCGAATCCAAGTCTACGCTCATGTTCGGACAAAGGTGCGGCACCACGTGATCTGAAGGGGAGCTCTCAGAAGATGTCACGGCCAACTCGTAATATTATTTTCCGGTCTTGAAAGTTCAATTAATGGTTGGCGTGCACTGTGCTTAATATTTGCACTTGTTTGATGGATTGATAGAGCAAAGACGATCAAGAACACAGTAACGGTGAACCTGGAGCTGACGGCAGAGGAGTGGCGCAAGAAGTATGAGAAGGAGAAGGAGCGCAACAAGGGCCTTCGAAACACCGTACAGCGCCTGGAGCAGGAGCTCAACCGCTGGCGCAATGGTGAGGTGCCGTCCTTGCTGAACATCTGGGAAGTGCTGCACATTCGTTGCAAGAAGCACATTCCAACGCAAAGAGCTGTGTGATTTCCGTGACAAATGATCTTTGCCTACACTAGAAGTATCACTGAAAGTATAAGCACTTACATTTGTCAGTCATCACAAAAATAAAATTACCGTTTTCATCACACTTGTTACTGCCCATCAGGATAATATATGTTTCGGTTTATAGTTTGAGCAGTTGTTTTTCAGAGGGTAAATATGGCTCATAATAAGTTTTTACGATTTTCAGTCCAAATATTAACCTGGTTTGTGTTTTTATCTCATGATGCAGTGGTAATTATGAAGGTGCTGTTTGTTTCAGTTGTTTAAATGCCACTGCCAATACAGTTATAAAAAATAATATTTAATTATCCCCGAACTATCTCTAAGCTAAAATGTACAGCAATATGCTTTGTCAAGAAGACCATTTATAGATGTCTTCAACTTTTTTTTAGATCATCATCAAGGCAACCAATTTTCTTATCGTCACATTGTTTCTAAGAGCCTTTTTACGGAAAACAAAATTTCCCACAAGTAGAGAACGTTTCGTCCTAAAAATTAAAACAGTTACAGCCTTAGGTTTATAATTTCTTACAGTACAATGGATTGGTTTATTGTCTCGGAGTGTAATTTTCTTGGAAGGTGAGACATTTTACTGGTATTGTAAGAAACGGGGCTTTGTGTAAACAAGTATATAGGGTGCGGTCTTACACTGTGCAAAAAGATCTGAAAGGATGATCTCAGTACAGTCAAAGGTTGCCACAAAGACATTTCTCGGTGTACTAACATTTGTAGTGCATTATATATCAGCTGCCAGTGCACTTTGTCGAGTCCAATCCAGACTTTCCTTGCTTAAGGAGCAATGAAGCAGCATTCATCTCTGTTGATGGCCATGAGCTACTGATGGAAATTACACATTCTACTGTTATTTATATTCTTTGGGTCTTTAGGTAAAGTCACGTAGATAGGTTCAAAGAAAATAATAAAAAAATAACAGAATACTCGACGTTTCGACCGCTTGCGTTGCGATCGAAACGTAGTTTTCTGTTATTTTTTTATTATTTTCTTTGAACCTATCTACGTGACTTTACCAAAGACCCAAGAATATGAATTCCTGCAGTCACGAAAGCTTTAAGTCAAGATTTATTCTACTGGTAGTTGCCAGTACATTTAGCACAGTGCATTCTATGAATGCGGGTTAGTGATTATGCCTTTTTTGGGTCGGCTTCATTATACAGGAAAGTTTTTTTTTATGTTTAAAAATTTTTTTTAGCAATGTTTAAGGATTACTCAGTGATGTTTAATGTAATCCAGTGGTGATAGTGCAGCACAGTCTTATATTAAACCTTTTAAATTGATCATTTTGTTTAACCCTCCCATGCATTATGTCCAATGTGGTGGACTGCAATGATTCATGTAACTGCTATTAAATTACTTGAAACATTTGAACAAATTTGGTGTATTGATTCCAAAGAGTGCATTAAGCCAAACACAATTTCTCTTTGAATAATTTACGCGTGAGAGTTATCTTTTATTTAACTTGATTAAAATAGTATAATTCGCTTGTATTTGTCACTGTTCATATTTGTAATGGAGCCGCTGTTTTTGTTTTCATTCTAACTGGTCATTTTGTTACTCCAGAATTGTTTAAGGCCTCGTCGGGTTTTACACTGAAGAACAACATTTAGTGTGTGGCTTTGTTATAACTCACTGCTGGTGACTTGCTGCTATCTCTGTTTCATTGATTTATAAATGTATTATGCTTTCACTGCTCATTGTATTAAAGGGCTACTTGTGATTGTTGTGGTTAACATCTGTGTAATGTTATCGTGTCTTTCTCAGCAGACCCTAACCATAACTTATGCTTCTCTAGTAAGTGTGTGATCACTTGCTTAGAAATAGAATTTCCAAAGTGCTCAGTCAATCTATAAACATCAATCCAACATATTAAGGATTGCACATAGCTTTTTATTGCATGTCCTGCATGCATTTTACCTCCATGTGTAAATGATTTAATTTCCCAGCCATGTGAATAGTAAGTTCATGGTCTTGCACGATGTCATCCTTCCCTGTGTCTGCTACGATGGATTTTTTTCTGTCCTTGTTTTGCATGTGGTTTATCTTAAGTGTGAAAGCAACTTATCCCTTCCTCAAGTACAAACAGTGTAGTACTTCGTCCTTTGTCCACTAAAATAGACATTTTAAATATGAAGCAATGCAAAAAATTTGATGTTGAAATTGAAAAATGCATTCTCCTTTAGTTCATAGTCACATACTATTTAGGTGGGTGTGAAATTTGAAGTAACCATTTTTCAAAGTGAACATATGCGATACAAAAAAAAATCGAAAAATAGCGTAAGCATAACACTTTTAACTCATCATGGCCAAAAGGCATTCAATGCATCTTCCTGCTCAAACAAGTATGGACTGGTGCTCAGCTTTGTTTGCGGCTCTGAGCCACTTGTCGGAAAATACATAGTCACTTGTGGAACCGTTTTCATGGTGAGAACCAATCTGACTTACCATCTAGTGGTGCTCCATTTTTTGATGCCAGAATGATGAGTTGAGTTCCCCCCCCCTTACCATCTAATTGCGAGTTTTGCACTCTGTGAGTTGAGCACTCAACCATAGTAGTTATTCCAAATTTTCTGAAATGGCTTTTCAAGTAAACATTTTGAGGTTGCTTTCACATGAGAGACATATGAGGAGTTGCTTGAGATACTGAGTCAACGCTGTGTTTGGTGAGTAGTTGCCCGCCTTGACGTACCTGTGCATGCGTGCGTGGGACAGGCGAGACGGTGCCGGATGACGAGCGCTTTGACATGAAGGACCGCCGTAGCCTGGAGGCTCCGTCTTCCGAGAGCTTAGTCTCCCTTCCCTCTATCGCCGCTTCCGTGTTGGACAGCATTGCCTTGCCCAGCAGCAAGATGTCTGCTGACGACAAAGTCAAGTACGACCAGGAGGTGGTCAAGCTCTACAAGCAGCTCGATGACAAGGTGCAGATGGAGTGGGGAAATTACGGCAGCAAGGGGTAGTATTAATAAACTCTTGATATCAACGTCAAAAGTCTGTTTTTATAGCCATATGCACCCATTGGTTGCCCTGAGACATAGCTGGAATTTCACATTACCATGATAAAGGTTGTTCTCACTGTTAGGATGATGACTTAGAATGATGACTGTTGTCAAAATGACCCATTTTCCATTCATGGATGACACCATAATTCCCGCTTTGCGGGAAATGACCCAAAATGAATAAGGAGTCTTTTTGACTCCCAACCTGCATATTAACTTGGGAATTGCATTTTGTGAATTGAGCACTCTAACCACAGCCAAAATAGGCTGGATCTTTGGTCATGTATAATTTCCAAATAATGTATGTTGTTGCTGACCTCGTTTTTGTTTTATCTTTTCAGGATGATGAGATCAACCAACAGAGTCAGCTGGCAGAAAAGCTCAAGCAGCAGATGCTGGATCAGGAAGAGGTTTGTGATGGATCCCTCCCTGTTGTTGAGATATGTCCCCATTGCCAGCAGAGCAGTGCACCACTATGTAAAGCTCGGCTCTCCCTACAAAATGCGAAACCACAGTGACCTGTCACATTGTCTTTTAGACTTTTTTCAATTGAGAAGCAGCAAACCCATTTATTTTTGTTATACCTTTTGGTAATGTTTGTTTAACATGTGTACAAAGTGTAAAATAATGGGTTCATGCATAATTCAGTTACTGCTCCTGGGGCAATTTTACTACTCAGTCATTTGTGGTAAAGTAGCTTAGTTACACTTGGCACATGCAAAAAACATGCCAATGCTGTATACTATATTAATTTTACGCTAAAACTACCATAACCTTGCACTGAAGAGCTTTCCATGTTCACACACTGGCAAACAATAGAATCAAATCTCATGTTACCTTCTTATGGTTGAGTAATATTCAGTGTTGCTTAAGGGCTTAAATCTATCCACATTGCCGAGTCAGTGCTTGTTGATACAAGCTGATGTGGGGAATGTGCTGTGCAGTGGGGTTTTACAAGTAGCTGAGAGAGCTTAACATAATTCACCTATATCTCAGCCTTGTGTTTAGACATGGGTCAGACGTTAAAATCACTCTTTATTTAAAACCAGACAGTGAGCAAGCCAGACATTGACTCATGCAAAACAGATACGAACAGTATTAACTGCATGCTAAATTAATTTGCTACTGCCATCTCGCATTACTGCATATTGACCTTGCCAGTCATACAGAGGATCTTAAAAAACATTGCATGATTGTTGTATCGAACTACATTAATGTAATTATGGCAACGATTAATTAACTCCTGGGGGAGAACATCTTGCAGAAGACAACGTGGATAATTAAAATAATTTGATCATATTGACAATGACACAGTACAAAGTGTAATTTTCTTCCCAATGATGTTGCAGATATATTAATCTCTCCATTACAAGAGGGTAGCATGCATACGTACTTTTGAACAGAAGTTGGAATTTTATCATCAAACACCCAGAATGTTTAGGCTCATTGGTGAGACTGCTGACCCCGCTGTGCTGCCTGTTCTCTTCACTTCTCTTTGCAGCTCCTGGCATCATCACGGCGGGATTATGAGTTTGTGCAGGAGGAATTGTCACGGCTGCAGACTGAGAATGAGGCAGCAAAGGAGGAGGTGAAGGAGGTGCTCCAAGCACTGGAGGAGCTTGCTGTCAACTATGACCAGAAGTCTCAAGAAGCAGAGGACAAGACCAAGGAGAATGAGACCATATCCGAAGAGCTGCAGCAGAAGACGGTGGGTGCTTGAAAAACGCACTGTGAAAAACCTGAGCTGTTGCCAATACTAAATCACCAATCGAGTGTTAACTGTTTCTCCACAATTAGCCACTACCCCAGTTCCTCCTGGTATGACATTGTATGTATGTTGAACTTCTTTCGCGCACCGTATGTAGCCAACTGTGCTAATTGTCGGTGCGCTAATTTGAGGTGCGGGGGAAGGACAACAAACTGTCGTGCAACAATTCCATTGTTTGCCATTGTAGGCCATCCATGATATCACAGATGAGTTCATCATCATCATTACACGCTTAGGGTTATAACAATGAGACACCTTTGCCAATATCAAGCTATTCAATAATAAAAAAGCTTTACCCATTTTGGTACCAGAATGGGTAAGGGATTTTTATCATTTTATCATTTCATTGCTTAGGGTTGTTTGCAGTTTTTTCTTGTTACAATTTATCATGATCACTGAAGTCCCATAATTATAACGATCAGAGCTAAACTGAAAAGGTTTTTGTCCTGAGTGCACCTGTAAGTTATACTTCAATGTATAGAACATATAGTAGTTTCCGTGTTGTGCAACAATTGCATTTTATTAAGTCTGTTATTTGATAACTTTTCAGCTGTTATATGACTGGGTATTTTACATCCTATTTATTGAGTGACTTAAAATAGACTTACTATTGGATGCCTCGCACATTGGTTGCTCTTGAGGTTTATTAAGTCATCATGTTGTCATGATAGAAATACGTTGATATATTTGCAGCTGAAAAGAATAACAAAACAAATAATTCCGGTTTAGTTCCAGTACAGGTCTGCCAAATGGAAATGGGCCAGTGCTTTTAATATGCCCCATTAAACCTGGAGGATTTTTTTAGGAAACACTGGTAAGCTGTGGTGCCATCAGATTCGTTGGTTGTTGTAACTTGTAAAATTGACAAGAATTAAACACCTTTTTGAAGAGTACTCTCATCTGCTTCTAAGCACTTTGTGCCATGTCACTTGGGCCCCTAGACGTTTCTGTCGAACAAGGAATCGGAGCTGCAGCGACTGCAGGAGGTGACGTCACATCAAAAGCGTCGCGTGGCCGAGATGTTGACGCTGCTCATGAAAGACCTGGGGGAGATGGGAACTGCCATCGGCAACAATGACATTAAGGTGAGACATTTTTTCTAATGTATTTTGCAAAAATCCTCGGCAACTTTGCCATATAAACAACTTTGAAACACTTCAATACAATGCATTTAATATTAATTAAAATGCATTCGTGTTATTTTTAAGTTATAATAGTTTTTACCTAATGCTACCAACGTGTATATCCCATCTTTTGTACAGTACCGGCTTGGTAAGGCTGCTGATGGGATGTGATAGCAACACAACGATTGGCTATGACGACGCCATGCAAACTACGGTTAGCCAAGCCTGCACGTGTCCCTCTGAGACACGCACCACTATGTGGAGCGTGCCACTGTGGGACGTCGTAGCGATGCGTGCTGGCTTGGCCCACGCACTTTGTATGCAGTTGTCTTCAAGAGACGTTGGCAAAGTTCCAAATGTATTCGGTTTTCCAACTAAAATTTAAATATACGAAAATTCATGAAACCAAGATGCTTTTTAGGGTTTAGCTTATGAATCGTTTATTTTTTTGAGCAAATGTGCAGTGTTTATTTTTCTTTTCACATTGACGTTTGTTATACAGGTGGAAAATATAGGATCCCTCACTCATAGATTGTGAGAAGATTACACGATTTGAGTGGGCACTGATTGTGTACATTGTTCTGATTTCTATATGATTTTGGCAACAATGTACATTAAATATAATTCATGGGAAGTCTATAGTGACTGCAGAATTTGAACCACTGGCTTAGGGCCACTGCCACCAGTGCAGATCAGTACTACCTCTTGTGAGCAATAATTAACATTTATTTATGAAGTCTGTAAAAAGATAACCTTCCACTTTGTAAGGGCAGACACCTTATATTTTAAAACAAACTGCTAGGGTTATTTTCCTAGCCAATATTAACATTTAACATTAATGATAATCATACATCGGCTACTGACACACACACCCACTCCATAAATGAGTGAAGTGTTGTACCTTTTATTGTCGTTGAAAATCATGTGGCTCACCTTTCTGACGTGTCTGACCCAAGGGAAAAGGGTTGACCAAATGCTTGTAGAAGGCCGGTTCTGCATATATTGTTGTGAATGCCTTTAGTTCAGCGCAGACTTATGGCTTTCCTCTTGCAGCCCCTGGAGCTGAGTGGCATGCCAGACGAGGAGTTCACTGTAGCTCGTCTCTACGTGAGCAAGCTCAAGTCCGAGGTAAAGACGCTGGTAAAGCGCACCAAAGTGCTGGAGAGCTCGCAGGGAGACACCAACAAGAAGATGGAGGAGAACGAGCATGAACTATCCTCCTGTCAGCTGCTCATCTCACAGGTAACCACACAGGCTATTCGCCAGCACCACTTTTATTGACAGCAGCACCACTGCCTATTAAACCTCCAGCAATGTGCCCGTAAATGTGAATTAACAAGTGAACTTCGTATAGCATAACGGACGTCACGATACAAAGAGGAATTTCATTTTGGAATGAGCCTAAAGCAGAGGATCGGCTGCATTTGGTTCCTTGCAGCACGAGGCAAAGATTAAGTCTCTGAGTGAGTACATCCACAACATGGAGCAGAAGAAGCGGCAACTGGAGGAGACGTTCGACAGTGTGAGCGAGGAGCTGGCAAAGTTGCGTGCACAGGGTGAGTTGCCTCCAGGCCCCTCCATATTCCAGTAGTGCCATCTTTTGCGGTTTGAGGACACAAATCATCTCTAAAATATATTTTTGTGATCATTATTCACATACAAATTTGCAATGTGTTTTTAAAGCTGTTTGTCCACAGAGGTACCCAACCAGCTTTCCTAAATTTGTATAATATTGGGGAGTGATATTGGGGAGTGATTAAAATGTTGAAAGATACTTGCCCAATGTGATTGCCTGGAGAACAAAGTTGTAAATGTTTATTCGACATGTAAACTCGGAGATGATGTTGTATGTGTCAGGTGTTCCTTATGATTATTATTATTAGACGGAGTGTTTATGTTTTAAACCCTGGAGCCTAGAATTCAAAATATATTTAATCACTTTCATCCCACGGTGTATAAAATGTAAAAGGATTGTGTGAGCCTTTGTAATGTAATTTAGTGCCATGACCAGGTTATCTCATTCCAAAGAGCAATTATCTCGCAAGGTGGTGAGGTCATTCCAGGGTCAGGGTGACTAGGCCAATTGGCATTTGATTACCAGTAAAATGCACACTGTCAGTTGGGAAGTGACCAGTGGTTCTGCTGCAGATTGATCCTGGCTGTACAAATATGGAAATTCCGCCATGTTCTTCTTCCACTAATTACTACTGCCCATTACTAAAACGTCTATGGGGACACATTTTGATATAGTTCTAACTCGCTAATACATTGTTGTATGCTTTTCTTAGTGAAACGTTGTAACAGTCGTAGTGCATTTTATCTTAAGAGCCAGCGTACTCCTTTGCTGTATACCATACATAACCGGTGAGTCTCTTATGAATATAATTAATCTGGGAGAATCCCAGGTTACTGGTGTATATGTGTGTATAGGTGCTGATGAAATTGTGTTGTGCGTATAAATTGACCCGTATGCTGTGTTATTTCCTTGCACAGAGAAAATGCACGAAATGAGTTTAGAGGACAAAGAGAAGGAACATCTCGACAAGCTGCAAAATGCCAATGAAATGCAGGCAAGTCTTTTGTGGTTTGAAGGTGCCTTCTCAATCATGCTGTTTTATTTTTCGATGCATACAAACCGTTATGCAGCATATCTAAAGCAAATGTTCAATTTTATTGCGAGTCTTATAAACGATCGATTGTATTTCAGTAAAATGTTGGTTCACTTACACGTGGCTGAGTAGCACCGTGATAAAGTTCACATCTGTTGTGAACTTAAGTATTTGTCCTGTCCCGACTCAAGTTTTCATCCTTTCTCGGTCAATGAGTACCCGTTTATGATACATTCAAATCAGTTTTTCTACAAAGGGTTATGGCCCTCTGCTTAAATCTGCTTTACTGCCACTAACTGAAATGAGTACCACCCAACTGTTCTTTTAACAATCTTCTTGGTTTTACTAAATGTTAGCCATATGCACTAGACCTGGGTAGTTATCACACTTCCTTGCCTGGATTGTTATTCCTTTCTGGGATTATAATGTCTAGTGAGCTTGTGGGGACTGCGATTGTGGTGGGGGCTGGGCTGTATGAATCCCAGCAGGGGAATCGGGGTATAAGGTAGGGCCCATGGGGCCTGCATAGCATAGTGGAGGCCAGCCTAGGCACAGTCCTTACCCGTGCCCATGTACTTCTGGGATGCATGGAGCAGCTAATTTTATAGCCAATGCTATTTATACATGCAGCTGCCCCATGTATGTGCAAGTCTTTGAAGTGAGTTACTCCTTGTATAGTCTAGGCCAGCCAGGCACCACGGTCTCCTCCCTTCTTGTCTTACCGCACGCCAGAATTGAGGTGGGATTGGTCCTTTTCTTTTCTCATTTGCCATTGACCATATATATTTACCAGCTGGCTGATTTTAACGTTGCAATTGCCCATAGAATAATCATGAATTCTGCAGGTGTTATCCAGAGTGGGATCGTATATATCGAATATGATTCCCGTTCTAATGCACGTACATTTTGGGCAGATTCTATTTGTAACTTTTTTCATGGATTCAATGTAGCAATGGAACAGCCGTGTGCTGATTCACAAAATTGAGAACCTGAACCAGTTTCGTAATCTTTACCAACACTATTTTTCATTTATGCCTACATTGATAGCACTGAGCTGAAGAATTCACAAACATGTATTTCCTTCTGTACCGATGTTTAGAAGGAGCTGGAGCAGCAGATGTCTGTACACCGCGAGGCTCACCAGAAGCAGCTCTCACGCCTGCGGGATGAGATCGATGACAAGCAGAAGGTCATTGATGAACTCAAAGAGTGAGCAATCCCATGCAACCATCCCTACATTTCACTCCACTTGTTTGAGCAGAGGATGTTTTCTGGTGCCAGCAGGACTCTGTGAGCAGACATACCATGCTAAGCTCCATCAGTTTTACCCTGCTCCAGTAATTCCAGTGGAATTATGGCAGTTGTGTGAAAGTTACGGTTGTTTGTTGCACTGGTATATACTTATCATTTGCTGTTATGGAACAGCACCAAGGAAAGCATTACAAGCTTGTCTCACAAAACGGCTTCTGACATTTCTCCCACGACTTTTTAGGATCCTAGACAAAAAAAAATAATTCCTTTGGGTTGTTAGAGCCTAAGACAGGGTTCGGCAGCCCGCGGCTCAGGAGCCACGTGTGGTTCTTCAAGGACCTCGTATTCGCAGGCATTGCAGCTCTTGAAATATTGAGTTTTTTATCGAATAAAAAAAAATGTCTCGTTATTTTGGTTGCGGACCCCTGGCCAAAGGCATTTACAATGTCATAAGAACCTTCAATAAGGTCCGGTTTGATCGGGTCAATGTGCAGTGACCCACAGTTCTTAAAAACACTTATTGTGAATGTATTTTCTTTGTTTTCTAAAAGTAGTTATTGAACTTCTTCTGCACCATATGTAGCCAGCCGTACATACTATTACCATTTGTAGTGTTTGCATGTGCACGTGCAGGCTCTGCTCGGTCCATCTCATGCCGATCACCCTGCGAACCAACGTTGTGGTGCTGTCCTATGACAGTAAAACCACAAACTTTCAATATAAATTTTGTAATAATGACATGTACTCTAGTATGAATATATTATCCCGCAATGCATTTATATAGATCTCCCTGCAGGAGAAACAAATCATGGTTTAGTTTTACCTTGTGTGGAAATGTGTAATGTTTTTTGTCCTTATTGTTGGTTTTGGCTGGGTATTTACATGATGGCATGCCGAGATCTGGAATATTATAGAAGAGTAGGTTATGGATTAGTGGAAAGAGCTATGCACATTTGTCTGAACCATCGGACATCTATTTTCAGTGTTGTCGGCAAGCTAATGAGCCTTGAAACCTGCCTTTTAATTAAACCCCGAAGGGTCATCTTTGTTATGTGAGGACAGATTGATATTGACATATGTAAGGTCACAGAAATAGCTTTTTCGGATTCCTGGAATTGCCTATGATTGTATTGGTGACCAAGTGGAGTGCGCAAACACTCATGACTCTACATGAATCACCATAGCTTGGCGTGAACGAATGTTACCTCCCCTATGTAAGTCATGTCCCCTATTTTACACTCCAATTTTAATCAATAATGCAATGCAAATCAATGCATACTGATTAAACTCACGTTTGTTTTGGTACGTTTGGTAACTGGAAGGTTGCATGGTTATGAATAAATGTTAGTGATGCATAAAAATTGGGAGGAAAATAATCTGCTGAACAGACCAGGGACTGTACATTTAGCAACAAATAAGGATAGTGGATTTTTAAGAATGGTATATATTTATATTTTACCATAAACCCAAGCACAATTGGAACTGAAACTTACGTTTTATGACCAGTGTAATGTGTAAACATAATGACAGCACTGCGACTAATAGTTGACTTAAATTGATCAAAGTTGCATTGCAATGCTGATTTGTCTTAAAATATGCTCTAAGGGAGCCACATTGGCACTGGACAAATGACCAGTGCCGGATTAAACAATTGCAAATACATTGGCACAATGACGGCAATTGTGGAATTTAGCCTGAAACTGGAATGAGTACTGCCTTGAATGAAACGCTGTGCATTGGTGTGTAAGGAGACCACTGACCTACATGTGCTTTGCATTTGCAGCACCAACCAGCGCTACATGTTGGAGCAGGAGCGCCTGGGTAAAGACTACGATCGGCTCAAAGCTGACGAACAGGAGAAGAGCCGCAAGCTGCACGAACTCACGTGAGTGAAACCATCCATCGTGCCACCGTACCCCTCGCGGCATAGTGTATGGGAGTCATAAACAGGGCCCTATTAACCCCCCATTGGCAATCTGCCCGTGAAAGGCGGCAGTGGATATAATTTGATTTTGAAATGATTTGGTTTGTTTTATGCATCCTTATCATGTCTTTCTACCCACAAGTCAGATCACTCTATATTGAACCAGCATTGTTTACATATTTGTCGGTAGTGTGCCTGGTCCTAGGCACCATAATCTGCTGCTGAACATGAAGTATCTGTACAAGTAGTGCTTATCGAAGTTCTGTTATATGAACAGCGACATTTCGGGAAACGTCTTTTCTTCATAGCACATGATGAGGGACCATTGGCTGAAAAGTCAGCCAATGCTTTGCCACCAAAATATTTGTTTATGTCAATCAGCTGTTCAAACTTTTTCATCTGTACAGGATCATGCACGACCGACGTGAGCAAGCCAAGCAGGACCTAAAAGGCCTGGAGGAGACAGTGGTATGTGGTGCTCTGTAATTATCAAGTGGTTTGATAAAAGTTGCAATATGTTTGCCATAATATGCTTTTACTGTGTGACGTCATAGCTAGCTAAGATGTGACAGTGATGCGTGCCGGTTTGGTTGATGCAACTTGCATGGCATTGTCTTTGAGAGTTTTAGTTTTGTATTGCTTATATATTCACAATTCCAAACACATGAAAATCTATTGAACCAATACATTTATTAGACTTTAGCTTATTGATAAAAGGTAAACTTATAATTTATTTGGTTAAGGAATTCTGCTATGTAATTTCATTTCGGATGAAAGTGTTTTCCATATCAAGTATGAAAATACAGATTCCCCACACATGTTGTCATGATACGTCACTGCACGCGTTTTTTTATATATATATCCCTTGTCACCGAACTTTATAATAATCCATAATAATGAATATTAACCGTAAGCTTCATGCAATGATAATGATCTCTGAAAGTAAGACATCAGGTGGCATCACTGCGACGCCATATATAATTATTTTGTGTGTGTTCCCAGGCCAAGGAACTGCAGACCTTGCACAACCTGCGGAAGCTGTTTGTTATGGACCTTGCAACCAGGGTCAAGCGGGTGAGTTGCATAAAGCAGTACACGCTGCGAGTTGAGAGTCCACTGTAAAATGTTACAAGTCCTATGTAAATTTAGTTTTTTTATATAGCACAGATTACCTTGCATTCCAGAGATTGTAATGAAATACCATTTGTATTATGTCTGTACTTTTTATGTTCCACCCAATCTAATTGTGTACATTTTTTCCATAGTGATAGTTCTATACCTATTTTTTATTCATCAACAGTTGTCCTGTATATAATCTTGTCATGACCATAGGAATGTGGTATTTTAATTTGTTGGTTTTCAAATGCAGATGCAAATTTTGAGCTTGGAGATAATTCATACTTGTTTTAGATATAACCCAAATTGAATGGTTTATTTCGGTCTCAAACAGTTGAAAAAATCGAAACCCAGTAAACTGGCACTGGGAACCTGTGGACTGGGAAGCACGATTTATAAAATAGGAAAGGAAATATAACCATTGAACAACGTCTACATGTCTCATTTGTTTAATGGCAGAGCACCACACAAGCCAAAATGAAAGGTTTAAACTGTTTTCTGTACAGTTGAATCGTTTTATTTCTCTGAGAGTGAACACAACTGTTTGCCTTACAAATTATAATCATTCTTGAGAGTGGCAGATCTCCTTTACGATGCTCTGGCAAAAAAAAGGACCAGCTTGGCATGTGTTAATGCAGTGTGTGAATCCTTTGAAAGGAAAGATTTGGTACATCCAGGGTTGTGGTCATTAATATAATGAATTACACCCACAGTAACTACTCATGTTTTGTGACTGGAGTTGTTGTTCATTTTCAGAATGCTGACATTGATGTGGATGATGCTGGGGGAAGTGCTGCACAGAAGCAGAAGATCTCTTTTCTAGAAAACAACCTAGACCAACTCACCAAAGTGCACAAGCAGGTAAGGCTTTACTTTGGTGTACGATTTGCCATTTGGCCCTATGGTAAATTTTAAGAAATCCTTGCCAGCAATAATCACTCGCAGAACATAGACCATGAGCAACTATATCAACTTGGCGGACAGCAGAACGGACTGAGTCATTCCTCTATGTTGCCCACTCAGTCAATCGGTCAATACAAAATATCTTTCACGTGGGCAATATATGGAGGTGAAACATATAATTCTATGGTTCTTTTGGTAAAGTCACGTAGATAGAAAAAATTATAATTAAAAATAAAGTGATTTAAAATATCACGACATTTCGATTGCAACACAAGCGGTCGTTATCAGGGACAGGGAGGTTATCCTCTGAGGGTAAGCTGTTTATAAAGGTTTAGAGATGGGCGGGGCAGCTAATGTTAATGTAGGAGAGAGCTCCGACACCGGCAGTAGGTCTACACCAATAAAAGCTGTTTATAAAGGTTCAGAGATGGGCATTAACATTAGCTGCCCACCCATCTCTAAACCTTTATAAACAGTTGCCCTCAGAGGCTAACCTCCCTGTTCCTCATGACAACCGGTTGTTTTGTGATCGAAACATCGTGATATTTTTAATCACTTTATTTTATTTTCGTATTATTTTTTCTATGTACGTGACTTTACGGAAATAACCATAGAATATGAATTCCTGCAGTCACGAAAGTTTTAAGTCAAAGTTAAACATCTTGTTTGAAAGGGTTTAAGCTTAGCTTACCAGAAAATTAGAAAAATGAAAAGGCTTGTTCTATCACCTCTCCAGATTTCACTCGTGTACTGACTGGAAGCCGCCATCTCTCAAATGTAGAGAACTTGAAGTCAGGCAGCCATGTGATCTCTGTAATATGATTGGAAGTTGCTGTCCCTGTTGCCCCATACGTGGAGCTGTGGTCAGATTTGTTCAGATACAAATAACTATATAGGTCCATACGGAAAGGCTTTGACAACTTGCTGGTGATAATTGTCAATGACCCTGACTCAAAAATTCCCCTTTGGATCGCGACATTTAACGTCTCACTTAGGCGGAGATATCGGAGAATAAAGTCAATAATATGCAACCTTCTTAAACTCTGCAGTGGTCATTTAAGGCTTTATATTTAAGTGTCTTTTTAAGTTAAAATAGACGTTTTTAACCATGGTAGCCCATCATCCACTATTCCTCGGAAAATTTGATAAGGCATCAGTTTATGGAACTGCAGGTAAATCTTACTTGGCATATAATATTAAATGTTTTGCAGACTGGAATGTCAGTAACACCAAGCTGGGAGGGTTTGTTCGGCTTTTCTTTGTAAAAGTGGGTAAATGTACTGTGAGTTGTCTTTTAGCAGAGTTTGTTATGTTGAGTCTTAAATGCCGTTGGCCAAACTGCAGCTTATAGCACAAAGGTTGCCAAGTATGTTTAATTAGTTCCTATTCGAAAATGCAGGTGCTAAAGAGTACACTAAAGTGTGCATTAATCGTCTTGCCATTCAACCCCAATATTTGCCCTTTTGAGACACATGAAACTGCTGTGCAAAAGTCTGCAGTTACACATATAGCTGCTGCAGATGGCAGTGTTTGCATTATTCTAAGGTTGTGCAAGTTACCTTGGTGTTAGACAGACCAAGGTGGAATTGCATTTCACTCGGGGAATTAATAACAACTGGCCAACAAGGGCACTTCACAGATGGTGCAAAACTAATGAAATTTCAAATGTCAATCCCAGCCATAGTAAACATCAAGCTGTGACCTCTCTTTGTAATCTCGCTTGGCTTTTGAAAGAAGCTGTGCACTTAAAGGTTCCATTGCAGCATAATGAAACTATTCCTGGCCATTTCTTTTATTATGTACTTTAAAGAATAAACTTGAGCCGAGGCTTTAAATACATTGTAATACATTTTATAGTGGTTATTTTTCCACCCAAACGTTTCATGTTATACAAGGTGTTTTGGAAATCTGGAGAATGAACCTTGGAAATGATGTGGCTTTCTCCTATATTGTTGATAACAGAGTGGCCATTGGTGTTCATGTTGATTTGATGTAAATGTCAAATTCAACATAGTGAGGGGCATGTCTTGTATTTTTTCTCATATTCTTACTATTCAGTGGCCATTAAAATGCATCCCACCAACTTTCCATTGCTGATAAAACAGTGGCTGTTTCAAAAGGCATACAGTCTGACTCTTTTGGGAAACCCATGGAAATTGTAAAATATTGTTGTTTTCATTATAATGGCTACATTATTCCTGACCAGCACACAGTATTACATATTTTAAGATGACCACAAGGAATATATATTCAAATAGAATATTTAATTATATCATTTTGGGTTTTGAGGTTGTTTACCAACAAAGCTGTCTCAGCATGGCATTTATTATATCCAACTAGCTTAAACCATGCTTCGGATTAACATTTATCCATGGAAAATATTCATAGTATCTTTTGTTTGGAATGAACTCAATTTCCGAACTGCTAGATGCGCTATTATTGACTGCTTTTTTTTTCTATTTAGCTTTTGACAGCACATTCATCAGTTTCTAGAGTGGGGAATTACCCTCTCCATCATATATCTGCGCGTTTTCAATGTTATTCTCTACGATCCCCACGTGCATCAGATGTCATTATGGCGTAACAAGGTAGAGTCTTCAGTGGTGTGCCCTTTTCACGGAACCTGCTTGGGCGCATGCCATGCAGTCTCTCGCCATCCATTGCCAGCATGGCTCTCCAGCCTCTGTCATGTTGATGGTTTAAAAGGTGCAACAGGGTTCACGCCAGCCATGAGTTTAGCAGTGGATATCTGACGTTATGGAGCAGGACCTTTCCTAGTAAATTTCAGACGGAGTACTCAAAACGTTGATGTGGTGGTGTGACTGAACAACACAGTTTTTGGTCTCAGCTTTGCACGTAAACTAGAATGTTATTTTTGTTTGGATTAAAAACAGATGTGCGAAGGTGCCTTTTTTCTCAAAATGCTTATGGCGTGAAAACTGGTGCAGGTTTAAATCACTTGTGTTGAGGGCATGCATGGGTTTGTTGAAGTCTTTGTTTTATGATGATGGGCTGCGTGAATAACAATTTGGTGAAATATATCCTCACATTTTAGAGTTCCTCGTGATTTGTAACATTGTATCTTGATTTGAAGACAGTATTTCAGAGTTATGTTTTGTCAGGTAGTTTTTGGGTAGATTTCTGTCACTGCTTCCAGAGTTCTTTCGCATTTAAGAGTTACATCTGTGTAGTGTGTTTTCATCATTTAGAATCAAAACATAAAAATGTAATGCAAATGAGGATGTCCCATTAAATTAACATTACATTCCTAGATTTTTAATGGGCATTTTGTTCTGTATTCACCAATTCGACATTCACAAATGACTTAGAAATGTGGTGTTTCATTGAGAATATAGTTTAATATTAATTATTTATTCATCAATCAGTGAGCAACCCTGTACTCATAGCTGGTGGCTTAAACGTAGAATTTGAACCTTTTGCATAGCAACCATCGCCCCCTACTGGTACATTTTGGCAGGACCCTCGTGAAGAAAGAGTCATGCTGCAGCTTTTTTGTGTAAACGAGCATGATAATAATCTCCTAAAGAAGCGGAACAGTTATATGATGTTAATCTTTATCTTTGTGAACAGCCTGGCCACTTAACAGGTTAAGTTAGAAACATCCACAACAGTATAATCCACATTTGTTTAATATTCCTGTAGTTTCCGAGTAACTCGTTTAGTCTCTAGTGCCATATCAATGGATGTGGCTTTAACTTTAATTTCTCACGGCTAATTCTCGTTTTCAGGCAGTGTTTTGGGTACTGACGACGCTTGAGCAGTTAGTGCGATCTTCTTTGGTTCTTTCGGCAAAGTCACGTAGAATGAGAATAAAATAATAAATTGATAAAATAAAATAACACAATAAAATTCTCACGACGTTTTGGCCACAACACAAGCGGCCTTCATCAGGTGAAGGGACGAGACTGTCTGGTAGGACAGCGCTGGAGTGAAAAAGCCACGCTCTGACCGCGACCTTTAAGCTGTGTGAGAAGAAACAGAGCGCTTTGACAAAGGAATTAGCATAGAATTTAGCATTGAAATAGCTGAGTGATTAGCTTGTGACTGGTCACAGAAATGGCTATGTTAAAGTCAAAGCATACACATCCAGTTAGTGCGAGTGTTGCTGGCAACATCTATCTCGCAAAGTTCGCCCGCCACCTGACCATGCCAGGCCACCTTCCACCCCCTGCCCGTTCCATCCTCTGTTCCCCAGCTGGTGCGCGACAACGCCGATCTGCGCTGCGAGCTGCCAAAGCTTGAGAAGCGCTTGCGCGCCACAGCGGAGCGCGTCAAGGCTCTCGAGACGGCGCTCAAGGAGGCCAAGGAGAATGCCATGAAGGATCGCCGGCGCTACCAGAACGAGGTCGACCGCATCAAGGAGGCCGTGCGCAACCGCAACAACGTCCGCCGTGGACACACCCCGCAGATTGGTGCGTACGTCCCACGTGCGTGGGGGAAACTAAGTGTCATGCTTTTGTTTTGCCGCTGTCTTTACCCGTCCGTGTCTTTTGCACTTTCACAAGTGTTTTTTTTTTTTTCTTCCCACCCCTGCTCTCTCTGTACCTTTAAAGTCAATATTCAGAATGTGCAGTGAGTGTGCCGCAGTGTCATATTTTCCCGCTCAGTCAGTCATGAAAATATTCGTCATTTGTTTTATTTCGGTCACTGACGACTGTGGGGTGGATTAAAATAATCGAGCACGACGATGACTAACCACCAAAGAACCGAAGCGTGACTTTGACGAGACGAATTTAACTGGTCGGAATGAAGGGTGTTGAATGCACATCATGGTGGTGGTGGGGGAAAGGGGGTTAGTTGGTGGGAGATGGGGGGAGGAACCAACGTATCATGAACCATGGGACAACTTGAGTCCAGTGCCATAGAAAAAACTACTTCAGTTACATATTTGCAGAGAAGAGATTACATTTGAATAACAGTGGTTATAACATATTTTTACTGTCCATAGAAACAAATATTGGCTTATTTATATATTTTATATTGCAAAGACGCATACTGTGCGCTTTCGGTTTGACAAAAATAGGTAAATTGCCGAATGGAAAAGCTAATTGAACCTGTTTTCATAACCTTAAATGGCTGCATTGTGCTCTTTTACCCCCTTATGACAACTAAGTTACACTTTGTATCTGTAACAATGTTGAGCTTCACCCATTTCTGAAGTAGTGATATTGTGATGGTTTTAAATTAAAATATGTAGGAGTAGGATGCTGTGAACTGAAGGAATATACAATGAGAGTAAGGAAAATCAGTAAAAAGTGCACACTGATACATTATACAGGGTAATTCTGCAGAAGGTAAATGAAAAAATAAATTAACTCTTTCATTGTAGAACTGACCTTACATTTTAGGGACTAAAACTTGACAATGATCAAGACTAACTCATCCAACATTTAATATCTAAGAGTGGATTCCATTTTTTATTGCTTTCTGTGATGATTCTAATTTAAATCCACAGACCAAGACTTGACTAAAGTTCCGCATGTTGTTGTTCAGCCTAAGACTTTAAAATACAACTAATTCCGGGAGGGTGTGAAGGTGGGGACAGTGGTCTTTGATTGTGAGGTGGGTGCCATACCAAACCAGGTTGAGAACCACTGGCAATGCTGACTGCCACGAACGCTGCTGGTCTGTGAACCCATGTGTTGTTTAGTAACGGTCTGTGGTTCTTTCAGCCAAGCCAATCCGCCCTGGGCAGCAGTCGGTGTCGTCTCCGACCCACCAGACAGCCATCCGGGGAGGTGGAGGGCCTGCCTTTCCTATTAATCAGCCCGTGGGTATCCGAGGAGGTGGACAGTCTTCTGCCCGTCAAGAGAATGCATAAGTATGTCACTCGTATCTTCTGTATTTTGTCTCTTGTAGCCCAATAATAACCTAGGGGGACCAACTCCTACTGCTGCTCAAGACCTGCTTATATCGTGAGGCATCCTGGTGTCAACAAATTATACGGGGGGCTTAAATAACTCTTCCACATATTTACATGCACCATCCCTCACAATCTCAACTTTGAATGTAACCCAGCATTTTAGACAATTAACTTCAAACCACCAATGCAATTAAAGCTACAGTAATGGTGTATTCCACATGGTAGTAATGTTTTGTCATGCATGTTGTCTAATCTCTATGCTTTGTGCGTGTTTCTATTGTGCAGTGTGTTCCCAAGGAAGTGCTACTGAATATTTGGGGCTTGAAAAGCTGTATGCATTGAGACTACACTACCATTCCTCGGGAGTTTAGGGCAGATGTGTTTTTCAACTCTGAAGTGTGCCTGTTTTTTTTGTTATAGCGCGCCAATTATGTGCCCAAACTCAACAGGTAGAATTTGGCTCAGTCCAGTTAATCTTTGTAAAATAGTCCCCCGGCTCTGTGTAGCCAAGATACTTTCTTGTCAATGAACTGAGTTTCTAGATTTTTCAACGGTTCTCCTGTGCGTGGTTTATTTTAAAATTCTTTCATTTGTATAGATTTTCCTCATGTTTTCTTTTGGTTTGTGAATGTGTGGAAGTTTGTGGAAACATATGATGCTTCAAACTCACTTTTGGCCTCCCAAAATGGCATATTTTGGGATTGGCTAAGCTCACTGTTGCTGTATAGCATGCAGGCTGCATTTTAAAGCACATACATACACTATCGCCACTATTAATAAAACTCGTTTAAACGATTATAATGTAATACTTAATTCTTAATGTATGTGTTAATTCCCTCAGTTGTAAAGGTGCAAACTTGAAACGGGCCATTTAAAATAACTAAAGAAACAACATCACTTAATACATGATGGTTACTATATAAGCTAAATATAGTACATTTAATGTGTATATGCGTATATTTATAATTACAAACACGAATGCTTTACATTTTGTCAATTAAAACAACAAAGTGCAACAAGATCTGCTCTTTGGCGACCTGCATTTAAATCACTTTAAATAAATTCCTAACCAATGGTTATGTCTTTCATACAATAATAATTAAAAATAACGGGTTTTTTTACCATGCCGAGACAGGAAGATATATCCACGTTTTGGTTGACTGGCTGTCTTGGGGAAAATATTGAGTTTTACAGAGAGGGTTTATCTTGGTAGGAGAAGTTTTGGTCCTGGGTGGTTGGCGTCAGATAAGACGACTGGGGTCCGATGACTCTTCAGCATTGATTATTTTTGGTATGCATTCAAGAAGGTCATATGCAGAGTGACTGATTTGTAATGTCTTCACTTTGGACATCCTTGTCGCGAGCCAAATGTGATTGATTAAACAGAATTAGTAATCCTTTTAAAGACTACAAAGCCTGCATTGCAAGTATACCCTGTCTTCTTACGTGCTTGCATGGGGCTGTGGAATGCTAATTATTGAAAAAAAATCGGATAAGTATACTTACATGGGTCATGATACCAGACACATGTATGACTGCAGCACGCGTTTAACACCCATGAAAAGATTGATTATTGGTTTACACGAAACCTCTGTTCTTTAAAGCCATAAACTATTCAGCTCGCGGAGGTCCAGTCTTGCATTGAGATCCCAATGCTTCTAGTTTCTGAGCCTCAATGAGTCTTGCCTCTGCATTCAGTCACTTTCGTCTGCCAAGCCACAGTAACTTATAGAATACGTTTTAATAAAAATTCACCCCAGTGAGTACCATTTGACACCACTCAACCTCGCCGAACAAAATGAAGACTTTCTGCAAGCTTCATTCCTGAAGAAGGCACATGTCAATATTTTCCTGTGACGGTGTTAAAATCTGTTATTTTTATTTAGTGTTATATGTATAAGTTTACTGAAGAAGCAACGTCAACCTATGTATTCATGCTCATATATTGCTCTTGCTTCAGATGCAGCCATTGGCTGCTGGCCCAGATGTGTATCACTGAGCTTTAGCATTTTTATCACCCCAAAGATAATAGAATGAACTAACTGGCACATACGGGTGGCATTTTAGCTTTCTCTACTCTGGTTCTCAAAACATTATTTGCACCCTTTTCTCAATGATATATGTTCATGAAAACTTATCAACATACTCTTCGAGTGTGCGTTGTGTAATTGACATCTAAGTGGACATTTAATAAGCATGGGAAAACTTGCAACGACACAAGGAATGACACTTGAGAACTACTGAGTTGCATAAAACCTCTTGTTAATATTTTGTATAAATATGGGAAACGGTGTAAATCTTCATGAGTGATGATTATTTCTAATGCCTAACCTGTGCAGGTGCAAAGGTACTCATTCTGCTGCCAAATTTGGTTCAGTACTCAACACTCCACTCGCTCTCCTGAACATGTATGCACTGACAATTTTACAAACCTATTTGGGCTGGAAATTGTTGAAGTTGGATTGCACATGGCTGCACTTGCCAATGTAGCAGTTGTGTTCTATTTTCCATGACCCAATTTCTAAAGCGACACCTGCAAGTCTTGGGAGTTGTTGCCCATGGCCAGGCATCGACGTATGTGCTGATAACTGTCTATTATCCACTTGGTGGCCCCCAGTCGTGTCCTCCATCAGTTGATTGGTCAAGAGCTGTGTGTGGAACAGGATGATTGTAGATGACGGCTTAAGTGTGCCTGCATTTTGGCAAGTTTATATTTCTGTAACCCATCGTGGCTTATGTTGATTTACAGTATGCGTTATGAAGCAGCAAGGTGTGCCAATAGCACTAGGTCTTAATACACTTATTTCAGAGCGAAACATACCATTTTGGCTTGTGCATGTTTTTGTTTATTAAGATGCGTTTAACTTTACACTTTTTGGTTTGCTAATTTAGTCACTGAAATTCAAGCTACTCGTTAACAATAAGTACTTTTCTGGCCAGTAGTGCCCATTCATGATGTAACTGATCCCATCAGAATGGTTTGCAGTGACTGAAGTCAATGTCTCGTTCCCCATGTTAATGAGCTTGTGTACATTTCATTTGTTTAGTATTTTTTGAGATGAAGTATATATGTTAAGATTAAGAAAACAACTTTCGAATCCGGTTAAAGGTTTCACTCTTGACATGTCACGGGGTTTTCATGTTGATCAGTTAGCAAGACGAGGATTGCACAGTCATAGGCCACCTGGAATAATTGAGTCATAGGCCACCTGGAATAATTGAAAACGTATCGGGTGAGTGCACTCGCGCACTCTTCCCAGAGCAAGATTGTGGGTCAAAACACTCCTGTGTAGCTGCATAATTGAAAATCTGACAATCCGTATGCCTGCCATAGAGATCATTACGATGATTTACATTGTATGGCCTGTTGGACGATGCATGTGCTCGGAATGAAAGTGCTCTGAACATGCCTCCATGCGACTGCTGACAGCTGTAAACACTTGCGTTTCTGGAACTTGAATAAAGGTGATCGATATATGATTTTGTGGCTTACTTTTCTCTCCCACTGTGTTAAGGGTTACCAAGTCAGTCTCTTCCTCGGTGAAATGAAAAGGGGAGTACTTCCATCAGTTGTAGGTGGAAATTCCACATTCCTTTATTGTGGACCAGTGATGCCGTTGATCAGTGATTTAAATCTCGATTTATTTTGCATATAACTTATTTAAAAGGCATTTTTTGGAATCCAATTAAACAGGGAACTGCATAAATACTGGACAAGTGACTTATACTTGTGTATGTTGGCATTTAATTATCAAACAAACTCGTCCTGTGACCAAATCACCCGGAGCAATATTTTAAGATTCTAGATTCGAAGCTTTCGTGACTGCAAGAATTCATACTCTTTGGTTTTATTCGGTAAAGTCACGTAGGTAAAAAAAAACAAAATAAAATTTTTTTAAAAAAATCACAAAATAATTGTTTATTTTATGTTTTCAATTGTTTTTTTTACCTATGTGACTTTACCGAATAAAACAAAAGAGTATAATATTTTAAGATGTTTGGAGCTCAGCAAAGGTTGAGCGTGGACAAGTGATTGGGTTGGGTGACCACCGTAGCGTAACAGGTCTTATCGACTCGGGAGCTTCGAGGTGAGAAGCATTTATTAGGTATAACCCATTGAGCCATGCGGCTATTGACTCGGGTGCAACCGCAACAAAAACATGAACAGGAAACATCTTAAAGTGACTACACGCAACAGAAAAATCCTGTAAAAAAACTGCAAAGCAGAGGGCAATGCAGCAACATGAAAATGAGGGTTTGGTCAAATTCCCACCCACGGCGTGCGTGGCACTCATCCAGCAGTGACATGACCCAATTGCTGAAAATGTGTGAGACGTGTAAAATGACGTCATGGCACGATAGCCACTGCCATCGCTGTGCAGTTAGTTGAGTAAGTGACGTCATCCCAGTCGTATATAGATTACGTGACGCGTTATCAGTTGCTGCGCGAAGCCGGCGACAGTGTAAGATTCCCCCATCCCCCCGCCGACCTCATGACGTCACCGTCTTTTTCTCTACCGTTTCGCGGTCACCCTTGACTTGACGTCATCGGCGTGTGTCTGTTACATCTTAATGACGTTGCCCTGCCGTCGTATCGTTCGCGATGACGTCACGGGCCGGCCTTTGAAGTTTGAGACCGGGTTCGCTCCCAGGTGCTCTGCGTGTTTGGCGCCGCTCGCTCTGTGCGTGTGTCCGCGTTAAGTTGGCACGGTAGGGGGCACAGGGGGTGCATCGGCCAGTCAACACAGTCAGACGACCCATGGCACCCACGCCAGCGGGCGTTCGACGCTTCACGTGGCCTCAACGTGCACGCAGCCTGGCACTAAGCGCCGTGGGTTTAGCGGCGAATGGCGGTTGTCGTGTTAAACACCGGGCGCGTCTTTCTCTGTAGCGTGTGTGTCGGGAGCGGTGGCACGGCGGTTAGCGCACTGCGAGACGAACCCGGCTACCCCACCCTTCGATTCCCCGCCTCACGAGCAGTTGACGGCGATAATCTGGGCCTTCCCCTCAGGTTGATACGGCCTCAAGTGAGTGCCTTGCGCCGGTGCGTCGTAAAACATCGCCACTGAGGAAGACAAAGGCGGCCGGGCGTGATGCTGGCCACCCACCCCCCTCATGTACCGCGCCGGCCTTCGTAGGGTGCCGGTCGCTCACAACAGCACTTGGCCTCCACCAAGTGCTAAAAGGCTAACAACGGGGATGGTGTGGAAGCGTTGTCTTTGTACGCGCGTTGTGTTTGTGTTGTTGACCTCTTGGTAAGGTTGGTCGAAACTTCCTCAGCGCCGTACGTAGCCAAAGCCGTGCTCCTGTTGCTGCTGCTGCTCCTGTTGTTGTTGTTTGCTAGGAGCCATGCGCTGGCTGCTCGCGTGCGCCGCGGGGCTGCTGGCCGCGTGCGCCGCGGGGCGCGGGGCTCGCGGGGCCGAGGAGGGCGGCGCGGGGCTCGCGTTCACTGCCGGGGGCGCCGCTCAGCAGCCCGTGGGGGTGGCACGGGCTCGCAGGTTACCGCGTTACCTATCACCGTTACTTACCGCGTTACCTATCACCGTTACTTACCACGTTACCTATCACCGTTACTTACCACGTTACCACCACTTTACCTATCACGTTACCACCACGTTACCACCACGTTACCTGTCATGTTACCTCAACGTTACCACTATGTCATCTGTCACGTTACAACCGCGTTGTCTATCTCACCACCACGTTACCTATCATGTTACCACCACGTTACCTATCACGTTACCGCGGTACACTATGGGCCCAATACTCCAGTTGTGCAGGGCTTGCAGAGGTCTACTCCAAGTTACCACGTCGACCTGTTGCCGCGTTACCCTTTGAACTCCGCTCCCCACGAACTTGTGAGTGTCCTCATCCCGCCGGCAGCTACCCTCGTTACCCCACGAACCTTGACGCATTCTCAGATGCTCTGCAGCTACGGTAACGGTTACTCCGTTACCTTGTTATCACTGTACCCTGTGAGCCCTACACCTCACGGACTCTGGGCCCATAGGTCTCGACGTTAATGCGTTACCTCCTTACCCCTTGAAGTCGACACCCCTCTACCCGGGCCCTCATTTCTTGTTATCCCGTTACCTTGTTACCATGTTACCCCGTTAACCATAACCCACCAAACCGTACCCCACTAAACCTGGAAACGTCTCCATTATGAACCAATTTGGGATAGCTCTATTATGATGTGTTTTAACGGTGTTGTGAAGATGTGATATGCCCCATAGTGTATCCATTTTTACTCCATGTTCTTGGTTAGCTGGAGTATTGTAATTGGGGAACCTGTCAACTTAAATGTATGTGAGGCTTTTTATCAGACGAGCTGCTTCACGTACATGGTAACTTTCACAACCGTAGGATGCAGTATGGTTTATAGTATTTCAAAGTGAAACTTGATTAGCCAAATTAAATTTCCTGTCCTGCATTCGAGAAAAAACATGCAGAATATGATATCGTTAGTTTCTTCCGCACTGCGTTGCCAATCACACATAAAACAAACAAAATTGGATTACACATTGCACGAAGTTGGAGGAAAATAACGTCTTGTCCTTTAATTTTTAAATGTACTTTAATGGCATTATTATTCAGTGGCAGGGACATTGTAGAACATTTGTGCTAGCCTGGTCTTGGCTGTGCAGCCAAAAAAACATTGTCATTAATGGGTGTTTGCAGTGGTTTACACATCAACAGAGTGATCCTGCAGAGAGACTGGCCTCTGCCATGGAAAACCAAAATATCCACCACCAGAGAATGCACACCACACCATCGTTTGAGCATGAAGACAAGTTGATGTAGACTTGGCACCACGAATATTCGTGTTAGTCATTCGACAGCCATGAAAACTAAAGCCGCGAATGTCCCTCGAACGCGCAGGTATCTTCTGTACGACGTGAACCCTGGCGAGGGCTTCAACCTCCGGCGGGACGTGTACATGCGTGTGGCGACACTTCTACAAAAGCTGGGTAAGGCCGAGCCGTGGGTTCTGGTGCTGCCGCCGTGGGGCCGCATGTACCACTGGCAGAGCCGCTCGCTCAGCCAGCAGCAGCAGCAGCGCATCCCCTGGTCCGCCTTCTTCAACACGCCCAGCCTGGCCGCCTACGTACCGGTCATCGAATACGAGGAGTACCTCAAAGGTCAGCGATTGGTCACGCCAGCACCGAAGGCTTCTGTAACCGTCATACTTTGAATTGTGTTCAGTATGTTTTGACAGTTGGATGGCCTGGAGGATGTTCCACTCCAGGTTGTACAGAGTCTGTGGCTTGAGTGTAGCATCTGTCTGGTAAATTGCAACAGTCATTAATAAATAATCAAATTATACAGTCTCAGTGATTGACTAAAAACTGCAAAATGATGGAATTGCATATAGTGCAATTTTTTAAAAAGATTTTTGGTTATACATACCTGGGTGATAGCGTCAATACTTTTTCAAGTCAACTTTATCAAAGATGTCAATTTGTTACGTATAATCTGTTTTATTATGGAATATCCACTTAGGATTCAAGCAGTTTGCTGATGTTTGCACAGAAAGTTTTAGCTCATTGAACATTGCCTGATTTATTATCTCTAGGTGATTCTGACCTTTTATCACTTTTTTCCCCGTGTTGAGGCTCACCTCTTCAAATAAAATGGCAGCCACCTGGCAATGTCCTGTGAGAACATGGCCTATTAATTGAAATCTCTTCTCGGTGTAAATGGATGGAATTGAGACAATTCCATAAATAAAAAGCGGGGTGCTCTGTGTTGGCGTAATAGTGACATTTGGATAGCTAACCTGCATTTTCATTATCATGATCATCCATTACTGTATGAAGTGTTTTTTTCTATTCTCCATGCTGTCATCGCCTCCACAGTGCGGGTCTCGCGATGCCAGTCCATCTCGCGACCGCACATTACTGTCATTACTCCATCTCAACGGAAGTCATCCCCTCTTGCTCGATCTCACCTCTGGCGACTACATCTTCATCATTCTCATCTGTTCGCCATAAATCCTTTCAGGGATGTGTTCTATCCATACCCACTTATGTTTCTTTAATTATCAATGGAATTTTAAAGACAAGCCACAGTGCAACTAGCAATGCAACACAAACTATATGGCATATAGTAAACCACTGTCATCTGTTCTCCTTCAATGGAGGAATAGAAAAACTACACAACATTTCTTCAACATTGGCATTTACCTCCTGAACATATTGCCATACGGAATAATAGATTACATAATCGAAATGTATCAATGGTTTTTGAATATATTCTTGCCTGGTATCAACACACCCGTTCCATTCAAGCAGAGTTTGATTGGCGCAGTGGAAGCCATTTTCCTGTAGCATCATGCCACCATTGATTATTTCCTAGCTATTTTTTTTATAAAGCTCAGTACATGCGTTTGCTGTCTTTTTCTCTGATTGTAAAAGACAGGTGGGTATGCCTAATGGTGTATCACATGTGTCACCTCATTTATGTCAAGTGCTTCAGAGGTCTCGAGAAAATTATCTACTTGGAAAATTCTTAACTCATCCAGAGAACACAAATATATTGTGAAGCAACCTCGTGCAGATTTACTTATATTCCAGTTTTCTGTTGGTGTACAACACATTATTTTACACCAAAACTCGAACTTGCATTATGTGGTTATGATGATGTATAATTATTACACTACCATTTACAGTAGGAAGACCGTAATTTAGACAAAGTTTTCTTGGAAATAAAAAATGTTTCTAACTTAAATGTCATCATTTATCTCATCATCATTAGACCTCCTTTGCCAGTACCAAAATATAATAATTGGGTTTTTCCCATTTTTTTCTGGCAACAAAACTGAAACCTTTTTACAAGGATTCATGTCTGCATTAACCACAATACCTGCAGTCAAAATGCAAACAAAAAACATACTATGATAATATATGCATTGTCCTTGAAACTGATTGGTCCACACCAAGGGACGGCTTTCTTTTGAGCCTCGACCCAATTGGTGCTCGACCAGATGACGCCAGAAGGCGTACAGCTCAAAGACAATGCACTTTCAAAGTAATGAGGGCTCGGGGTGAGCATCTACATCATTAGACCTCCTTTGCCAGTACCAAAATATTATCATAGTATGTTTTTTATTTGCATTTTGACTGCAGGTATTGTGGTTAATGCAGACATGAATCCTTGTAAAAAGGTTTCAGTTTTGTTGCCAGAAAAAAGGGGAAAAACCCTATTATTACATTATTGTCATCATTTACTTTAACACATTAAATGTAATAATACAGTTCTTTACCCAGGAATGCCTCATTGCATCTAAATATATTTTTTTCAGAATGCTTCTGCATTTTGATATTTGGCCAATTTCATTTATAAGTGTTTTGCATGTCGGACATAACCAAAGTACTTGGGTTAAACCACTGCATAAGAGTTAATACAACTTTAAAACGTTCCACATATTGATTCAATAATCCATTGCTGTACTCTTGACCATCCCCTGGCCCACCTCGCAGCCTAATCCTCCATTACTTAGAATCCCATGACAGAGGTAATACAACTTTAAAACGTTCCACATATTGATTCAAGAATCCATTGCTGTACTCTGACCGTCTCCTAACCCACCTCGCAGCCTAATCCTCCATTACTTAGAATCCCATGACAGTCTCTCAGATCAAGTATTAACCATGCCTAAAAACTGCTGCGCTTACAAAAAGTGACAAATATTGGTGAATTCAGGATGCGTTGATCGTAGGCGTATTTTGTTTTGCTGTAGAATCTGGAGCATTAGCCATTTTTATGGCATCGTAACCTAGTAATCTACATATAAAACACAAATACGCTTAAAAAATTTTTGCATTTTTTTTCATAACTGCTCGTTCTTGTGTTCCATCTACCAGCACATATGGTGACATACAGTGAGGGAAAAAAGTATTTGATCCCCTGCTGATTTTGTACGTTTGCCCACTGACAAAGAAATGATCAGTCTATAATTTTAATGGTAGGTTTATTTGAACAGTGAAAGACAGAATAACAACAAACAAAATCCAGAAAAAACGCATGTCAAAAATTGTATAAATTGATTTTCATTTTAATGAGGGAAATAAGTATTTGACCCCGCTGCAAAACATGACTTCGTACTTGGTGGCAAAACCCTTGTAGGCAATCACAGAGGTCAGACGTTTCTTGTAGTTGGCCACCAGGTTTGCACACATCTCAGGAGGGATTTTGTACCACTCCTCTTTGCAGATCTTCTCCAAGTCATTAAAGTTTCGAGGCTGACGTTTGGAAACTCGAACCTTCAGCTCCCTCCACAGATTTTCTATGGGATTAAGGTCTGGAGACTGGCTAGGCCACTCCAGGACCTTAATGTGCTTCTTCTTGAGCCACTCCTTTGTTGCCTTGGCCGTGTGTTTTGGGTCATTGTCATGCTGGAATACCCATCCACGACCCATTTTCAATGCCCTGGCTGAGGGAAGGAGGTTCTCAACCAAGATTTGACGGTACATGGCCCCGTCCATTGTCCCTTTGATGCGGTGAAGTTGTCCTGTCACCTTAGCAGAAAAACACCCCCAAAGCATGTTTCCACCTCCATGTTTGACGGTGGGGATGGTGTTCTTGGGGTCATAGGCAGCATTCCTCCTCCTCCAAACACGGCGAGTTGAGTTGATGCCAAAGAGCCCCATTTTGGTCTCATCTGACCACAACACTTTCACCCAGTGGTCCTCTGAATCATTCAGATGTTCATTGGCAAACTTCAGACGGGCATGTATATGTGCTTTCTTGAGCAGGGGGACCTTGCGGGCGCTGCAGGATTTCAGTCCTTCACGGCGTAGTGTGTTACCAATTGTTTTCTTGGTGACTATGGTCCCAGCTGCCTTGAGATTATTGACAAGATCCTCCCGTGTAGTTCTGGGCTGATTCCTCACCGGTCTCATGATCATTGCAACTCCACGAGGTGAGATCTTGCATGGAGCCCCAGGCCGAGGGAGATTGACAGTTCTTTTGTGTTTCTTCCATTTGCGAATAATCGCACCAACTGTTGTCACCTTCTCACCAAGCTGCTTAGCAATGGTCTTGTAGCCCATTCCAGCCTTGTGTAGGTCTACAATCTTGTCCCTGACATCCTTGGAGAGCTCTTTGGTCTTGGCCATGGTGGAGAGTTTGGAATCTGATTGATTGATTGCTTCTTTGGACAGGTGTTTTTTGCAGGTAACGAGCTGAGATTAGAAGCACTCCCTTTAAGAGTGTGCTCCTAATCTCAGCTCGTTACCTGTATAAAAGACACCTGGGAGCCAGAAATCTTTCTGCTTGAGAGGGGGTCCAAAACTTATTTCCCTCATTAAAATGCAAATCAATTTATAACATTTTTGACATGCATTTTTCTGGATTTTGTTGTTATTCTGTCTCTCACTGTGCAAATAAACCTACCATTAAAATTATAGACTGATAATTTATTTGTCAGTGGGCAAACGTACAAAATTAGCAGGGGATCAAATACTTTTTTTCCCTCACTAGATTCTTCCGTGAACGTGATTTATCCTGTGTCTTCGCCAGAGAATGGAGGTCCGTTCATTGAGCAGGTGTTCTACCTGCAGTCCTATGCGGAGGGCTGGACGGAAGGCAAGTGGGAGGAGAAAGTGGACGTGCGACCGTGCGTTGAGAAGCCAGTCTATCGTCTTGATGAGCACGGCTATTACAGGTGTGCACCTGCAGCTATTGACAGCGCCATAGACATAATGAGCGCTAGCTGATGGCTCATCTCCGGTCCGTTTACGGGTGCACCATTATTAACTCTATGCCTATGTGTACCGTGTATCTGTGTGGAGCAGTGCTCTGTGCTGTGGTTCTGGAAACCTCGGTTAAATTCCTGGTTAAACCCTGGTTAAATTGTACACATCAATAGCAACGGTAGCAGTCGCTGTATCTCTTGAACTTCTAGGTCGACTCAGGCTGAAATGAGTACTTGATGCCATTTGGTCATCATCAGTTCTATACGTATGCATATGCTGTATCAGGGGCGGTTGCATGAATTATGAAAACGTTAACAATATCGCATTGAATTTTGATTTAAAGCTTTCGTGACTGCAGTAATTCATATTCTTAGTTTTTTCGGTAAAGTCACGTTGAAGAGAAACAACAAAATATATATAAAACAATAAAAAATTCTCACGACGTTTCGACCATAACTCAAACGGTCGAAACGTCGAAACGTCGTGAGAATTTTTTTTTTATTGTTTTATATATATTTTGTTATTTTGTTGTTTCTCTTCAACGTGACTTTACCGAAAAAACTAAGAATATGAATATCGCATTGGTTTGATATGCTAATTTTAAAACAATGCGTTTTGTCTGAGGTGTATTGCACCACAAAATATAGAAAATAAACTACAAAATAAATAAATGTGATCAGCATACTTTTAATAGGCCTTTTTTACAATGATTCTGATGCCCTGAAATTCATTTTGAGGGAGACTTCTTATATACTTAATCATATAGTATGTTAATTATGCTAATAAAAAAACTTCCCTTCTGAAGACATGCACATAGAAGCACCTAATGCTCTCTTTTAGAGATAGGCCCATGATAACAGTAACGTATTGTCTACTTACAGAGGCTGGTTCTGGGGCTACCCAGAGACAAGAACCAAAAATGTCACGTGCTTGTCTGTACAGGGCATGGCCTCCATCATGGTGCCTCTGTTGCTACGAAACACTTCTGCCAGGTTAGTTGAGTGCTGCTATGAGATGTATAAACATGGCCGGGACCAGTGGCTACGCTTCCTTCGGGCTCATCAAAAGGGAAAGACGTTTTCGGTAGCACTGAAATATTATTGTGCAGACAACCAATGCATTAAAGCCATCAAGTTGTGTACTTTTTATATGTTTTAGTTCATTTGTTTTGCTGTCATGAACATGCAAATACTGCATGCAACATGTATTTTATTGCATCAAAGTACACATTAATTTACTTGGTTGTTATAATGTGCCTTATAATTGGAAGGTTACAAATGAAAATTGTGGTAGGGAGTCCACTTGAACCAATTATCTCTGGGGTTACTAAAGTAAATGCCACTTAGGGGGAAGTTAACAGTGGTCATACATAGTTAATCAGGCTCCTGCTGTGTTAAAATGAATGGTAAAATTAATGTGCCAGGATCATTTTTCACTTGGCTGGACATTCAGATGGAAAATATTCTGAAATATGCATTCCTATACAAAGATATGGATTACTATGGTGGTTCTATGCAACTTATCTTGACTTAAAGCTTTCATGACTGCAGGAATTCATATTTTTGGGGTCTTTCGGTAAAGTCACATAGATAGGTTCAAATAAACCTATCTACTAACTTATGAAATGTAAGCCCTATCGCTCTTTGTGCTCGGTGTGGTTTTGTATTAATTGCAGGTCTGTGATGTTGGATAGAGCTGAAAACCTTCTGCATGATGAGTATGGACAGAAAACCTACTGGGATGTAAGACACCCATTTCCAACACCATATTCAATGTTCCTCTGTGAGGGTTGGTTGAATGTGTGGGACAGACCTAAGAATCGCAAACTTTCAATTAATTTACTGAACGTTGGATCAGGCCACGAAGCATTGCATTTTTTGCCGCCACCATTCTTCCCTCAATCCCTCTTCCACATTTGAACAGTGAAACAATAATTTTTTATTTATTTTTCGACGTAACAATAAGTTGACATTTGTGAAATGGCCAGAGAGAAACATTGAAGAACGATTTTTCACCCTTACAACCAAACTGTCATGAGATTCAATAATAAAATAATAGATGGAATCTAAAGTCAAAGTCACGTCCGTGACACCCACCTGCTCGTTCTAGCGGTATTTAATTAAAAAGCGAGTGTGTTGTGTGCACAGGATTGTGGCAGGCCAAGAAGGACACTTCAATACGGTGCACATCCTGTCCCTGCACTTTTATCCTTTACCAATTTAACCTTATGTCTGCCAATCAAGAAATGTTTTCTCTCTAATGATGCAATATTAATTTACGTGCAACCTTTGGAAAGCAGATACAGGAACCAATTGCATCTGCCTTGTACAAACATGTGCCGCAATGATTTATCTTTTAAATAAAATAATGCCACGTAGCATCTTCATGTTTGTTTATCAATAATGAATGAACATGGACATTACTTGTATTATAATAGCATAGTTATTAATTGTCTACTAAAGCAATCATGACAGAAGGCAGTGTTTGACTAAGGTTTATGCTTCTAAGACTGTGCTAATGGCATAAAATAAGGTAGGACAATATTACCACCTTAATTGTAAAGTAAAAAGCCACAAAACTGCTTTTTTCAGCTTAGCATCAAAATGTATTCATCATCAAAACTATATTCCTTGAAACTGTGTAATTTTACACTTTGTATTATTTTTGATGGCTGCTTGTTATGAGCCCTTGTTTACTTCAAGGTTTTATTCATCATGAAATCCAAGTATACTGAGTGAGTCTGTGGTGGTATAACAGTTGGCACACTGGACTTGCAATTCAGAGGTTGCCTCTGTGATTTCCCGGTCCGGCAGTTGAAACAACGGACAGATGTATTTATTCCACTGCCTCTGTCCATTCGGCAGTTCTAACTGAAGGAATGTATTCAATATTTGCAATTGTTGGCCAGGCTAGGCGAAGCATGGTGTTTGCACGGCCTCTCCGAGCCTGGGCTGATGAATTCCGAGCTGAACACCTCAACTCGACAGACGCCACTGACAAGACCTTCTTCCAGGAGGACTGGAGAAAAATGAGGGTGTGTAAGCGGCTTTTGGCTGGCCATCGAACAAAGATAGTCACTGCATCCCGCGCTTTCAGATGCGCTTCTGCAGCCGTCTGGAACGCTCTTTCAATATTAGGAAGCCATTGGGGCTATGCACTTTTAAATCTATATTGAAAACTAATTTCTTTAGAACTGCTTTTTGTGTTTAGTTTGTTGTCCTTCCCTGCACCTCCGATTAGCACGGTTGGCTACGTACAGTGCCAAAAAAGTTCAACATACACTTTGAGCCTCAGAGCTTTGCAGCATTGCAGAGTGTACCATTCATTGCCAGAGTTGTTATCATATCACATGTATTTTATTCCGCATGTGTAATTGTGAAAGAAAGGTAAAGTGATATTCTACCATTTTTCCTTTGCATTGCAAGGGATGCTGGCTGGCCAAGTTGCATGAGGCTTTGCCTGTAATCACTCTTGGACCCGTGATAAGTAATGGGCTAATTTGTGTGCGCTCAGCAGGACCCATATCCGTAGGTCAGTGTTTGTCAGCATTGTGACCCACAATTAGGAAATTATCCCTCCTGGAATGCTTATCATTGTAGAGATTCTTCTGCCAAGCTATATTATACCAATGGTAGAATGCTACCTTTGGAAATAATACAGGGCAGTGTCGGTGAATCTTTAACATTCATTATAAACCAAAATCAGCCGTTTGTCTATCCATGCTACCACCTCCCAGTATAATCATGTTATTCTGCAATCCATCTCACCCCTGTGAATGAACCAATCTCGTTGCAACATCTGTGGGTAAATTTTCTACTTTAGGTGCCTTTCCATTTCAAGTTTTGCCCATCAGCCGTCATCATACAGCACTAAGTTGTGTAGCTTAATATTCACATACCCTGTAGAGCCTGGGTTAGATATATACTGATTGATACACTGGGATAAGGCCTTCTGTCTCTTGAGCTATGCCTTTTCCCATTTTAGTAGTGATTCATTGAATATCATTCAGCTCATCAGTATAAGCAACAGAGATGACAACATTCGTAAAATGTAAGACGAATATATCTGAACAAAAGATAGACTTTTTTTTTTTACTGTGGAGTACATTTAAATGTGTTTTTACCATACGATATGATGTATTTATTTTTTCCTGGGTACAGGTTAAGGTCGGAACGGCTACAGGTGGACCATACCTCGCTGCTCATTTGCGGCGGAAGGACTTCCTGTATGGGCACTCGGGGGACGTGCCCAGCCTGGAGGCAGCGGCTAACACCCTCCACCGCCTCATGAAACAGCTGAAGCTTCCCCGCGTGTTCATCGCAACCGATGCTGACCAAGACGGTGAGAAGGGAGAGCTGTACGCACGTGTATTTACGTGTGTGCGCAGGTCTTGTTGACAGACATTGCGAACGTTCGAACGCGACTCGGGAGGCCCGGAGCCTGACTCCGGAGCTCTTCGGAAAGCTCAGGAAGCTCGTCGAATCAAGTGCACCTCTCTCTCCGTTTGCTTCCTGAAGCTTGAAGGAGGACTGGATGCTGCTGCGTATGTCAAGGGAAGGGGTAGAGTTCCAGATTGCAGGAGCTGCTGCAGAGAGTCGTCGATGACCGGCTATAACAGTCGTTGATTTGTGGACTGTGTGTGGCTGTTTGGTGCAGAGGTACGCGAGCTCCGGACACTGCTTCCACAGATGGTTCACTTCGAGCCGAGTCAGGCGGAACTGCACAGGTTCCTGGACGGGGGCGTCGCCATCATTGATCAGTGGATCTGTGCTCACGCCAGGTGCGCTGCCATTTGATTTATTTGGCCGGAGGAGAGGCTGTTTGAGGTTCATTAGCGTCTCTCTAAGGAGCGAGACCTTGGGAGATTTCAGGAAAATGTCGTAAATTTTTTAAGTGCATTGGTTGCAGCTTAGATATGTTCTTGTCTGGAGAGAGAATGTGTGGCTTGAGGCAGATAATGTTTAATTTGCAATACAATCTGACTGATGATTATGGTCATGGCGACCAAAAAAATGGCCTTGGTCGAAATTGTAATTACAGATTGTAAGGTATACCGATATCACGAAGCATATACTGTACCTTAATGTATTTGCCGATATTTTTCGAAAATAGTATTACATAAGTGACTACGTTCTAACCTATTGTATGTTTTCATATAAATTCTATAGTCATGTATGCATTATCTTATTTTATAAATTCAAATTACCCTTTATAAGAATTGAAAGTGTTCTGTGGTGAAAATTAAATAGGTGAACTGTTAAAATAGGTGTCATTTCTGTAACACTTTTTTAAAACTGATGTGTGCGTGTGTACACACTCGTAATGCTGGACATTTGCTTTCATTTGATGTAACAATTAGACCACGGATTACAGAGCGAATGCAAAGTGCCAGAAGGTTATTGTTTAAGACTGAAACTATTTGACAATGGAAGAAGATTGACATTCAATTTGTGGCTGTGCACTGACAACGCTGCTTTGATAGTTGGGTACTAGTGGCTTGGTTGTACAGCTCTCACCCATAGCCTTTCCACAGTATTCCACCGAAGTGGGTCCTCATTTTGATATACGATGGAGCACGACTTACGTGCGTGTGTCCGCTGTAACTTTCATTCGCCGGCCAGGCTTTACCGTGTATTTGTGGCTGCTTTTCAGCCGAATGTGGGGCTCGCATCCTGGAAGCCACTGCCATTTTTTCGTAATTCTCTGGCCCTAATGAGTCGTGATTGGCTTAAGGTGCAGATTCAGCAGAGTGCCTTTTAGATAGCGTTATTGGATAAAGGCCTCGTACACCCAGAGGCACCACCTTGTACACACTTTTGTGCTGTATTTCTGTATTTTGAAATGTCAGTGTTCTGACAACTGGAGTGTAAAATGCGAGTCACTTGCCGTGCTTCAATCATTATAATGCACTTCAATTTGTGCTCTGTATGCTCCCTGACGGTGAATGCACATTTAAGATCTGGTGCGTTAGAGTTGCATTATAGTATCTACAAAAGGATGTAATGTTACAATTTCAATGTGTATGGTATCTATGATAAAAAAAAAATCCCCATTGATAAAGATTGTTGATCTTGAATCCTACAACGACTTTTATTTTTCCACCCTTGCTGTCTGTAGTGATACCAGTGGCAACAAGGTTCACAAAAACCAAACCTTTAAGCGAATCGAAAATTCACTGTCCAAATAGCAATTTAAACACCACCAAAGTTGATACTACCTACGTGATTTTACCGAAAGAACCAAAGAGTATGGATCCCTGCAGTCACGAAAACTTCAAATCTAGATTGATTACAGTTGATATTATCACATAACTCCTTTTTATGTGTAGCAAGGTACTTTATCGTTAAGTTTGCAAAGTATTAATTCTATTATTTAACTGAAAATATATTTTAATATTTAATATTGAACAAATCTTTTTGACGTGTATTTATGTTTTAGCCTTCGTCATAAAACCGAAAATCGTGACATTTCAGACAGTCCACTTGAGCGTAAACGCAGGGCTCATTGCCCACGTTGCGCACATTTATAGTGCCACTAAAGTTCACAAATGAAGCGAATTCGATTGCGTGCGCACACGCCTCATGCACGGGCAGAGTGATTACTAACGTAAGCTGCCTAAATAACCAAAACATCGTTGTATAGAGCGTCCACGAATGGGTAATTTCAGTGTCAGCATTGAACGTGGAGTTCTTTACTGTTTACCAAGTCAAAGACTGGGATACGTTTTCAGTAAGCACCGTTAATATTTTTTATTCGGGGAATTTTTTATTTATTTTAAAAGGTATATACAGTGAAGGAAAAAGTATTTGATCCCCTGCTGATTTTGTACGTTTGCCCACTGACAAAGAAATGATCAGTCTATAATTTTAATGGTCGGTTTATTTGAACAGTGAGAGACAGAATAACAACAAGAAAATCCAGAAAAACGCATGTCAAAAATATTATAAATTTATTTGCATTTAAATGAGGGAAATAAGTACTTGACCCCCTCTCAATCAGAAAGATTTCTGGCTTCCAGGTGTTTTTTTATACAGGTAACGAGCTGAGATTAGGAGCACACTCTTAAAGGGAGTGCTCCTAATCTCAGCTTGTTACCTGTATAAAAGACACCTGTCCACAGAAGCAATCAATCAGATTCCAAACTCTCCACCATGGCCAAGACCAAAGAGCTCTCCAAGGATGTCAGGGACAAGATTGTAGACCTACACAAGGCTGGAATGGGCTACAAGACCATTGCCAAGCAGCTTGGTGAGAAGGTGACAACAGTTGGTGCGATTATTCGCAAATGGAAGAAACACAAAAGAACTGTCAATCTCCCTCGGCCTGGGGCTCCATGCAAGATCTCACCTCGTGGAGTTGCAATGATCATGAGAACGGTGAGGAATCAGCCCAACTACACGGGAGGATCTTGTCAATGATCTCAAGGCAGCTGGGACCATAGTCACCAAGAAAACAATTGGTAACACACTACGCCGTGAAGGACTGAAATCCTGCAGCGCCCACAAGGTCCCCCTGCTCAAGAAAGCACATATACATGCCCGTCTGAAGTTTGCCAATGAACATCTGAATGATTCAAAGGACAACTGGGTGAAAGTGTTGTGGTCAGATGAGACCAAAATGGAGCTCTTTGGAGGAGGAGGAATGCTGCCTATGACCCCAAGAACACCATCCCCACCGTCAAACATGGAGGTGGAAACATTATGCTTTGGGGGTGTTTTTCTGCTAAGGGGACAGGACAACTTCACTGCATCAAAGGGACAATGGATGGGGCCATGTACCGTCAAATCTTGGGTGAGAACCTCCTTCCCTCAGCCAGGGCATTGAAAATGGGTCGTGGATGGGTATTCCAGCATGACAATGACCCAAAACACACGGCCAAGGCAACAAAGGAGTGGCTCAAGAAGAAGCACATAAAGGTCCTGGAGTTGCCTAGCCAGTCTCCAGACCTTAATCCCATAGAAAATCTGTGGAGGGAGCTGAAGGTTCGAGTTGCCAAACGTCAGCCTCGAAACCTTAATGACTTGGAGAAGATCTACAACGAGGAATGGGACAAAATCCCTCCTGAGATGTGTGCAAACCTGGTGGCCAACTACAAGAAATGTGTGACCTCTGTGATTGCCAACAAGGGTTTTGCCACCAAGTACTAAATCATGTTTTGCAGAGGGGTCAAATACTTATTTCCCTCAATAAAATGCAAATAAATTTATAACATTTTTGACATGCGTTTTTCTGGATTTTGTTGTTATTCTGTCTCTCACTGTTCAAGTAAACCTACCATTAAAATTATAGACTCATCATTTCTTTGTCAATGGGCAAATGTACAAAATCAGCAGGGGATCAAATACTTTTTTCCCTCAACAGCGCATACAATATGTCGTATGTATGTTTACATAAACAACAACCAGTCCCATTTACTCTTAGACTGTGTGGGCACAAGTTGTACCTTGTTTGGTCAAAGTGATGAACGTAACACGTGGCACAATGAACCCTTGATCCGGTGTTCTTTTGCGAACTAAGAACATTGAACATTATATCTGGCAAAATGGTTGAATCAGGGAATGCTATTTCTTGTCATGAAAACATTATTCTCTAATTCTCTTTCTCACTGTCACTATTTATCTTATCCCCTGCATATCTCTCCATAGCTTCTCGATCACTCCATACCTCTGTCCACTTCTCTGATGCCATACTTCTCCTGTGTTGTGCGCTACTCTCACTCCAAATATTTGTGGAGTGTGTCCACTTCCCACTCCAAGCATCTCCATCCGCTCATGTATCCCAAGTCCCCCATACTGCATCAGCTCTGCTTCCGTCCATGTGGCCAAATGCTCGGTAATGATGAGTGCTCTGTATGATTATGGTTCTATTATGCTCGTGCGTCAAAGCACACATTAATGAGTGTCGATTCACATGGAGTGGGATGTGTGCAGGCAGAGGAAGGGACGCGTAGCATGAGAAGCAGGAAACTTATAGATTGAAAGGAGGGAGATTAATGGAGTGAGAGATGAGAGATGTGCAGAGTGAGATTGGGAGATGTGGGGTGAAAGATGGGCGATACGTGGAGTAAGATGCTAGATTTACGGAGTGAGAGGTCGTGGATGCATGAAGTGAGATGTGTGGAGCAATATAAATGGTAAATACCCTGAAAAGTTAACAAAGCTAATTTACCAGAGAGACAAGTCCACGCCATGTGAATGTGGAGTTTCCACCACTCGCTCGGGGCCACCAACTAACATTGTTAGCTTAATAAACTTTAGACATGGTTTCTGTAAGCCATTTGAATGTTGAGCTGTTTTACCAATCGATAATTAGCGAGGTCAACCAGTGTCCCTTACCACTAAAACGCACAACGCTCCGTCATTGCTTCTCATTCCAGGTACTTTATTGGGACGTCGGTGTCCACGTTTTCATTCCGGATTCACGAGGAGAGGGAGATCCTCGGATTCGACCCCCGCAGCACGTACAATCGCTTCTGTGGCGACGCAGAGGTCAACTGCGAGCAGCCTACACGTTGGAAGGTCATCTACTGAGCCAAAGGTGGCAGCACCGCACCTGTTCCACGCTGTTTCGGTGGGTTCTTGGAATTAGCTGAAAGTGCCCTTTATTCAGAATAGGGAATGACTGAGTGTGCTCTATTGAAGGCTACTTGGGGGCCCCTTGGAGTTATTAGGGGTGGTGAATGTAAGGCATGTTGTACTGCAGTGATAAGAGAGATGTTAAGTGTCTGTTTTGCTGGTCTGATTGTGTACTTGAACAGAGTTGCCTTTGACATTAGTAGAGGGTTTGTGATGCTTCCCTTTGCAAATCAGGTACGGGTCTCCTGTATCTAACCATTGTCATTTTCTTATGAAGTTAATGTTTATAAATAAATAAAAACCACACTAACTGTTGATACTGTACACGTAGATACTTTTGAAGCTAATGGTGTCATAACTATATGTGATTGAGTGTAAATAAAAAATAGATTGAATTAAATATACAATTTAACATCTAAGCGAGGTTCTACTTTCATGAACAAGAAAATAGTCACTCTAAATCAGTGTCAAAGTGAACCTTGATGGATTTTAAAATTATATTTTGTGAATTATAAAACTTGCTTTAAATCCAGAATACTAATATTAACCCCAATGTTTACCAAAAAACCTTGACATAACTCTTAAGGCTTAATGTCAGCTATATATCCTATTTCTTAATCTGATTGGACTCTACTTCTGTCTTGAGCATTAATGCTGTCCTTGTTAAATACTTTGTTTTATTCAAGCTAAAATGCATAACATTTCCCTCATGATCACATTTGAACGATTTGAAATAATATATTTTTAATCGTGTCCATTTTAATAAAACTCAACTTGGTTGAATTTAAAAGAGTCATCACATTCACACTTGTTCTCTGTTATAATATACGCAGGTTCAAAACTACACTAGTCACACTACAGAGACCGGTATATCATATATCACGTGGCGTGTGTGACATTACCAATTCCACGGTAACTACTCTGTCGCCATGATAGGTAAAGTGACATGAACCCACGAATTCGAGTGACTGTGTAATGTGGGTTTGTTATTTACAAATGCTGTTTAAAATTGTTACAGATAACTATGAGCAGGTGACAGATATTTTGTATGTTTTGGACATTTACCTGTTTACAGTTGGTGAACTTTGTTGCAGTGACAATTTCACAGACCTATATCGATACTCGGTGCAGAGTTGTCTAATAATTGCAGACTCCAGTGATGGTATTAATCTCAGCACTACCTTGATTGCACCTGACTTGGATGTAAACATTGCTATGTATTTGCTGTAATGTGAGACTTTCGTGATGTTTTTTAAGACTTGGAATTTACTCTACAATTGTTTGAATACGAATGCATATAAAATAAAGAATTCTAGACATTTTACTGCATTGTGTGTGCAATGAGGTGGGTTTTGTGTATTTTATGGTTTCCTCCCACAGTTAAAATAATACACACATTGCACCTGGTATTGGCAAAATATCCCAATGCTCAAAATGTACCTGCAAATTACTCAGTTGGGCTTACACATAGCAACAGTCACTCCCTACTTCGAAAGCAGGACCCTTCCAAAAAAAAGAGTCATCGCACGAAAATGACACATTTGTATCGCATCGCTATATCTATCGTGAAGAAAAACGACGTGTTCAGAATGTGGCCCAAGTAGGTCATCATTCAGAGGGCCGAAAAGCTCAAACGGAAAGAGCTGGCCAGATCTTGGCTTCGCACAACGTGTAAAACGACGCAATGCCCCGATACACAAATACGAAGGAGGGAGACATCGCAGCGACGATGATACACCACCCCGCTGCGCCCGACGCGGTTTGTCTGGGCTTGACCACCTTCATAGACTCACACATAGACCCATAGACTCACCCCGTTGAGGCAACGTACACACACGCAAAACCCCCCCAAATTCATCGCTTGAACATCAAGAGATATAAATCCTCACCACCACCAGCTGTGTCCGTGGTGGCCGCAGTGTGACGCCCGATTCGATTGTATTCTATATGCATGAAGCACTCTACCTCGCATTTACTTGTTACAGTGAGGGAAAAAGTATTTGATCCCCTGCTGATTTTGTACGTTTTCCCACTGACAAAGAAATGATCAGTCTATAATTTTAATGGTAGGTTTATTTGAACAGTGAGAGACAGAATAACAACAAAATCCAGAAAAACGCATGTCAAAAATGTTATACATTTATTTGCATTTTATTGAGGGAAATAAGTATTTGACCCCTCTGCAAAACATGACTTAGTACTTGGTGGCAAAACCCTTGTTGGCAATCACAGAGGTCAGACGTTTCTTGTAGTTGGCCAACAGGTTTGCACACATCTCAGGAGGGATTTTTTCCCACTCCTCTTTGCAGATCTTCTCCAAGTCATTAAGGTTTCGAGGCTGACGTTTGGCAACTCGAACCTTCAGCTCCCTCCACAGATTTTCTATGGGATTAAGGTCTGGAGACTGGCTAGGCCACTCCAAGACCTTAATGTGCTTCTTCTTGAGCCACTCCTTTGTTGCCTTGGCCGTGTGTTTTGGGTCATTGTAATGCTGGAATACCCATCCACGACCCATTTTCAATGCCCTGGCTGAGGGAAGGAGGTTCTCACCCAAGATTTGATGGTACATGGCCCCGTCCATCGTCCCTTTGATGCGGTGAAGTTGTCCTGTCCCCTTAGCAGAAAAATACCCCCAAAGCATAATGTTTCCACCTCCATGTTTGACGGTGGGGATGGTGTTCTTGGGGTCATAGGCAGCATTCCTCCTCCTCCAAACACGGCGAGTTGAGTTGATGCCAAAGAGCTCCATTTTGGTCTCATCTGACCACAACACTTTCACCCAGTTGTCCTCTGAATCATTCAGATGTTCATTGGCAAACTTCAGACGGGCATGTATATGTGCTTTCTTGAGCAAGGGGACCTTGCGGGCGCTGCAGGATTTCAGTCCTTCACGGCGTAGTGTGTTACCAATTGTTTTCTTGGTGACTATGGTCCCAGCTGCCTTGAGATCATTGACAAGATCCTCCCGTGTAGTTCTGGGCTGATTCCTCACCGTTCTCATGATCATTGCAACTCCATGAGGTGAGATCTTGCATGGAGCCCCAGGCCGAGGGAGATTGACAGTTCTTTTGTGTTTCTTCCATTTGCGAATAATCGCACCAACTGTTGTCACCTTCTCACCAAGCTGCTTGGCAATGGTCTTGTAGCCCATTCCAGCCTTGTGTAGGTCTACAATCTTGTCCCTGACATCCTTGGAGAGCTCTTTGGTCTTGGCCATGGTGGAGAGTTTGGAATCTGATTGATTGATTGCTTCTGTGGACAGGTGTCTTTTATACAGGTAACAAGCTGAAATTAGGAGCACTCCCTTTAAGAGTGTGCTCCTAATCTCAGCTCGTTACCTGTATAACAGACACCTGGGAGCCAGAAATCTTTCTGATTGAGAGGGGGTCAAGTACTTATTTCCCTCATTTAAATGCAAATCAATTTATAACATTTTTGACATGCGTTTTTCTGGATTTTCTTGTTGTTATTCTGTCTCTCACTGTTCAAATAAACCGACCATTAAAATTATAGACTGATCATTTCTTTGTCAGTGGGCAAACGTACAAAATCAGCAGGGGATCAAATATTTTTTTCCCTCACTGTATTAACCTTTTTCACGTGTAGTACCCTGGTAATTACCCTGTAATCGGGTAATTTGTATGGGGTAAGGGTAAAAGGTAGGTGCCGTGGATGGGACAGCACAGTCCAATGAATCTGCGGTGGCCTCTGACATTTTGCAGGCTCTTGTGTGTGCATGTGGTCAGGTGTTGGTCTTGTTGGAGGACAACTGGCATCTGGATCCATTTTCCGATTAAGGACATTGATTTATTTTATTCAGTGTCAATACAATTTAACATTTTAGAAGGAGCAATACAACGTTATTGGGCTGTTCCTCGTATATACAACTCCAATGCGTGTTGCTTAGAGCAGCTACTAAACACTCGTGTGTCCATATTTTGAGCCTCGGTTTTGTGGTGCATATATCCTCCGCACAAACAGGCATTAAACCCTACTTACAGAGTAAATCAAGTTGGCCAATGACAATTGTGAACTCCCATTAAAATCAGTGTCTTCCTGCCCAAGTGGGCAGCGGCGCTGTCTCTGTTGGCAGCCTGTACACTGTTGGTGGAAACTACGCTGCCATGCAGAGGGCCAGTCTGTCATAGTAACGACCAGTCTTGACTTTTGAAAGTTATCATCGGCCATGAAGGGAATCTCCACATGCTGTCGCATTCCGTCCTTCTGCTGCCACTATCGTTAGTCTTGCCCACCGGCCATAGGTCTTTCGAGCGACTTCCTGCACAAGCCCAACTTTTCTTAACAGTCATTATGATTTCGATTTAAAGCTTTCGTGACTGCAGGGATTCATCTTCTTTGGTTCTTTCGGTAAAGTCACGTAGAATGAGAATAAAATAATAAATTGATAAAATAAAATAACACAATAATATTCTCACGACGTTTCGCCCGCTTGTGTTGTGGCCGAAACGTCGTGAGAATATTATTGTGTTATTTTATTTTATCAATTTATTATTTTATTCTCATTCTACGTGACTTTACCGAAAGAACCAAAGAAGAGTCATTATGATGCCTATAACTTGCATCGGTTCTCTGATCCCTGTCCATCTTTGTCTTTCTCAGTCTAATGCAAAGCGTTCAATTTTGCAGCACTTCTTTGCATCCTTTTCAGACGTCTTATTCCAATTGTCCTTGTCTGTGCCTAAGTTTCGAAATGTGCGTCAAGGTCGGGATCGAAACCACGACCTCCTGTATACCAAGCGAGGTAGTTAACATCTAGCCACCGTGGCGTGATGGTATATATCAATACCATATACCACCGTGCGATATATGCCTTTACGAGTTTTAACATATAAAGGACAATTTGCTGCCTTAAAAACAAGTGTGACGCCAATGGGCGGATGTGTATCGGGCCGTACAATAAACGCGTCGTCCAGCATCACACGTGCAACTGAGTAATTCCCTGCGACGATGATGTACGTTTCCATACCAATTAACTCCCTGTTTTCACGTGGATTAAAACAACTGTTTGTTTAAAATTTTACGTAAGTGATATTTAAAACAGGCTTTGTGGACACAGGGTAATTTGATTGGAAATAGGAAGATATTTTTTTAAAAACGCATTCACTGTGTGTGCATATATTTTTTTTCATTAATTCATCCTCTGATAATTGTAATAGAATGTATAAACATTTTGAAACATACATTTCTGTTAAAACTTTCCTCTGTCCTTGTTTTGTGGACATCTGTTAAAAATAACTTCATAGCATATCGGATTCCCCCAGTATCAATAAGTATTAAATTTAATAAAACGGTTGATACATTTTTTAGGATTCCGAACAGATTGTGCATCTTTGCTCGAGCTCTATATACCATGCTCCCAGGTTTGACGGGATCAAACTTCTCATAATTACATAAATATTAGCAGCTTTTAATTAAAATTTACTTTATATATACATTAATATAATAATTATACACACATTACCATATTTACAATTAACATTCACGATATACATAGATATTTGAAGCAGATTAACATCTCACGACTAATTTAGAAAGTTACATATTTTCCATTGCGTGCATTATGCAGAGATACGTGGATTTATATGCTGGGTTATGCTGAGTTGAATAAACTTTAAAGAAATATTGTTCAGTGTGCAGTTTTTATGGATTCCTATTTTGCTCATACTATTTAGCAGATGCATCCAAATTGACTATAACTGCCGATTCTGGATCCCATCTATCCTTACTTGATTGTCATTGATGTTTTCACTTTTAGATAATACTTTATTATATTGGGTATGTGTGAAAGAGAAGCAAAGGCATTACAACGCAATAAAATGTCAACATCGATATCGTCCAAATGCCACCGCAATTGTAGATGATTCACACAGCTTAAAACTAAACACCGTGTTTAAAAGCCAAAACTTCATCATTCTCTATTAAAACAATCAACTAAATCTAACCAACAAGAACTTTTCTTTTTTAATACAACCAACTTCATACAACCCTACATAGAACCCTTGAATAAGTCGGAATAAGTCGGAATTGTTTATCTGAAACGTAAAACGCAAAGTTAACGATATCTGAATGCATAAGACATATTCGCGTTGCGCGCAGAAACTCGTAAAGTACACATTCAAAGCGCATGACAAGCTGATCATGTCTGGGGGGGGGGGGCACCGCAAACACAAGTCTATGAAAAAGGCTCCCATTTCAACCGCTAATGCATAGGAAATATCCCGACCCGGGCATCCGTGGCAGCGATACCCGACCGAGACGCTTCCTCGCGCAGGGCAAACAGCCTCCAAGGCCCTTTTGGCAGCCGCCACCCAAACCCCCCCCACCCCACTCAGCCTCGCACGGGTGGACGCAAAATTAACGATGAATAAAATAACGCTTCAGTGGTCCATGTTTAATAGAGTCGAGCGACGTTGGTAAACACCGTCGTGGTGCGCGCCTAAGTGACCTGGCGCCGTGGTTCTGCTGCTGAGTGGGGAGGGCTCGGGATCGTGCGGAGCGCCGTTCGTGCGCTGCGTGGCGGCGTCTCTCTCTCGTGGCCGTCGTTCGCGTATAAAAGGGCCCTGTCCGGGTGCTGATGGGGAGCAGACTGCAAGGAGCGCAGGACCGCGGACCGCTCACTTCCTCGCCACTACTCCCAACATACACCGAAGGGTAAGGCGCTGCAACAGGGTAAAGTGGCAATTGTTACTTCTTGGTAACATTCACTGCCAATATGGAACACCTAAGGTATTTGTGTTATTTAGGCTGCCGGTTACGTTGGAAATTTTAACTTTGTAAACTTTTAAAGATTTTATTTTTCAAGGTGGCATGTTTTGTTCATTGGTAAATATTTTTTGCGTTTCTTGCAAAATGTCTGAATTCGCTTTGTACTCGGCGTATTCCGGCCAAGTCTCAGTGGTATAAAACGTCGGTCTTTGAGAGTGGTCTTGAGATTATTCCCAACTATAATATACGTGCTCAATCGGCGGCAGATTCTCAGGTCACGGGGCTCCCATAATCGAAGTTAACAGCATTATCAATAATCTGTGTGCATGTGTTTGCTTAACTTGAATGTGTAAGAGGTATAATTCGCTGCAGCTGAAAGTGGTTCATCGTGGCCTAACGGCACAACCTACGTCCATTAACGATAGCCCTTGAATGGCTTGAGCAATCCTGCTAGATAAACCAATGGCCTACACACATCCTTGTAGCATTGCAATCTATGTTGACTTTTGGAGTTGGGGTCACGAGGAGTGGAGGGCATTTATCAAAGAACTATGAAGAGACATGATTGGCTTCTCGATGGTCAAATATGACATTTTCATTTAGAATATTTGAAATTACAGAACGGCTCCCACAACATTTGAAAATGAAATTGGGGTCTTCAGCCTTTGAATTCCAAAGCATTGGCAGTATTGCTATTCGCTCACTCTTTTTTTTTATCTTGCTTTGAAATGATTCTCATCGTATCATGAATGTGCAATCCATCGAGAAGGAGCCATTCATTCAGAGTCTACCTGGTGATATGTGGTGAGCAGCCAGAATTTAAATGAACATGGAAATAAACAGACTTTGGAGCTCACTAAGCTCTGACTCCCGGAGTCATGCACGACCGTGCAACATGGTGTCTCAACCTATCAATGGACCTATACATTAAGTCTATTCAAACTTAAATGAGTGCCAGATTTGGAGCGTGAATAGCAACAATGTGGATACAAAGGTGGTTGGGCGCAGCGCTGGTCACATATCCTCCTTATGTGTCATGCTGACCTTGATACAGTAGATACTCGCTAACAGCACTAGCTTTAATATTATTTAAGCCTAAATGATTGTCATCTTGGTTTGTGTGTATATACAGTATATACATGCATATTATGATGCTTATCCAACATGGTGCTCATCGTGATATTATTAAACTAACCACATTTTAGTGTAAGCACAGCATTTACAGTCGGGCAATGCAGATATTTGAGAGTGCAAGAATGTGTGTGCGTGTCTGCTCACACACACGCGCAAGTGTGTGTGTGAGCACCCACTTGCGTGTGTGTGTATGTGTCCACGCGAACAGATTCCGGAGCGGGTGTGCAGGGGTAAACGCACTGCGCTAAAACCCTGATAACCCGAGATTGTTTCCCGCTCGCGGCCAACCTGTGACAATTATCATAACGGGTCCTGGGCCTCCCCTTGGTTGACTCAGCCTTAAATGGGTACCTGGTGCGGTGTGTAAATATTCCCCCCCCCCGCTCCCTCCACTTGGGAGACAAAGGCGGCAGGGTGCGGTGCTGGCCACCCACCCCCTCGTGTAACCATTGCGACCTTTCTAGGTGCTCCTCGCTTTACAGCACTTTCCCCAAGAGTATGTCCAGGCTATACGGGGGGGGGGGGGGGGGGGGGGGCGGGGTGAACGTATCTGTCTCTGTGTGCGTGCGAGCAGATGCTGGTCCGCTGCTCCATGGTGGTGCTGCTGGTGGTGTGCACGGTGCTGTACGCCAGCGCTCTGGCCACCGCCATGCCCCCCAAGCCCGACAACCCCTCCCCGGATGCCTCCCCCGAGGAGCTGTCCAAGTACATGCTGGCTGTGCGCAACTACATCAACCTCATCACCCGCCAGAGGTGCACAAAACGAACAGAAAAACAACGAGCCCCCCCCCCCCCCCCCCATGTAGCCTTAACTGGCTGTTGGGGAAAGCGCTGGTAGCGAGCGCCTGAGAGGTGCCGAGAGAGGTGCCTAAGAGCTGCCAAGAGGTTCGCTCGCACTGCCATCCCCGTCCCTGTGTTCAGACACTCTTTGCTGGGTGATCTTCATCTGAATGCAACAGCATTCACACGAAGGTGTATCCGCGCCTCCGATTTAGCCGCGGTTGGCTACGTATGGTGCGAAGGCAGTTCAACATACACCACATTGTACATTTTTGGATTAGTTAAAAAAATAAAAAAATAGGCCGACGTGCAGGTTATCGATCCGAAAATTTGACACCACGTGAAATGGCCTCGCTTTTGTGCTTTATCCTTCCAGCGTATTGTTACGTGACGTCACTTTGACAATTTAATCCTGAAAAGAAAAGCTAAATATTCACCATAAAATTATTTTTTTTTACTTATGGAGCTTAATGTTGAAAATTTTATTTATGTAAGTAATTTAGAAATGTATTTCCATCTATTATCCGTGTATTGAATAAACAATTACGTTTTTTTTATGTTTAATACATTTTCAGTCGAAAAAATATTCTAAATTTTTTTAATTTGGGCCTTGAAATATTTTGAATCCAGATCCTCAAAATTGAAATCCAGAACTCTTTCCTGCTGTCGGTACAATACTTACATTTGTTAACAACGCCACTTCACTGATAACACTATGTAACACGATTTTTGTCCCTGGGTAGTAAGTGTTATTTTTTATTCCTTTGCCTAAAAAGTATAGGAAATGGCTATTATTCCCCACAAATTTTGCTTTTGTGACCAGGACTTTATGTGAAGGAATGACACAAATGCTCACCACGTTTTCTCATTGAAAATAGATACATTTCAAAATATCATTGTCCTGGTCACAAAAGCAAAGTTTGTGGGGAATCATAGCCTTTTTCTGTACTTTTGAGGCATAAGCAATTAGGAAATAACACTTACTACCCAGAGACAAAATAGTTTTTTTGTTACACAGTGTAATTATCTAGACAAGCTGCTGGAAACCAATTACAAAATGAGCCAACTTATAAAAAAAACACTCGGTCATTACCTATTCAGTAAAGCATAACTGCACTTCAAAATATTGTTCATACGGTTGGTCTTGCTTTGGAAATTTGTTTAAATCCTCGAGCCAAACTTATTTGGCATTTGGATAGGGAAAAAGCGGTCCAGATGTCTTGTGACTCCCAATTAATTGACCCCAAACATTTGTTTCCTTTGCCGATTCATTTATGTAAAAAATACACATCACTTATTTATTTCAGACGGCTGGCACGAGTTCATATATACAATTGAGTGTCTCTCTCTCTCTGTGCCTCTCTCTTAGATTTCTCATGCTCACATGTCCTTTGGGTTGCACTCTCATGCCTTTGGATTACACTCTCATGCTCACATGTCCTTTGGATTGCACCCCCATGCTCACATGTCCTTTGGATTGCACTCTCATGCTCACATGTCCTTTGGATTGTACTCTCATGCTCACATGTCCTTTGGATTGCACCCCCATGCTCACATGTCCTTTGGATTGCACTCTCATGCTCACATGTCCTTTGGATTGCACCCCCACATGTCCTTTGGATTGCACTCTCATGCTCACATGTCCTTTGGATTGTACTCTCATGCTCACATGTCCTTTGGATTGCACTCTCATGCTCACATGTCCTTTGGATTGCACCCCCATGCTCACATGTCCTTTGGATTGCACTCTCATGCTCACATGTCCTTTGGATTGCACTCTCATGCTCACATGTCCTTTGGATTGCACCCCCATGCTCACATGTCCTTTGGATTGCACTCTCATGCTCACATGTCCTTTGGATTGCACTCTCATGCTCACATGTCCTTTGGATTGCACTCTCATGCTCACATGTCCTTTGGATTGCACTCTCATGCTCACATGTCCTTTGGATTGCACCCCCATGCTCACATGTCCTTTGGATTGCACTCTCATGCTCACATGTCCTTTGGATTGCACTCTCATGCTCACATGTCCTTTGGATTGCACTCTCATGCTCACATGTCCTACAGTCCATCTCTCACAATCGCTGGCCCCACCCTCTTGCCCGATGCGGCAACCTCCCTCCCCCCTCTCGGGTCAATACAATGCCTCGTCCACAGCAGCCTGATTCTCTCACCTGAAGACGGTCGCTTGTTGTTGCGATCGAAATGTCGTGATCTATTGTTTTTTCTACCTACGTGACTTTACCGAAAGAACCCAAGTGTATGGATTCCTGCAGTCACGAAAGCTTCAAATCAAAATTGAAGAATGGTGTATAGTGAGCGTATGGGCTCATGAGAGATCACAGACTGTGAAAGGTTTAACAATAATTATGCTGTTTAATAAAGTTGTATTGCTTACATTACATACCCATTGTAATACAAACATTACGTTTAGAGAATTAATTGGGGGGGTCCCAAGACATCTGGACCACCCTGCACCCGCTGTATTGCTTCCTGCATGCCACCTCCGAGCGGGGTTGAGAGCCACACGCTGATGATGGGGGCAGCGATGTGGCCAAGCGTTTGCCTGTTCGCCGCCTGTTGCAGAGGTTCGTGGCTGGAATCTGGCAGGCTGCCCTGGTTAATACTTCGGGTGTATTGACCGTAAAAAAAAGATCGTGGGCCCGCGTAGGACGTTAATGATCTCGTGGCATGATTCGGAACGAGCAGATCATTCGTGTGCTGGCGTCATGATACAAACTACGATTACAGTACACATAGCACATTCAGCAGATTAAATCTATCTGTGAAACACTGATCCACTCTTCCTCCGCGAAAGCCCCGAAAATACAATTATGGCGTGAATAAATGTACTCAATTATTATTAACCGGTTTGTCTCAGTGCGGTCCATCAGCCCTACTTTCAGTGCACTAGATTATGCCAAATGGAAGGTGTTTGAAAAGCACACTTAAAAATTGTACACAAATAAACACCCCTCTATGACCACTGACCTCCGAGCATCCATTGTGAATCCCAGTGGACTCTCACCTGCTTTGACATTGCGTTGAATGTGACATACTGTGCAATGTGTATGCAATTGAATATACAATGTGTATATAATAGGGCCTGATGTTGAGGCTGTGTGTCGGTGTGGTCTCGTAGGTATGGAAAGCGAACTGTGGCAGAGCCTTTGCTGCCCGCTTGGCTCTTTGAAGACGCAGCCGAGGACAGACTTGCATACAGGTGGCCTGAAGACAATCCTATATTTACTTGTGCATTTTACAACTTAAATTCACTCATTTTGAACGAACATTGTTAAAGGCAACGAAACCTGTCACGGGTTGCCATAGTTCAGCTCACAATCATACGACTGCAAGTTAAAATCCTGCTTCGGAGGGTTGACTTAACCCATCATCACCCAAGGGGTCAATAAAGTAGGTAATGTTTTATAAAAATGAAACAGTAGTTTTCTTAAATTGGGACTGGCCCCCACCATGGAAATGTGGAATTTCCACCACTGGCTCAGGGCCACCAACAGAGATGAGCGTGGATTCATATAACGTTCCAACTTTGAGCTCACTAAAAAAAACATTTTTCTGTCATTGAAAAATGAACATCACTGTTAAATGCTGTTTAATGGAATAACCACCTGTAAATTATGCAATTTTGGGTGTCAGTGCCAAATGTGAACATTTTAATTGTTGAAAGTTCTGAAAAATCTCTGTTTTAGAAAATTACTTGCGATGAACTTTTACTTTGGGCCTCAGGTTGTCATGTGTATGAGTTATAAAGGCATGTTCTTAGCCATATATTGTTCATGTTAAGTTGTCCTCGTATCAAACAATTTTTAATGAATGGACTTGTCGGCAGCATCCTGCTTGGACATTGAGTCGTGTAATGGTCAGTTTGACTCCATCTCCCGATGTGGCAGTTGCAACAAAGGGGCAAGTTTATTAAATGCTTCCCCCCTTCCACCAAGCAGCATTATTCGGCACAACGAAGTCGATCAGCAGGTCATATGTGGTGGGGTAAACTGCGGGTACTTCCCCCTCTTCCAAGATGGCAATGGAAGAGTAGGCCAATTGCCCTTGAAGAGCTGCTCTCTTGAGCACCCTCCAAGTAGGGGCCCTTCCACCAGCAGTGGTTTGAGCCAGGATTTGCAGGGCTGCATCTTGACCTAGCTTGTACATGACCAGGGGCCTGCTTTGTGCCACGATTTATTAAGGACCACCACCGTCTCGTATTCACAACGTGCATTGTGGCTCTGGAAACATCGATTAGTTTTTTTTACCGAATTCGAAAAAAAAACCTAGCTGTCATTGTTAATTTGGTTGCCGACCCCTGAACCTGACTGTTGTTTTCTGCTTCACAGTTAAACAAGATGACATTCGCAGGGTCTGGTGAGAAGGCACTCTCCTGCAAGAGGACACACCTTTCGAAGACTTCAGACGCCCGGAAACAGCCCCATACATGACTCTCTCACACACACCCACACACGGGCACACTTTTGGATATAGTTATTTGTTAGCAGCTTATATGTTAATCTGTTTCAAATTTCATATCAGGCTTAACTGTGTTAATAAATGCTTTTGGAAAATCTCATTGCACTACATCGAAGACAATGCTTGCCTTTTAGCGCAAGTCTGCTAAGCATGCAAACACAATAACACGCATGCATAGGTAAGCATGCAAACACAATAACACGCATGCATAGGTAAGCATTAACATATTTAGTGTATTTCTGTCATCATGATCGGATAATCCTGAGCGAGATGCATTTCAGATCTATATTCTACAAATCGCAATAACATCACCTAACGCCATGTGTTCGGAGACAGTCTGGCCAATTTGAGCATGAATCATGAACAATCATCACCAGGTCTATTCGTTGTTTGTCACCATCAAACTATGGACCGTATAGTAAAAACCACTGACCTGGAGGAATAGCAACACTACACGAACTCTCTCTCTCTCTCCTGAAGCCCATTGCGTGGCTACATTGGCATTTAACTCCTGGACATATTGCTGACATGGGCAAGGACATACTAGAGTTGATAGGTAATGGTGTGCTGTGCTGTTTAAAATGTACACATTAGCTGTGCTTTTACACACACACAGTGCAACACACAAGACAACGCCTCGATTCGCAATGCATCAACTCCCATCTCGGTCCGTATCTCTACCCCTTGCCGCTGACGATTGTCTTTTAATGTATTGAATCTTTACTTTAACATAATCTATACTTTAACATAATCTGTATAATAATACCTAGAAGTTACAGTTCTCGTGCACATGAATGTCCTATGTCTCCTGAAAAATGTGACGTTGGTTTAATTGCCTGAGCTGTGATGGGACCACACTGGATGGAATTGTTTAATCTTGCCTGGTGTCAGACATTGTTCATTGTTTCACAGTCAATACCCTCCAAAGATTTTGCAATACACGCCTGTTTAAAGTCTGGCCTCTGCTTTGTTTAAACATGTGTAATAAAAAAACGTACAAGCTCACGACAACGGTACCGGGTGGTGTGAATGTGCATGACTGGCCAGGTGTGAACATAAATTGTTATTTGTTAGTCTGCAATAAATATTCACTCATCATCACCGCAATTAATTTGAAGTCTGCCCTTGTTATAGTTCCCCTCTCCTCAGGCGGTGGTCTTCCAACCCCCCAATTCGAACCCGCCTGATCAGGTTTATCAATTGAGAAACTTGCCTAGCAATGTGAATGTCATTTGAGCGATCGAGGTTGCTATACTTGATAAGCGAGTCTGAGTCGTTCGCATCTCCCAGTCGCATAGACACGCCCGGTTGATATTGCCATTCAGTATGTTCGATAATTTACATAGGTATGGAGAAATTGGTATGGGTTAGATATGATTCTTCGACTTGGAATATACATGTGTAAATTTGACCACTTTTTGGAAGATATAATGAGAGCAATAACAGCAATCGGGGTCTAATGTTATAACCGGGTTATAACTCATGGAGACGAAAGCCATATTTTTTTCTTCAAGCGATGGAAATAAATACACTACGGTACATAATATGGAGGGCAAATACGATGCAGGATCGAAAACATGTCATAGTTACTCACGTTAAACAACATTCCAATTGGAAATAAAAAATGCTCAAGGAAAACGAATTAAAGTGTGGAATTTACATGTATAAACAATTCAAAACCAACATGGGAAATATAGTGCTTATATAATGCAGCTTACAAGTGTAACAAAATAACAATGCAACCGAAAATAGCTATCAATTTAAGACGCAGCTACATGTCAAGAACGCAGTTTATTAACATAACTTGCATTCATATTGTCAGAGTATTGTCATTGTTTTGACGCAGCGCTTCTTAAACATAAAGCCAACGCTACTGAGTGTTCAACAATCGGGTGCTCAATCGGTGTAAATATCCACCCGATAGAGAGCATCTAAGCCACGTTTCAGAGCCAGGTGGTATAATTAAACAGTGAGAAGGCTCTAGCGTTGATCTTTGGCAGGGGAGAAAAAAGCAATGCTTATTTTCAAGAAACAAAAATATTGGTAAATACAATGGAGCATAGTACGCTTGACTCACAACCGTCACATTGCAAATGTGTGCCTACCGCAAGCTCAAGTCTTCTTCAACAACATTGCTCTTCTGCATGCACACTTCACGACACGAGATGCACATGTACAGGCTGGTCAGATGTCTTGTGACCCCCCATTTAATTCTCTAAAACTTAATATGGTGAAAGGAAGTATTCTAGATTTAAAGCTTTCGTGACTGCTAGGATCCATACTCTTCGGTTCTATTGGGTATTACCTACGTGACTTTACCTACGTGACTTTACCCAATAGAACCAAAGAGTATAAAGGAAGTATTTTTTTTTAAGAAATGAATATGCAAAACATGTTAAGGGTCAATTAATTGGGTGGTGGGGGGGGGGTCACGAGGCATGTGGACCACCCTGTACGGCAATCCCCCACGGCTTATGTCGGGGATGCGTTCCTGACACGCGCGACGACGTATATCGAAACGACGTCAATTGGAGCGGTTTACAGGGTACAGGGTGGGTGGTGGGAGGCGTCGGACGACGATGCCGTCAGCGACGTGGGTGTGGGGTGGGGAGGCGACGCAAATCGGGGTATTACGGTGCATATAGATCACGGAGTTCAGAAACAGTTTTCATCACATTGGATTGAGAGTGATGTCACGTTCTCCTCCGTTTAATTCAACGAATGAAACGCGTTTAGTATGCCGTATGGATTGCTGCCGCGGTGTTAATGGTTTGCACACTGGACGTGCAAGCCAGAGGTGGCCAGTTCGATCTCCCGGGGTGGCAGTTTAAACAATGGTGCAATGAAGTTTATTAAATCCTGCCACCTCTCTTCACCCAGCAGTGTAATTCGGTACACCACAGCAGATGGGTAGGTGGCGTATGTTGGGGTAAAGCGTCGGTAATTCCACCTCTTCCAAGGCGTCGAGCCTGCGTGGAAGAGTAGGCCAAAACACCCTCCAGAGTGGCTCTCTAGAGCTGCCTCTAGTGGAGGACCTTCTGCCAGCAGTGGCTTGACCGAGAAATTGCAGGGCTGCGCCTTTACGTCGTACGCTGCATGTTGGTGATAAACCCGACATGAAAAATTGCAGACATAAGTCTCTTAACGGATGTGTGTAATGATCATTGGTGACAGAATAATGGCAAATGTCGAGAGGCCAACCAACTAGCATGAAGGTTTCTCTACCATTGACCACATATATACAAGACTATCACGTTATGGAAAAATACCACTTTTACCTTGCCTTTGTCGACAATTAAAAAAAATCCATTTCAATAAGCTGGAAATTGATGCCACTCATCCAAGCTCTCACAAACCAAGGTCGAAACAAACACAATATTTATATACTAAGAAACAATCCAAACCATATACACAAATGGAACAGCCACGCTGAGCCTGCACGCGTATTTAATGGAATACACGACGCATGCAGATAATTATTTTGCGAAATGTTTTTTTTATTAAGCTTCTGGTGATTTTAAAGACGGTGCATTGTTATTGCGGGCTCTGCCACTAGGTGGTGATATTTCTTCAGTTTCAGACCTCCTGTATTCATAAATTAAAATTTACATCACTAAATTGCCACCTCTTGACGAGCACCATAACAATCCAACGGTCGAATGATCCGCAATGCGCCTGCCCTCCTCACATCTCGGAAGCTGAGCATGGTTGAGCCTGGATCGTGGTTGCATGCGCAAACACCATGCACAGTAAACCGTCATAGACGGTGAGGCTACATTGTGCACAAGGACCTGCACGGCATGTCGAAGACATTTACAATGAAAGGTCTACACAGCATGGCAAAATATTATACGTTTGGATATAACACAACAATCAATTGTATACCCGTTAATTACCGTAAACCGGTGAATACAGAAAACACGTGTTGTTTGTTGTTCATGTTACATTTCGCCCAATAAAGTCTGGCAGAGACATCTTTACACAGAAATATTTTTACACACAAAAAATATGTATATGTAACACGCAGTACACATATGTTCGTTTTCTAAATCTACCATAGCATGTGTCTTCAGGTGCTAATTAGAGTCGATCGCTACCGACGAGTCCACACAAAAACCACCCTCGCCACCGACGATGGGGAAAGGGCCGCGTGGGATAGCGACCGGGGCGACTGTTCTCCATCCGGGCACGATGACGATGGAGAGTTGTCTACTCAATTGGACTATTTGTGTTTGCACAGCACTGCCATTGGAGTTCCTAATTAATTTCGCTATCCGATGACAAGTCGGTAGAAACAACTCCATTTACCAACACCCCTGTTTCTCAAAGCTGCGTCGGCAGGTCTGCAGGTAACACTGTGGCGAAACCATCACCATTGGGTCCCTCCTCCCAGCGGCCCTGTCGAACTCCACTGAGCATCGCTCAAAGCCACATTCACTCTGGAATCTCTTGACCTCACCTTGCCACCCATTAATCACTTGAACCCTTCCCCATCCCCTGCGTAAATCGAGCACCTCTCCAAATCTCCAAACCACTTTAATGCAATTTGAATGTCTCGCATTGTGTGCCCGCTGGCATCTCTTGTATTCTCGACGGGGGTGTGTGGGGGGGGAGGTGACCCAGAAATCTCTGCTGCTGCCGACAGCCCGACTCGGTGTCGACGGGCGGCTCCTGTGCCGAGTTGGCTCCGTTTCGCTGGCATCTCGGCGAGCACCGACGAGCAACACGTGACACCGTTTGTCTTTTTGGCACAAAAGAGGTTAACAGAAGAGGGTACAACAAGGGGGGTACAAACAGTAGAAGTGTTATACCGATGTATAAAAACAACATCGTAATGTCAATGAAGTGTAATAAAGGTTTTTGGGTTAGATCGCATAAGTATGTGTCGTAACCCTCCACCACCCGACACAGCCAATTAGTAAGGGATTTGTCACGTGAACAAAACGCCAATTAGTTACTACATCAACCCACCGGTGTGTTGCTGGGTAAATTCACAGCATTTACAATTTTAATACGAAGTTTCGCTGGTAATTACATCATCCAGCATCATCGGGCGATTTGCCAGAATAGTGACGCAATCCACCTGCTTCCAAGTCGTAAATAGAGCAGCAGGGTGACGTCATCACTGCGAACCCAATTAAAAACAACCCCTTTATGAACAATACTGATGGCGACTGCCTGCGTGCTAAACTCAATGAAGTCTGTGCGTACGTTGAACGTCTTCAGCACCGTACGTAGCCAACAGCGCGCATCGGAGGTGCGGGGGAAGGACAACAAACTGAACACAAAAGCACGCAGTTCTAGAGACATGAGTTTTCCATCGATATTTAAAAGTGCATATGGCCCCAGTGGCTTCCCAATATCGGACAGGGGAAAAAATGATGACAAAAGCCTCCTCCTGATCAGAGGGTAACCTCTGACCCCACGCTGGCATGTGAATGCCTCATATGTGTTGTTGGCTCACTATGAATGGCTTACCTCACGAGACATAGAAGCTTACTAACTTTACTACCCGGCTTCGCCCAGGACTTGGTTTCGCCCAGGACTTAGATTCACCCGTGACTTGGATTCACCACGCCCGGCCGCCTTTGTCTCTCCTGTGGCGATGTTCACACACCACACCAGTTACTCGTTTGAGGCTGAGTCGACCTAGGGGAGGCCCAGGACCGGTTCAAATAATCGTCACCGGTGGTGGCCGTGAGCGGGAATCGAATTCGGGTCGCCGGGTTCGTAGTGCATTGCTAACCACTACACTACCGCTCCCCCCCACACACACACACAGACAGCACGCTAACCACTACACTACCGCTCCCCCCACACACACAAGCGCGCACGCGCGTCCATATGCACACATACACGCGCTTGCTGCAGACACACCACACAACTTTCAGGGTGCGTACGGCAGTAAACGACTCAAATAATAAAGCAATGCTGCGCGAAGAACGCCTTTAGACCTGCAACACATTTGTATGGCACTTTACTCGCAGAGGGTAAGGGGGGATGCGTGACATCAGCAGACACACTGCGTTACGCTTCCGCATGCGGGTGACATAACAGAGATGTGATGTCACAGCTCACTTGCCGTGCAAAATATTATGCATTATTGCGCCCACGCCAAAAAAATATACAAAAGTGTATTTTTAAAATAATTTTTGCATGGTGTACAGTCTGGAAAGTACCCACATGGCAAATTTAAAGTTTGTTGAACTCATCTGAGGCCTGTGATTCTTGTAGAACTCATCTGAGGTCTGTGATTCTTGTAGAACTCATCTGAGGCCTGTGATTCTTGTAGAACTCATCTGAGGCCTGTGATTCTTGTAGAACTCATCTGAGGTCTGTGATTCTTGTAGAACTCATCTGAGGCCTGTGATTCTTGTAGAACTCATCTGAGGCCTGTGATTCTTGTAGAACTCATCTGAGGTCTGTGATTCTTGTAGAACTCATCTGAGGCCTGTGATTCTTGTAGAACTCATCTGAGGTCTGTGATTCTTGTAAAACTCATCTGAGGTCTGTGATTCTTGTAGAACTCATCTGAGGTCTGTTATTCTTGTAGAACTCATCTGAGGCCTGTGATTCTTGTAGAACTCATCTGAGGCCTGTGATTCTTGTAGAACTCATCTGAGGTCTGTGATTCTTGTAGAAGTCATCTGAGGCCTGTGATTCTTGTAGAACTCATCTGAGGCCTGTGATTCTTGTAGAACTCATCTGAGGTCTGTGATTCTTGTAGAACTCATCTGAGGCCTGTGATTCTTGTAGAACTCATCTGAGGTCTGTGATTCTTGTAGAACCCATCAAGGCCTGTGATTCTTGTAGAACTCATCTGAGGCCTGTGATTCTTGTAGAACTCATCTGAGGTCTGTGATTCTTGTAGAACTCATCTGAGGCCTGTGATTCTTGTAGAACTCATCTGAGGCCTGTGATTCTTGTAGAACTCATCTGAGGTCTGTGATTCTTGTAGAACTCATCTGAGGTCTGTGATTCTTGTAGAACTCATCTGAGGCCTGTGATTCTTGTAGAACTCATCTGAGGTCTGTGATTCTTGTAGAACTCATCTGAGGCCTGTGATTCTTGTAGAACTCATCTGAGGCCTGTGATTCTTGTAGAACTCATCTGAGGTCTGTGATTCTTGTAGAACTCATCTGAGGCCTGTGATTCTTGTAGAACTCATCTGAGGCCTGTGATTCTTGTAGAACTCATCTGAGGCCTGTGATTCTTGTAGAACTCATCTGAGGCCTGTGATTCTTGTAGAACTCATCTGAGGTCTGTGATTCTTGTAGAACTCATCTGAGGCCTGTGATTCTTGTAGAACTCATCTGAGGCCTGTGATTCTTGTAGAACTCATCTGAGGCCTGTGATTCTTGTAGAACTCATCTGAGGCCTGTGATTCTTGTAGAACTCATCTGAGGCCTGTCATTCTTGTAGAACTCATCTGAGGCCTGTGATTCTTGTAGAACTCATCTGAGGCCTGTGATTCTTGTAGAACTCATCTGAGGTCTGTGATTCTTGTAGAACTCATCTGAGGCCTGTGATTCTTGTAGAACTCATCTGAGGCCTGTGATTCTTGTAGAACTCATCTGAGGCCTGTGATTCTTGTAGAACTCATCTGAGGCCTGTGATTCTTGTAGAACTCATCTGAGGCCTGTGATTCTTGTAGAACTCATCTGAGGCCTGTGATTCTTGTAGAACTCATCTGAGGTCTGTGATTCTTGTAGAACTCATCTGAGGCCTGTGATTCTTGTAGAACTCATCTGAGGCCTGTGATTCTTGTAGAACTCATCTGAGGCCTGTGATTCTTGTAGAACTCATCTGAGGCCTGTGATTCTTGTAGAACTCATCTGAGGCCTGTGATTCTTGTAGAACTCATCTGAGGCCTGTGATTCTTGTAGAACTCATCTGAGGTCTGTGATTCTTGTAGAACTCATCTGAGGCCTGTGATTCTTGTAGAACTCATCTGAGGCCTGTGATTCTTGTAGAACTCATCTGAGGCCTGTGATTCTTGTAGAACTCATCTTTGCCTTTAGTTTGTTGTCCTTCCCCCGCCACTCCAATTAGCACGGCTGGCCAAGTACGATGCGAAAGAAGTTCAACGTAGAGATACGTCCGTAATAAATTTCGCTCATTAAAATTTAACCTCATGTCGGGACCCCGTGGTCCCGAATAAACGGAAGTCAAAATCGTAATTAAGTTTAATTTATTGTTGGCGACTCCGTCCCACCTTACCTTGCCTCGGCAAGGTAAGGTGGGACGGGATCCAAGGGCAGCAGCAGCGAGGACGAATGTGCAGAAGAAACAAAACTTGTAAACTTTGATGAGCCCATCGTTTAGAGCTCGTCGAGAGGAATCTATTTGCCGTGTCGTTCAACTTCAACAGACATAACACGACGTCGCAACGCAGTTTATGCGAGAGCCGGGGGGCTTATGGGGGGACCCCGGGGTCCCACATAAGATTCATTAATGTCCAGAAGAAATGCTGATTCTGGATACTGTACTCATGCACTGTTCTGTGCAGTTCTGTGTTTTATAAAATGCCCCATAATAACCGGAATGCATGTGTGAATGTGTAATTATGCATTGTAGAAAACGCCCCGATGAGGTATGTCTGCACGGAACACGTTTCTTCATATTTAGCAAAAGAAAGTGCTATTTTTTTTCAATCAATTCCACCCAAAACAATAAAGCGTATGTATTTATAGAAGCACAAAAAACGAGACCTTTGAAAAATTCACAACACACGGTGTGATAAATTATAAAAGGTTTTTTTTTTCTTCCTTTCTTTAATGTCATTGTGGCACAGTCATAGCAAACTAAACACGCACATCAGCTTTTAGTGTTCAACATTTCATTAACATTCACATAATAATCTCACGTCCATTTATTAATAACACATTTCCACCTGCTTAAAATGTACAACGTAAGCAAACAGATGTGAAGCTCGCGCAAAAATGTATTCTGCAGGAATAGTTTTCTAATAACCCCTTACACAACGGCCCACATCTAGAATGCATTCAAGTGATTTCAAATGGAATGGATTTCCAGCATACATAAGACAATTAAATGAGTACGAGGATGTAAACAATAACATAGCACTAGACTCAAAGCTAGTGTCAAAGACATTATCTTTCTTATAAAGAACAGTCTTATTTTAGATGTATTTTCCTTTGAACATCTACTTAGTCACAACTCATGATGATTAAATTATATATTTTTTAAAAAAACGTTACAGCATATGTACAGGTCCGTTGAGATCTAAGACAACCGCACATTCCCTACGAGTTACACAGCACAACTCATGAACCCCATACATAACCGAAAGACCCAGAGTATGAACTCCATACATGTACAAACCTATACGTAAAAGCTAAAGGAGCAGCCCTGCAATTCCTTGCACACGCCACTGATGGTGGAAGGGCCTCCGCTAAAAATGCTTCCTTATAAGCCCCCTCTCTCAAGAGCGGTTTTTGCCATTCTAACTGGCCTTCCCTTTTGTGTGTACGTTGAACTTCTTTCGCACCGTTGCGTAGCCAACCGTGCTAATCGACAAGCGACCTGCCATTCAACCGTGCAGTGCCCATTTATATTGCCGGGTGAACAGAAGGGGGAGACGGGATTTAAAAAATATTGCCCATTGTTTCAACTGCCCGGGGACTCGCCTTGAGATCAGGAATCACTTTCTCAAGTAAAGCGGGTTGATGTTCTCAGCCCAAGTCACAAGGGAATTAACTAAATATAGTTCATTGTACGAGTTCGTTTATGCATTCAAATCGGTCTAACCATGCAAGACATAAATGTAATGTTCACAGACGATGAACGCACAGTTGAATATTGTGGTAAGATAGCTCCTTAAAGGCCATCGAATAATCCACCATGTCACTTCTGGTCAATATTCAAATGTGACATGTGACTTGGCATGGAGTTCAAGTAAAATACAATTCCACGTAACATTAGCGTGAGACTAAAAGAACATCAAAGGAACGTAAAATTATCACAAACACAACTGTCAGCAGTGGCAGAACATGCTTGCCAACAAGGACACTCGATTGATGTTGATAACGTTGAACTGTTATGCAAAACGATTACTGACCAAGACTAATTAGAGAATCCATCGAAATTTAGAAAAATACAAATAATTTTAACCGCTCTGATTGCTACAGACTTAGCGCAGCCTGGAAGCGTATTATTAAGTAATACACAATACATATTACAATTCCTTATAGAGGGATCACATACGAATTAACTCATTACTAATCTATTATATAATTACAATACCCCCCCCCCACCTCCGCCTCTAATCTCGAATCCTGATGGGGTTCAACAACAATAACGTCGTTCTGCACTATTTAAGACCGGAAGCAGGTGGATGACTTCACTATTCTGGGAAATCGCCCGAAGATGCTGGATGTAATTACCAGCGAAACGTCGTACTCAAATTATAAATGTTGTGGATTCACTCTTCAAACGTTGTGGCTTCACTCTTCAAACACACCATTTGGGCTGAAGAAGTACCTAATTATCGTTTTGTTAACGTGACACATTTTTTACTGATTGGCCGTGTCGGGTCGTGGAGGGTTGCGACACATTTATACTCACGTGATCTACCACAAAAACCTTTATTATGGGCAAATATACACTTGGTGCAGTGATTTTGGCTGTGATTGGTCCCACCTGATGAAGGAAGCTTGCGTTGCCTCCGAAACGTCGTGTTTTAATTGTTTATTTTATTTTTAATTTGTTTTTTTACCTACGTGACTTTGCCGAATAGAAGCAAAGAGTACAAATATACATGTTGGATTTGCTCTGCAAGGAAACTGGAGCGCGTGGAGAACACATCCCAAAATGTGAGGAACAGTGTTCCAATTCTGCACAGACAGGTCAACGACTTGTTCCCATAGGTACCTCACTGCCACGCATTTTTCGCACCGTACGTCGCCAACCATCTGTTTGTGACTCACCAATCCCACCTCCAAGGCTCGGAATTACAGCTACGCATGGCCACCTCATCCAGCCATATATTTTACCATCAATTTTAAATATTGGTGAATTGCATTGTCACGAAATTGTCAGCAGTGGCAAATTATGTCTAGGGGGTTGGCTAATGTCCACTTCACGGCTGAACGGCGACAGGAGTGACTCCACTTATGCTGGAGTGCCTCTTCGACAAGGTGAACACCTGCACTTACTGTTGTTCGTGTCTTCCTTCACAGTAAGTTAATACATGTGGAAGATTACTCATATAATTATAACGACAATGAACTATAACAATTCGCGCATTTTAAAGATGCAAGGGTCCAGTTAACACAGGCCACTACTACGTCGTTCATACTTTCACTACTCCATCGGTCATGTGGAGAGAAAAAATCATGTACATTTATCAAATAAAAAAAATCACAGTTTATCATGTGCACACAGGCAGTGAGTACACAATCGTTGAGAAGCAAAGTTTTCCATTGAGGCCTCGCTGTTCAGAAATCAATCTCGCACGTGCGCAACATGTCGCGGCTACAACGTAGATGGGAACGTCAGTGGCTGCCTACTTTTAAAAATTACAATCGGCCAACTCTGGGGGCCTTACCTACTCGTGTATTTATTTAAATTTTTAACACGGAACAATTTCTGAACAAGATGCAATTCCGAAAGGTATATACGGAATTATACATTTAAAAATAACACGTGCAAAACCAATTCAATCATATCACATTTGTGATTATGTATAAGTGTGTCCCTGTTCAAGTGAGTGATGGGGCGGCGCTTATCTCTCTTGACGGCCTCGAGCGTCTGTTTTGTACGGCGAGGGGCAGTTATTCTAAGGAATCGTATTTTTTATACATCCACGTAGGTGTTTTGCGGTTATGATGTGTGTCTCTCTGATGTGCTGTCGTGCCGTGTGCTGTTGACTCCACGTGCTGGGATCTTTTCGGCAGGCCGCCCCGACCACTGTGTGTTTTTTTTCCAGGGGTAGTTGTCCAGCAAGCTCCCGGCTTCTGAAGTTCCAAGCACATGGAGCGAAACGTCGGACATCATGCCAAAGAAAACTTGAGTGTCGCAACCCGACAGCACTATACCACATCTGTTGATTTCCCACAATTGGTGCAGATTATTTAAAATTTTAGAGGAATAATGGGCTTGGGTGTTTTTTTGCTGTTGTGTTGGCAATGGGATGCACCATTTAATTTGAAGAAACAACACTGTCGTTTAAATCTCGTGTAAGAATAAAAAGTGAAATGTTTGCGATCTACAAAATTAATTAAATGTATTGCTTAGTTGTTTAAAAAACAAGAGCAAGAATGGGTCAGATTGAATGTGGTAATATCACATGATTAGACAGCCGATGATGACACTCCTAAGTTGCAGGGTTTGGAATCCTACAGTAGACCTTGACACATTAGAAACCCTCACACACGCACACGCTAATTCTACATCCATTACACATTGACATGTAAGTGTACAGCACTTTCGAAACCAATAACATCTGTAAAATATTATTTACACCTCTTTTAAAATAAGCAAGGGAGAATCATGTATCTACCACAAGTTGATCTAAATTCGGGAGGGATTCATGTATGTGTGAGCAGCATTTGTGAAGTTTATGCACAATGTGTATTTTGCCGTTTACACATTAAAAAATATCTGTTTTAGTCCAACACTTAATGATTTGTTAAATATAAACGTAACAATTCATTTCAGATATCCCGATGCCTTGCCTCGCATCAAAATACTGACAATAGCAGAGCACATTATTGATATGGTATTGTCGTTTCATAAATATATCACTTTGTGTGGGCTTTAAAATGATAAATATACATGTTAATTTAATAATGTATATGGTGTAGATGCAACGTTTGAAATCATTGCTGTATTAGCAACTTCAAGACACGCAAAGCCCCTATGACCTTTAGAGTCTCATTTTCAAAAGTCTTTGCCTTTGAAAGTGATGAGGATGGCACAGGGAAACGTGCTGTCAAGTATCCTCAGTGGAGAATTGATGGTTGCACAATGTGCTCGGTGACAAGGAGGTGTGTCAGCCCTACCTCATACAAATTTGTTAATCTCATTGCATGGAACAATCGGATGTCAAAAATTTACATTCTCATAAATTACAATGAAGCTATTATTTGATGCCGTGCTACTTAATTTATGCAATTGCTCCGATGCGATAAATCGGTTTCCTTGCTCATGAAAGGTCCCTCACTTTAAAATGCAAAATATTCATTGTGGGTAAAATATATTGAAAATAATAATATTTGACAGTGTCAAAAAGAATCATTCACACGCCCCCTGGGAGCCAGACATTTGCTGGGACGGCTCCGCTCCTATCAGACAGGCGTGTGACAATGATTTCTCGTCCCTTTCAGGATGGCATGCAGATTACCCTGGAGGGAGATTTTTTTCTCTCTCCATTCGACACGTTCGTTGAGCGCGCGGAATTTGCGCGTAAAATCCTCGGTAACCCTGCCGAGCGATGAGCGATCGTTACCGTGCTGCCGTGGTTGACATTTCGCGCGGCTTCCTAGATGTTACTGCTCGCTCAGAGCTCTGACATAAAACTCTATAACGGATTTTTAAAGTTTATTGTTTTGGATTTGTTTATTTACTATTATGGGACTGGCACTGTTACACCTCCTTACACTGCGCATATAATGCAAAGACAAAGATCCCCCGTATAGCCTTAACATACTTTTGGGGCAAGTGCTGTTAGCGAGAATCTATTAAAGACGGCATTACATAAGTGATGGTGTGGCGAGGATGATGCTGAGCTGCCTGTCTCCCCTACGGCAATGTTTAGACTCTAGTTTTAGGCTGACCTGACTTAAGGGAGGCCGCTTCCAGGATAGATACTTACAAGATCGGCTACACATTTTTGTTCACTTGTGTGCATGACCAGGAACTTCTAATATTGGGCAGCCAGGGTAGTAATGCAATATATCAAAACAACCATTACTACTCCAGATATGTGCCAAATTCACTTTGAGTCCACGTAAAATGTCTAAGGCTCTCTGGCAGGAGGCCCCAGGACTGAACCAGTTGTTGTGTTGTACGTATGTAGAACTTCTTTCGCACCGTACGTAGCCAACCGTGATAATCAGAGGTGCGGTGGAAGGACAACGGACTGACTGAAATGACTGGCAGATACACATTCTGTGTTTCCCACTGCCTACTTCTTGCCGTGTTGTATACCGTTTTAGACATACACACGTGCATATATGCACGCACACACAAAGACCACCCGTATAGCCTTATCAGGTCTCATCAGGCTATTGGGGGGAAGTGCTGTTAGCGAGCACCTATCAAGGGTGGCACGTCACAGGAGGGGGTACGTGGCCAGCATCACGCCTGGCCACCAGGTACTTATTTGAGGCTGAGTCGACCTCGGGGTAGGCCCAGGACTGGTTCAGATAATCGTCACTGGTGTTGGCCGTGAGCAAGAGTCGAACTCTGGTCACAAGGTTTGTCGCACAGTGCGCTAACCACTGCACCACCGCACGCACGTACGAAGACATTTTCAAATTATATAGAGCACACACATTATTTGTAATTCTAGTAACCACTATGATGAATTTATCTGTCGTTGGTCTATAAGATCTGATTTCAACTAAGTCTAAAAATGTCGTGCTCTTTTAAAACCTGTTGAGAATATCTGGACTGACTATATCCACTTTTTAAATGGTCCCATAATATTGTACGGACAGCTTTCCTTCATCTTCATTCCGATGTATATTGTCTGTGGTCAGGAGTTAAGGCCGATTAAAGTTACGTTAATTCGTTTTCTCATCACAGGTCTCAATGCAATTAACACTTCTTAAGAAAGCATCTCAAGAGTGTTACTGTTACCATTTTCCTCAAGAAATGTTTAGCATCCCAAAAGGGGAGGAAAAAATGCATGAAATACACAATGGCATTGAAATCTGAGCCACGTGGTGATGAGAGGCAGACGTGTAGATACTGCAATGCCTACAACCATGAGGGCTAATTTATGAATGCCAGCATCTTTTTCAAGTTCACTTATCGGCCCCCTAGCCTGTCCACGTTCACTGGATTATGCCACACACACACACAACGGCAGATGTACCCATGCAAAGTCCAATATTCTCGGATCACAAACAGAGGGCTAGGTTCCAGTAGTGGCCGCACGCCTTGATGCCCAGATCGTCCCACATTATCCCGTCAAAGTTTGCAATCGGCATTCAAAAAACAAATCTTTTCCAACCTCTAACCCCATCGCCATCGAGGATCTTTCACATCTGTTCAGCTGAAGACATCTCGCCATCCATCCTCTCGCCATGCCCAACTGCGCACACTTCAGACGTCGGCGTCAGTTCTCCTTCGATTTAAAAAATAAAAAAAGGGAAGGAAATTTTGTTAAAAAGAATCCTGACTTTGCCACGAATGCTGTTGTCAGTAGACCCAACTGATGGGCACCCACTGGGGCCCCTTGCCAAGCCCTTCCAGGGCGGCTCTCAGCTTGGCGAATGCCACATCCATGTTGTTGTTGACTATCTTCAAGTCAAAGAAGTGACTGTAGGCTCGCTGGATGCGCACGCTCTCGTCCACCGTCTTCTTGAGGTCCGTGTCCTGCACAGCTCAGAAAGGGAGAATGGAAATGTCACGTGCGTAGGGCATCTTGTCGCTGGGAATGCAGTGTCGTCCTGTTCAAATCGGCGATTCAATGGCACTCGTGTCCATTGAAGGCCCTGGAAATTCCAATTTCCAACAGCAGCTGGCAATCCCTCTTTAGGATGACCACTTGACTTTCCACAAGTTGGAAGTGATTGAGTTATTTATTGATGGTGTATGTATGTTGAACATAGCCAACCATGCCAATCGAAGGTACGATTTGCATGGTGAATACTGGACGGTGATAATGCCGTTTTGCAATGAATGGTTATCACACTGGGCTTGCAATCAGAAGATTGCCAGTTCGATCTCCCCGCTCAGTAGTGGAAACAATGGGGCCAGTTTTTTTTATATCTCCCTCCTATGCCTGCCTCTGTCCACAAAGCAGTATAATGAGCTGAGTTGACCTCAAAGGATTTAAATTGTCAACTGTCTGCGTGGGGTAATTCCCACTAGGTGTGTAAAAACTGTGACCAGACCTGAGATAGCCTGGTATGAAATGCGGCAGTCTTGCAAGCGAAAGCAGACCACAGAAGATCCAACTTTAATCACTTGACTTACGGTTAGCTACGCACGTTGCCAAAGAAGTTCAGCATACTACGTACATGCATTGAATTTATTAGCGGCGTGCTTGTGAGGATTATTACACCCACCTACAGAGTGCTAATGCTCTAAAGCATTACATCCCAGCGTGATTTGAATAATCTGAGCCCAATCTCGCATGGAAGTTAAAGCAACAGACCTCAGCAACAAAATTTCTCATTAAAAACAATTGGATAAAGGGATGCAATAAAAAATATATAAATGAACTCTGTGAATGCACACAAGTAATAATGCATTTTGACGAATTTGTGAAGAGGCAAACAGTTTTTAAAAGAAAGCTGTTCGTTCTGCACCCTGCGGTAAGCCATTTGCTAATAAACACACAAAATTCTGAGTCGCATTTTCTGCGGCACATCAAGAACTGTTATTAGTGCATGAACTTTAAAATCAAAACGTACAAAAAAACTTGGAATTGGCCATGACAACCCTAAAATCACCCCGAGCAAGTCATATGACAATACGAAAATAAATTTTATTCATTAAAACAAGTATGTCGAGGGTGTATGCCTCCTATATGGCATGTGAGCATCGCGGTCAACTGATAAATATAATTGTCCTGGGTAAAAATCCAAGTCGAGAGGTCAACTCGGCTCCTCATCCCTCCAGGGTTGATACAATCTGCACCGCTCCGTGAGAAGTAAACCATCGCGAGCAACTGCATTCTCTGCTCATCCTCCGGTGGAGTGGACAGCACTAGTCGCGCTACTCCCAAAGCTGTTGTCACGCGGCCCAAAAACATTAACCTGGACGTACAATATCCACATTGAGTACTTGCCATGCGCTAGAACAAGGGTTGTCAACCAAAATAACATAAAGAGCCATGACGTCACGAAGCAGCCCTTAGGGAGCTGCACGTGGACTTGGAGCTGCAGGTGGCAGACCCCTGCGCTAGAAGAAGAGAAGTTGTCGACCAAGATGGTCCGATGAAGAGACTGACCCCTGCCATGAAGATGTTCAAGCTCCACCCCATTGGCTCAAAGGAGATGAGTTCCACTCCGATGTTTGTGTGAGCAGGGAGATGCTGCCCCTTGACTTTGAAGGTTTAAGAGCTCGTGTGATTTTTCAAGATGTGTGTTTGGATTGGAATACATAAGTTGTGTCGAATAAAAAAAACCGGCATGCACTACACATCCTCCTGACAAACAAAATGAGGATTGTAAGGCTCAATGCAGCTTTCGTGGATAATTAGAAAAAATGATAAGCTCATCACTCTTCACGGTCTGGCAATTGTCCGTGGGTAAAAGGGCACGAAAGAAAATGTGAATAGTATTTCACTGGCTATCTTGGAAATAAGCAATGAGAGGAAGCAGGCTGGACAGTAGAAGATCGGAAGCAGAGACATGGGTGATGTAAAAACCCACCCATTTTTAGTGGCATGATGCTGAAAAGTGTGATAGATTAGTGCTGTGGACATAGAAATGTTGTGGAGTCTTGTGTAGTGAATCTGTGCAATGATTTACAAAAAGTTATCGTTTTATAGTAAAAAGTGCAAAAATCTATGGGAAAAAAAACCCCAACAGAAATCAATATATACGGTCTGGACCTCAGGAAAGTAATTTAAATTTCTATAGGCCGTTTTTGTTTGCTATGTCCGTTGCTCACTGGATCAGGGCCAGTTTAATTTTAAAAGTGATAAAAAGTACGAAAATATATCCTCAGGTCATGTTCTTGGTTCTTTCGGTAAGGTCACGTGCAAGTTACATCCAAATGAGCCGCACAATCCTGCCCATAACCTCATGTTGGCTTTTAGCCAATATGGGGGAAACATTATTAAGACAAGTTATGACCATGTTTGGGCAAGAATGAGGTCTGTTACCCAAAAGCCAGTCTTTGAGTCTTCCTACGAGTCCTCATTTTTGTTTACCACTCTTCTCTATTAAAACACAAATCAAGGTTTGTTAGCATCACACACATCTGATGGCTGGTACATGTGGGGAGCGGGCTAAAAACGTCGACACAAAAGTAACGCCGACATTTTGGTTCCGATGCATCGATGATTTGACAACGACGTTGATGCCCTCCGACAACATCGGCAAATCATCGCTGTCCTTTCGACATTTTTACGGCCTGAACAAAAACCCGCGTATTTTTATTTTATTTTTAAGCTCATTGATGAAACAAAACCCTGAGTCCCTCTCCACTGTAGATAAGCTTAAAAGTTAATTTTCTGGAGACGCAGAATACAAAATTTTCTGTTTGGTTGAGTGCTGACCAAACATAATTTGTGAGCGTTCAGTCTGCAACAACAGTTTGTCTGCAACAACAACTATGAAATTAATCAATCACGAGCTTTTTTGCCCGTCCAAGGACGGGTGTAGATTGCAGTAAATCTGAAATTTTCAATAGAAAAATTGTTCAGCTTCATGATTATTAATGAGGGGTGGGGCGGGGGGTTGCCCCATGTGGAGTGACGTTACCCGCTAATGATTATTGTGGAGGGGTGCGGCATGTGGAGTGACGTCACCCACTCATGATTATTAATGAGGGGAGGGGTGCGACATGCGGAGTGCGCGACCTTCTTGTGCGTTAGTGTAAATTTCCACGCGGGCATGAATATTAATGAAGGGGAGGGGGGGGGGCTCTTTTGCAGTGACGTCACGCACGGATGTAACACTGTGCTGCGTAGATTTATTTTTTACCGTCACTTTCTGTAAAGAAACGTCGTATTTGAAGCGACTTTGTGTAATAAATAACTTAATTCAGCTCGACCTTCCTGCGTTAGTGTAAAAATCCACCCACTCATGAATATTAATGAGGGGGGTGGGCCTCATCTGGAGGGACGTCACGCGGGGGGGTGGGCCTCATGTGGAGTGACGTCACGCGCGGGACGGACAGACATTTCTGGGTGATAATTATAGTAGGTAATTATCGTCTTTGATAATTAAAAAAAATGCTTAGGAGTGGGAGTGCTGGCATTTGGGGAGCCCACTGCTATGGCAGGGTCCATGCTGCAACTGCTTGGGTATGAATAGCCCGGAGCAGAAAACGAGTACATAATTTGAGTGGGCAAAGCTTAGTGGCAACATTTTCTTTATACGGCCAACACAATTGAATTACCGTGATACGCTTTTTCAACTGTAATCGCATGCAAACACGATCTACGGTTATAGACATTGGTAAAAAAAAAAAAACGCAATTATGTGTTTCCATTCCAGAGTCCGGTCTGTGCTGCTGGACATTTATTGCGTGCCAGTGCCTCGCGAACACGGGCACAGCCACGTTTTGGGGATGTCGCACTCGGGAATGGTTGGTTCCTGGTGGTTATAATACCAATAATTATTGGTCAGATTCCAGATAAGGCCTGTAAAAACTTACCCCCCACCCCCACTCCACCACTGTGTCACGGATGAGAGGAGTTCTACCGCACTATGATCATATATTAATTGTAACTAAGGTCTGTACCGTCGCAGGACGCCCATGAAATAAGAGCCAAATCGTGTGTTGGCCACTTCCTGCTGGAACACAAAAAAAATATTAAATCTAAAAGCAACGACTGGACTGCGACTCAGCACCGAGCCAACGGTGTTTTGTGCGCCACTGTGCACTCGAATCTTCTTGTCATCAGCATGACCACAAACGACGCAGCGATACCTTGCGCTTGCGCGCGTTGAACTTCTTTCACACCGTACGTAGCCAAGCCGCGCTCATGAGCAACCATCTCGAACGTGGCGGCTACGTGCGCTCCCTCCCACACCCCCCCCCACGGGAGAGCCGTGTCAGCGGGAGAGCCCCGGGCGGGCCGTGTCCGCGAGGTGCCCCTCACCGTCAAGTGCTTGCTGGTGGCGCCGGCGTCGAGGGCGGCGCGATGCATCGCGCGCAGCGTCTCCAGCGTGGGCGCCGCCACGAACACCACGAAGGGCATGAACTCCGCCGTCCGCAGGACCTTCAGGGCCTGCGGCGGGGCAGCCGGCAGGGTCTCGAGATTAACGCGGGGGGGCAGGGGGGGGGGGACACTCAAATGAACTGGTGACTCGTTTTTATATTGCCGCCAGGTTGAGGGGGCCCACCGAGCCCTACAGATCTTTTTTCACAAGCGGCCTGGCCATCGCAAATGATAGCTCGGCCGAAGGTGGGCTCATCGTCACGTGGACATTTATAGCGGACAAGCACTCGAAACGCGTGAAAAATCCACGCGACCAGCGGGAGAACACGCAAACTCCAAATATACAGCAGCAGGCGTCGGGGTCTGGATCGAACCCACGACCTCCTGTATACGAGGCGAGGGAGTTAACATTTCGCCACTGTGGCACTTTGGGGCTGCAGACCAATGCCTGAGATTGTGAGGGCTACCCTACCCACCGCACTTCCGATAAGCACGGTTTGCTACGTACGGTGCGAAAGAAGTTTAACGTACGTACGTGCATCGAGTTTTGTCACAATAACGCACCGCTGTAATAATGAAAATAAATAGAAGTAGGCAAGGCAGTTTTTTTTTACCATAAATAACCAGCTCAGGAGATGTTTGGGTTTGTAGTATCAATGTTACTCTGTAGCAATGACGAAAGAGGACACAATGTTGAAGACTTGGTGAAGTCAAACCAATTCAGGGTCACCTTATTTAAATGCAACTGAGACTGATTCATCTTAAAGACCCAAAAGGCCGATGGTTTAAAAGCAATTCAGTTGGTGCATTCATGTGTTAGATTAAACGTTTAAACTTGAGAACGCCATTATGTATATATACATATAGTGACGGACATTCCTTAAGGATACCTTGTTATAAATACATTTTCTTGCAGTGAACAGAAACATTACAGAAAAATGTAATACTTAACGGAGTACATTGTTTTAAAACGCCTGAAGAAAAAAACATGCACCTACCCAGCTGAAATGCTTTGGGCTGCTTATGTAAATGTACGGTAATAAGCGATGCATCACAGAGCGTGGCTCATGATAAAGTGGGCGGTTGTTATGTTGAATTTTAATCTGTCTTTGCCTCGTACCAGTAAGGAAAGTAATAACGCTTGCCCCGCATGCAATATCAGTTGCACAAACTGGGAAACTTTCACAACAAATATACAAACAGGCAAAGTAAAGAACATTTAGTTACTCGGCCGTAAAAGCAAACAGTACGCACAATTTATGAGTTATTAAAATAAAATGACGGACCAAAACATTGCACATTAGTAAGCGTGGAAGACTGGTAATACAAGTCCATAAAGCATTTAGGTGAATGTGTCTAACAAAAGAAGGCCAAAACAATTATAGACACTCTTTCTCCTGCTGCCTCAATTGCCCACCGCAAAATGCATACATTAGCCAAGTTCCTATCGAAGGAGTGCAAATGTCTTTGTTTAATGCTGGAAATGACTTAAAATACGTAATGCGAACATCTGCTCAAGCGTTTCATCAATGTACAGTTGCTATATGTAAAAGAAATATATACAATGCAAAATAATCTCCATTTTCAAGGTATTACAACATTTGCAGCCAGACAAGCTATACATGTTGCTGACATGCTGACATGTTGCATTATTTTGGGGCACCCATTGTATTTCCCGCACCTCCGATTAGCACGGTTGGATACGTACGGTGTGAAAGAAGTTCAATATACACTTTGTGATTGGGTACTCGGCATATTGCACTGTATACATGTATGTTCTTGTGCTGTCGTATTGCAATCGTGTAGCTGCCACTCGGTTGCAATTGATATTACAACCTAGAATCCGTCTCCGCTATGTTTATTCAGCCTAAAATAACTACCTGGAGAAATGTTTGTTTGGTGAGCAATAAGAAGGGTATTTCGATTTAAAGCTTTCGTGACTGCAGGGATTCATCTTCTGGGTTCTTTCGGGAAAGTCACGTAGAATGGAGATAAAATAATAAAACAAAATAATAATAACAGAAAAAAATTCTCACGACGTTGCGGCCACAACACAAGTAGCCTTCCTCAGGTGAAGAAACAGGACTGTCCGGAAGACAGCGCTTGAGTGAACCCTGTCAAGCTTGACAGCGTCTTTTAAGCTGTGTGGGAGGAACAGAGCGCCTTGACAAAGGAGTTTACATATAAATTAGCATGTAATGGGGGATTAGCATGATGTTGGTGTGAGGGATGAGCGCCACGGAGAGCGACGAGCTCGGACCGGAGGAGGGGGGAGAGGAGTTTGCATATAAATTAGCATGTAACTGCGGGATTAGCATGATGGCATGCTAATCCCTCACACCAACATCATGCTAATCCCCCGGTTACATGCTAATTTATATGTAAACTCCTTTGTCAAGGCGCTCTGTTCCTCTCACACAGCTTAAAAGACGCTGTCAAGCTTGGCAGGGTTCACTCAAGCGCTGTCTTCCGGACAGTCCTGTTTCTTCACCTGAGGAAGGCTACTTGTGTTGTGGCCAAAACGTCGTGAGAATTTGATTCTGTTCTTATTTTTTTATTATTATTTTATCTCCATTCTACGTGACTTTACCGAAAGAACCCAGAAGGGTATTATTGTACTGATCGTAACATTGTCTTGTGTATTTGACCAGTCATGATAGGTGCTCGCTAACTGTGTTCGCCCACTATCTAAAAGAGTGATCATGGACAGACTGGCACCAACCATGAGAGTGTGCAATTGTCACTATGGCCTCGGGACAAATAAATTAAGGTGAGTGCCACCTCGTTGCCTATGGGAGCAGGACAACGCCTCTGTTATAACTGAAAAATCTTATCCTTGTCGTATTTGTGCGCATATATAAACTATTTAAAACTACCAGGTAAAGCCCACTGAGCTGTATGGCTCTTTTTGAGAAGCGACCTCGCCACAAATGATAGCTCAACGAAGTGGCTTATCGGGTGGAAATGTATTGCAGCCGCCAAATACTCTCAACGAACGATTCTAAATGTGAAGGGAAAAACCAGAGGACCCGGAGAAAAATCCATACGAGCGCGGGGAAAACATGCAGACTACAAATATACGGGCGTCAGGGCCGGGATATAACCCATGACCTCCTGTGTGTGCAAGTGAAGGCATTTCAATTACAACTTGAAATTGGCAAGGTGTACGCAACGTTCATTCGGATGTGAAATGGCACACATTTCACATTTGAATTTTATTATTTTTTACATCTTTTGTCAGCGAGTGCAAGCAATTGCGGACGGACAGGAAGAAAGGATTCACGAGATTTGGTGCCGGAGGTATTTTTAGATCAGACTGGCACTCATTTAGCCAAGCATGATAGTGTGCTTCCAAGTCATCACTCGTTCGTTCATTCATTCATTATCCCTTAGCCTATTATTGCTACTTTGCAAAAGCACTGCGGCACGCTTCACTTCTGCTAAATGGTGTTACCGCTCGTGGGCAGGCCTTCATGCGGTTAGCTTGTCCATTCTTCTTTCTAATCCAAAACAATCTGGCAGTGCGTTTCAAGCCATTTCCAATATTCTATTCATGAACAAGTTGGAGTTTGTTTTGATTAATTGGCTGGTGTGGTCAGCGAAATGATGTCAGTGCCATGCAGGACATTCGTGTGTCCAGCCGCCTGACTTGCCCTGGTCAGAATCAGGTGATGGCTTAATATATTTATGCTGCACAACATTGCTAGAGGGATAAATAAATAAACAAACATCCAAATACGATGTGCAAGTCCAATCGAGAGTGAACACATCCGAGTTCTAGCTTTTACCTTGTCGATGCTATCCATACGTTTACTACGGTGCTATTCCTGAGAATGGCGATATGTTCAGGAAGTAAATGTCATCGTTGAGGTCTGCTAGCCACGAGAGGGCTGCAGGAGAGAGTTGTAGTTTTGATGTTTTTCCATTGAAGGAGCGCAGACGACAGTGGTTTACTATCTGGCCCACAGTTTGGGTTGCATGGCCACAGTCACATTACTGCGTCTTGTCTTTAACTTTCCATTAATGAAGGGGATGTGCGCATCGGCCTGTTGATGTTTCTGATGTGGTCGATGGTTATACCACCGGCGACTTCGAGGAATGTCAAAGCCCAGGACGTGCAAATGTTTCGGTTTCAAATGAGGTGTTTCTTTTGGATATCTGCGTAGCTTCACCCATTCTCCAGCATTATGCCGGATCTGGGTGAGATTCTAGGATGGCTACAGCTTGATCCCACAAGGGGAATAAAGGGTTGTCATTGGCAAGAAAACGTGCAAACTCCCTTGCAGTTTGAATGCCTCTATGGATAATTGCTGGCAGAATGTTCACCAGAACAAGGAGCCAGGGGTTTTGTGTCGGCTTCACTGTTCTGGTTATGATGCACATTGCATTATCTAATTGCGTGATTATCAGTTCTGTGTACGGGCTCCCAGGCCAGGCTGGGGCGCAGTGCCTCTACCACTGAGTAGTTGAGTGAGAGGGCGGCAGTTCGCAGCACATCAGCTGACTCGCCCGAGGTCGTTCCTGCAAGTTTCTACTGCAGGGCGATTCTTGATTTGGTCTTATCACAGATCTGTTTCATGTGGGGTTTCAAGGTCAGGCTTCTATCCATGATAACCCCGAGATATCTTGGAGTGGGCTCAAGCACATTGGGCTACCACAGAAGGACACCATCACAGGTGTATAGCTGCTGCGTGATTGTTCAGGTGCAAAGCACTAGTGGTGGCTTTGGAAGGATTTGGCCGAACTCTCCAGAAATGGAAATATGCCTCCGATAAAATTAAATCGGCTGTTAGAGTACTGGCAGTGTTCTGGGGCTTCGTGCCCTTTGCAGCAAGGGCTATGCTATCTGCATATATGAACTCGCGAGATAATGAACATAGCAGGTCACTCATATATAATGTGTCTGTGACGATGCTAGTACCGAGCCTTGAGGGAGGCCATTGTTCATAATTCGATTGTGACTGTGTTTACCAATGAGATGTTCGCGTACACTAAAAGTGCATTTGCCGAGCATCACATCGATTAGAATATCAGGGGTTGGCAACCTATGGCTCGCGAGCCAGATGTGGCTCTTTTGATGACTGCATCTGGCTCGCAAATAAATATTAACTGACATTTCTTTAGTTGTATTCAGTGTTAAAAAAAATATTATATGGCTCTCACGGAAATTTATTTTAAAATATGTGGCTTTCATGGCTCTCTCAGCCAAAAAGGTTCCGGACCCCTGGATTAGATGTACAGTAGAATGGCATCTGATGATTACGGCCAACTTAAGCAGCAGGCCATGATGCCAAACAGTGTCATAGGAAGCAGAGAGGTAAATCAATACTGTTCCGGTGTTCTGTTGAGTGATGGAAACCAGTTTCTACGTACGTATGTATGTTGAACCCTGCTAATCGGAGGTGCTCTGTTGATTTTCAGGCACCGAGGCTCCGCAGGAGCTGCTAGGCTTTACGGTTGGATTGAAGTCCAAGTCTGCAGTGACGTCTTCCCAGCGTGGTTTTTCGTGCAGAGTTAAGGGATACCAGCAGTGCAGTGCCCTTATCTTGGTCACCAGTTCTGATTAACTCTTTCAGGAAGTTATTTTTTTCTAATACCCCCTCGGGATGTTTTTTTTTTTGCAGCAGATGTCAGAATTTTAATGCATTTTGTAAAAGTGTTGAGGCTTTGGAATCTAAGTTCTTCAATTGGGCTTTTCGTTGATCGTAGCCAGGCCGGTCGGCCTTCCGAAAGTTCCAACGCAGCCCAGGGTTTTGAGGTTATGACCGGTATGAGTAATTCAGTGTGCTTGACTGCCACCAGTCTGTGTTGGCTCTTTGTAAAATTGTTTATAATGGTTCGCGGAGCAATTACTGGCTGTCCATTCTTGTCCTTTTGAGATGAAGCATGAGTTGGGATTATAGCCTTTTATTTTTTTATCGGGCTGAGTGAAATGTGCCTAGCTGTTTAGGGTCGTATATAAGGAATGCGTCTCGTGCCAATGGCCATTCCATGAGTTTCCCCATTGTGTGCGGTGGCTGTATAAGTCACCGAAATTTATAGCCGGGTGAGTGGCTGCTAGCAAAGGTGGTGACAGCCATTCCTTATTCGGGGCCTGTATACATTTATGACCAGCAACATGGCCGACTGTGACGGTTATTGTTGATGTGTCGTCACACATGGTGGTGGACTTGAAAGCATAGTCATTTAGACCTTGCCTAATGAAGGTGGCGAGGCTATTTTTAGGATGGTAGATGGCACAGCAACACATGTATAAACATTTAATTCGTAGCTTGTCGTCTTCGTGCTGTCCTCGGCATGCGTCTCCTCTAAGGCAATGCCGTCCAAGTTGTTTTCCGTTAGGTCTCCAGACAGGAGGTCATACTTAAGTCTTGAGAGTCCTAAATTTAGAGGTCAAAGTTAATGCTCAACACGCATCTGAGCCAGGAAGAGCCACACTTAAGTTTGTTGTTTAGTTTGTTGTCCTTCCCCCGTACCTCCGATTAGCACGGTCGGCTACGTACGGTGCGAAAGAAGGTCAAGATACATATGTACCTACCACCGACACCAACCCACCTGCCTACCACTTATCCACCTACCACACTCAACATACGTCCACGAAGAAGTTCAACATACATGCTACAACGCATTGCAATAACTTGTGGCCACGAGAACCAACTGCGCCGGGATGACTGTGAGCCGGCTCGCCTGGGGGTTGACGTCGAGGATGCACATTTTGCCGGTACGCACGACGCCGTGGATCGACTCGATCTTGGTGCCGTACAGGTTCCCCTCGTACTCGCCACTCTCGAGGTAGCGGCCGGCGCGGATGTCCGCCTCCATATCGGCACGCGACACGAAGTAATAGCCCTGGCCCTCCTTCTCGTCGTCCCTCGGAGGCCGAGACGTGACTGTGGAGCAGAGCGTGGGAAGACAGAGTGACCAACAGATAAACGCAACGTGTGTTGAGCAGTCACGGTGGCGAGATGTTAACTACCTTGGCTGGTGTGCAGGAGGTCGTGGGTTTGATTCCGACCCTGACGACCCCTATATATTTGGAGTTTGCATGTCTCTCTCCTCGTGGTTGCGTGGACTTTTCTCCGGGCCCTCCTGTTTTTTCCCTCCACATTTAAAAGCCTGATTTTGGAGTATTTGGCTGCTGTAAATTTCCATGCGATGAGCCACTTCGTTTAGCCATCATTTGTGGTCAGGTCGCTTCTCAAAAAGAGTGATATAGCTCAGTGGGCCTTACCTGGTAAAGTAAAAAATAGTTTATAGTTTAGTTTAGTCAGTGGGAAAATCTCACAATTGGATACTAAAAGGGGATTAACTCATGTTGCATTTGGGGGGGCAGTTATAAAATTAATACTACTTTGCAAAAAGTTATCGGTGTGGAGGTTAAAGCCACTGGCTTTGGCCACCAGTGGGGATGACCACCACTCAACACTGCTTGTTTGAGCAGAGAGAAATTGATAATTTAAATTTATGTTTTGTTTTAGCTTTAAAATACGAATCGTCACTATCATCACTGGGTTGCCAACAATAAGGATATACAATTTACGCTTTGTTTTATGAGTTTGCTCTTTATTATAACTTCTGCAGATGGATATAATTATGTAGCTTATTTTGACTTTAAAGTCCTGCATCGCGTCAAAAATGCATGCATTTAGAACAAACTATGAATGACGTACACAGCTTTACCCTTTCATCTTTTTGAGAGGACATATACATTTATAACCATGATATTGATTAAATCAGCTCGTGCAGAGGAAAGGCGGATGAATTTATCACAGGATTATGAGAGATGGCAACAGCTGGGCGAGGCTTCATCCAGAAGTGGATCGATCATGGATGATGATGGCTGGTATTCCAAACCACTACGATTCTTATGACATTTCAAGAAAAAAATTATTAGAACGGCTGTCAATTGTAAGTCTGCATAATCCACCACGCCTGTTTGAGGAGTGCTTCAATATTAGTGGAAATGTTCAGTATACAATTGGCTCTATCATCACTCTTATCTTCAAATTTGTGCTGATCATCTACCCAACAAAAGGCTGAAAAGTCTTTTTTTACGCAACAATAGAATCGAGTTCATATTTTTGCAGATATATTGTAATATCATCATCACCATCACCCCTGATTATTAATCTAACCCTACAATGGATAATCACTATTATTGTCTGGATGGATATTCTGTTTCAACAGTCTATTTCATAAAGGTATGTAATCGGCAGAAGAATATTTCTCACACCGCGGATGGTGTAAATTTAAAAAGGTGCCACTCGCTGTGCCATCAGAGCCATCGTTAATGATGCTTACATAATTTACAAGCACACGGATGCAGGAGAGCGCGCATTTGCTTTGAATACACACCCTCTATATTTGCCTTTGAAGAAAACCGAGTGCGTGACAATCTTATTTATTTCTGATGCTGCATTTTAATGGTACATTTTAAGGAAGCCTATCGAAAACTGCATATTACATGGGACAGAGGAAGGTGATTTTGAAAAAAAAATGTACATTAAAAAAAATACAGATCAAAGGCTGCTTATGTAACTTGTGGGTGTTGACGCTCGGCTATAACAAAACACACACACAAAAGAAACGCACCTTCTTCACGGCGCAAAGAACTGGAGAACACCTGTACAGCCAGCCACAAGCTGGCGCGACTCGAACCGACAGGTGTGGACACACTCATCGGAAAGGCTGGCGCTTTTGCGTGGTATCAGGGAGAAATCGGGAGACCCAAATCTCTCCCATGATGGCGATGGCTGCCATGCGACCGGTTTTATAGAGCAGAAAGTGCGCACGCAATTGGAATGGCTTTTAAGCTGGTTACGGTAAAATAACAACTCGTGCCAGTGGCACGGCGATCATTATCGCTAATTCAGGAGCACGGTTATGTCCACATTACAGTGTTCATTGTCTTGCCATCGCTATACCCGGTTTAGTTGTTGGTGGTTTAATCTCAAAAGCACAGAGACGTTGCACACCACACACAATACTGAAACGCACACACATGCAAGACACAGACAAAGATCACCCGTATAGCCTGAATAGACCGCTGGGACAAGTGCTGTTAGCGAGCACCTGTGAAGGCCAGCACGGCACACGAGGGGGTGGGTGGCCAACACCACGCCCGGCCGCCTTTGTCTCCCCAGTGGCGATGTTTACACACCGCCCCAGGTACTCATTTGAGGCTGAGTCGACATATGGGAGGCCCAGGACCGGTTCAGATAATCGTCACTGTGTGTTGGCCGTGAGCCGGAATCGAACCTGGGTCGCTAGGTTCATAGCGCAGCGCAGCGCTAACCACGACACCACCGCTCCCCAACACCCAATGCACAACACACGTGCAGCAACACCAACAGTCGCCATTGCACCAGGCTAGGTGCACTTAGAGGCCAGATAAACCTCAATGGGCTCACGAAGGAAGGACGCCACGAGACAGACCCAAACTGAGTTGACTGGAAGATGTTCCACATGTAATCCCATTTGGGTGGCTCATATACCCACTCGCCCCGTTCGCACACGTAGCAGGAGAGAAGCTCAGCGGCGTGCAAGTATCGTGCACAGCTGCATGCACAGCACACATACAAGGTACGTACAGCACGTGTACAGCGCACGTACAAGGCACATACAAGGCACATATAGCGCACGTACAAGGCACACATAAGGCACATACAGGGCACTTACAAGGCATGTACAGCGCACGTACAAGGCACGTACATGGCACGGACAGTGCACATACAAGGCACGTACAGCGCACGTACAAGGCACGTACAAGGCACGATCATTCCATATCGCGACGGGTTGGCCACGAGCAGGCGGTTCTTGAGGCTTCGCCGTCCGACTCCCTGCGCTCCGATGAGCATGAGCGTCTTCCTCTGAAACGGTGGCATCTTGGCAACCTCCTCGTAAATCAGGATCTCGTGGCGGTCGAACTCTGTGGGGAGACACCCGCGGGCTCGTAAATAACCACAACCTGCGACAAATCGCGACGCTCTGCATCACTGCGGTGTCTGCTCGCACGTTGTTTATGTGCGCGGTGAGCGTTTTCCCGACTGATCCGGACCGCCGGTGTGCTTAGGGGTGCCGAATTGCCATTTGGAAAGTTGTAATCGTGGTTCGGGATTGATTTTGGCCCATTATCCCTCCAGGTTCAATAACATGAGTACAGCTCTGTGGGATGCCAAAAGTGGCCATTCTTTGGAAGGAGTGGTTCCCATCACAGAGAATATGGAATTTGTACTCTTGGCTCCAGACTATTAATGGAGATAGGAAGTGCCCCTACGATGCTTATTTGGGCAATCAGTCTGGCACTTTTTTTTGCAAAATTACAACTGTTTTTGCTTATAATTGGGCCCATGCCACATTTTGCAATTCATGCGTGGCTGATTCAGCACACAAAGAAAAGGTGGCCCATTCGGCCACGATGGATTCGTCACGGCCAGAATCATCCACTGTGGGGTGGAATTAGGCTTTTGGCGGAGCCAACATGAGCAAAAACAAGTTGCCTGCAGATATGCGTAAAGTTTCTGCCTTTGTGCGGAAATGCGGCAAACACGCCCGGGGGGTGTGTGTGGTTCGTGTGGGGAGCACCGAGAGGCCACGTTGACCAATCCCACCCCTAATCTACGTTCATGCGTATCGCCCCCTCTCCGAGAAATGTTCACGGAATGTCTGAATAAATTTACAGATTTTCGTGCGCTCTAAACCGTGGCATTAAAGTGGTAGAATGGAGACATTTAACGATTATGATGAAGATGATAAGAATGAAGAGGATGATAATGATAATAAACAATAATGATAAAGCTGTTGAAGATGATATTGACACGATCATCATGATGGTGATGATGCTGTTATCACTGTTCCTGCTGATGGTTCTGCTGCTGCTGATGACGGTGATCGTGAAGATGACGATGCCAAAGAGGTTGTGTTCCCAGGAAAGCTTCACTCAGACCTAAGACTTACTTTTAGAAGCGATGAAGCTAAAACACCCATAAAAAACCCCACACTTGTCGGGGATAACACTGAAACACCCAGAGATAGATCCACGAATCCACTTTAGGTTAAGCATGTTTGGAACGTTCATGAATCGCTATGTGATTCACCAACCCTTGCCTCCAAAGTGATTGTGGCACTTTGTGGCAAGGCCGTAGCCATGGAGTCAACATTCGGGGGGACCAAATCTTCCAGGGTGTCTGGGGTCCCAACCCAGGAAAATATCTAAATTTGCAAACTCATTTCCTCCCTAAAATATGAACAAAAATTCACAAACACATGGGATGGACTTTTTTTTTTACAATAATGTCTAACAGTGTATTGAATTACATTGCTCTGTTTTTACTTTTTTAGCATTTATTGTTTTATTGTATGTAATGGCAGAGATTGGGGATTAATAAAGTACAACCATAACCACAATCATATAAACAGAAATGTATGCATTGATTTATATGAAGACAAGTCCAGATATTGTGGCCAAGGTTGAGCAAAGTGTTGTTTTTATTTACATAGCATAGCAATTATTATTTTTATTGCAATATATTGGGGGGGGGGGGCATTTTGAGCATAATTACGGCCTTGTATTGTGGACACATCGCACCAGGTTACCGTTTGTTCAGGCTGAGTTGCTTCAAGTAGAGGTCCGGAATACGTTCTGCCACCACTCGGCAACCGATGCGTGCCATGACCAATAATTACACTTTGGTCGCCAGGTTCGTAATGCAGTGTACAGATCAAATCGTTATTCACATTGCACACACAACAGCCACACTAAAAAGATACAGCCTTAACAGACTGTTGGGCGAAGTGTCACGAGTACCTATGGAGGCCAACACAGCACACGAAGGAGTGGTGTGGCGAACACCACCGCCTTTGTCTCGCCAGTGCTGATATCTACACATTGCACCGGGTAATCATTTAAGGCTGAGACAATCTAGGGGAGGCCCAGGGTCAGTTCAGGTATTGCTCACAACTGATGTTAGCCGTAGCTGGGAGTTCATCTCAAGGTTTCCGGGTTAAGAGCGCAGTGCGCTAACCACTGTGCTACCGCTCTATGATGAATTATGTATGGGTATATATACTGTAAATAATACAAAAATGTGCAATTCAATATACAACAAAAATCCTGCATAGGAAGATGGAATACATAATTCCAGGTATAAATTATGGACAACAATATGAGAGTGTGTAAACACCTACACATGAATAATGGCTCTTCGATTAGCAAGAGATTTGCAGCTCCACTTGTTTCATTTATAACGAAAACCCTCAAACAAATTGCAAGCACCCGTCCAGTGCTTCCAGACATTTATACCGCAGTTTGATCACTTATACCTACCATTGACAGAAAAAAGATTGCACAGTTACTTTTTCATATACCCATCGAAATAATTAAATTTCCAAAGTGAAAGATTTGTTTTCCCTTACCCTTAAATTGTTGTAACATTGCTGCAATACAACTAAAGCAAAAGACTGCAGATGCATAATTTATGTTTGCACGTGTGTGTGGGGGGGTGTAACGGTTAGCGCTACACTGCACTACAAACCCGGCGACCTGGGTTCGATTTCTGCTCGCGGCCAATACCAGTGACGATTATCTGAACCGATCCTGGGCCTCCCTTAGGTCGACTCAGCCTCCAATGAGTACTTGGTGTGGTGTGTAAATATCACCACTGGGGAGACAAAGGCGGTCAGGCGTGGTTGCTGGCCACCCACCCCCTCGTGTGCCATTCCGGCCTTCATAGATGTTCGTTAACACCACTTGTCTTTGTTATGTTGGGAGTGAGAACTGTTGGTAAGTGGTATTCTCAGCCATAGATAATGTGATATCTGAATGTTTCACAATCCTCCCCTAGGTGTTGACTTAGTGTTAAATGAGTGCTTTGTATTAAACATCACACTTTGGAGAAAACGGTTGAATGGGCAACCCTTAATAGGTGCTCACTCACAGCTACAAGAGGTATCTATGCAACAGAAGATATTTTCAGGTGAAAGCGTGCTTGTGCATATTCGCATATAAGCACCCCTCGTGTTGCATATCATTTGTGACGATATGGGTTTTCGTGAGGTAATTTCTCCACCAACCACGAAAATATATAAATACTTACATCACTAAGTCATTTACCACAATGCCGTTCGTGCGAATTGCTCAGAAAAATGTTCACGTCCAATGGCTGCGTGGCGCCTCCCGCGAGCTTTATGATCCTTTCTTTTGTGAAAAATTATGGATTGTGCACGCACGTGAATCGCACTGAATTTACCGCATTGCTACAATTTACGCCCGTAAAAATTTGTAAACACGCCAAACTTACAGGCTACGGTTAGCTGACGCTGGCTTTGATTTACTCTGCATTATTTCACTTGCATCTACATTTGAAAGCTTCCACTTCATAATTTGTTCATTTATACATATAACTGTTTTCTCAAGTAGAAGAACTGATTTATTTGGAATATATTTTCATGCCATCACTTAGGGAGGGTGATCAAAAAGTCCATGGCTGGAATCGGCTCGTGCTATGCAGCGTCAAAAAGTCACATTTTTCAGATCGACGATTCTTGAATGGAAATACCTTGTTTCCTCGTCAAATACATGAAGACATGCACGGATGCATGTTCATCCGCTGAGAAAATGGAGCAATGAAATCAGTTCTTGGGCAGTTGCTGAGTGGATTACTATTCTTTTGCAGGATTGTGAGATGGTGATCGCTTGGAAAGACCTTGTTCCAGCGGTGGATTGATCATTGCTGATTATGATGATTGTTTCCTAAAAAAAATCGTGCGATCCACGTTCCATGAGAGTGGTGCAACAATGCCACTGACATGAGGCCATAGGCTAGTGAATCACCCCTGGTAATATGACTCACTTGATGTACTGCCCGAGAGATGTTTTGAGTGACAAAAGTAAATACACTAACAATATCAACAGGTTAACGCTCACACTTAACCCATGAAATCAATTGGGTGTTCCAGATCAATGTTTCCCTGTAGCTGTCTCTTACACGAGATATCGCAACTGTTCCAGATAATTAGTTTGCTTAATTGCTACTGGATTACGTTGATCCAAAAGGCACACTGTTTCGTGACTGTAAATGTTGTTTCATTAACGCAATTAAACAATCTCTTTCGTCTGTTATGTCTTTGTATGATGCCCAAGAAGCTGTTTATCTTTCGTCGCCAGATACAAAACGTAAACTCAGAATCTTGGCCGTGTGTGGGGCAGCGTTATGCCATGGATATCAGCAATTCAGTTTCCTAAGCCTCCCAGCCAGCTCCCGAGATAAGGGCATCAATGAATTGAGATGCTATCGCATTGCTTGCAATGACTTTGCTAATTAACACAAGAAAGTTTGGTCCCCTGGGCTGGAAAAAAAAAACAAAACAAAAGTTTATTTCATGGAGGTCAAGCCAGGTTCTTATGGGCCACACAGCGGCCACCCACAGACACCATCAATCGCCACGAAGTGACGATGCCTTCTTCGCCACTGCGTTTCCGCTCGGCTAGGTGTACGTTGTGGCCACGTGAAGTGTCGACGGCTCGCTTGGTATAGCAGTAAACGGGACAAACCCTGGCGTTACGGGTTGAGTGAGGGGACTGGCAGATCTACCAGCTGTGCTCCCCACTGCACTAACTTCGTGTATCTCAGCCACCTGGCGCTCTGCTGTTGTGAGCGTTACGCTGCTGCCCTCCGTTGCTGTTTGAGGGAAACTGCCCCCAATTGCCAGGCAGCATATTTCACAGAGGTCGATATTTTGACTTAAAGCTTTCGTGACTGCAGGAATTCATAATCTTTGGGTCTTTCGGTAAAGTCACGTAGGTAGGATAAAAAAAAATAACAAAACATAACAAAAACTACGACCGCGCTTGTGTTGCAATCGAAACGTCGTAGTTTTTGTTTGTTATTTTCTTTGAACCTATCTACGTTACTTTACCGAAAGACTCAA